TCTTCATTTTAACCAATTATAAAATAAAACATTTTAAATGACAGAGATTATTAAATGTAAATTCAACCTTGGTTGTTCTGAAATTAAGGAGGAACAATATTTTAATTCCAAACAATGGATAATAGATAACAGATTAGCGTGGGAAGGTGTTGTTAAGGAAGAGAAAAGAATCTATTAATTTCGTATTAGACAAAGTATCCTACGAATGGTATGTAAATTTTCTTAACAGTGAAATCGTAGGTGTTTCACTTTTAGAGCTTGTCTAGCGTGGATGATCATAGAGTGTGGTGCGAACGCACTATTACGCCTGTAATTGGTTGCCATTAGGTGAAATTTATGCGAACCGCTTGTTGAGTTCGGAGGGAAGGTTACGTCGACCGACATTTGCATATCCGCCACCACCGACCAATCGAAAAGAAATACAGTTAAACGTTTGCCGAACGATGGTCAAAGATGAAACAGGAACGATAGCTGACTATTAAACACCTCGATAGAGTAGTGTTATTGGAAATTCTCTTCTTTTAAATTGAAACACTCGTATCGACGGGGTTTAAAGTGCAAATATCTCTTTTCATTCGTAATCGGAGAAAATGTCATCCGCCCAATTTGATAGACCGCAACAATTTCATAGACTTTCGCGACTCGCACAATACGCCGATACTTATTTGTTTTTCACTATTTACGATGTCTGAATGAAAATCAATGGTACGGAAGTGGTTGTGCTCGAGGATACAGTCGACGATCTACTAGCAGCCGATGAGACACTCGAGTTACCACTTACCTTATTAAAGCTATTTTAATTGATGGAAAACACGACACTATTTACGTCCTTATTTCTCGGCGAGCTTAACAGAGCGCTGCTCGTTACGTAAATAAGGGCGAATGTCTAACAAATACTCGTGACTTTGTCACGCTTTATGAAAGCTACGTCGTGTTAATTAATATAATGCAATATAAAAAAAAATAAATTTATTTTTTCACGATCAAAAGCCCTGTCTGACGTTTAACGACACATTCTCCTCATAAACTACAGAATTCTTTAAATATTCAATCCGGTGAAAATCGTGTTTAAAAAGGAATTTAATATCCCATGAGAAAGCATATCGTGTGACGAGCAGAATTATGCAGTATCCAGTTTTAATCGAGAGGAAAACGAGTAGATATTCTTCGGTAGAATTTTAAAATAGTCTACGGGAAAAATGGAACGGAAATGATATCGTAATTTTCCAGAATTAAACAGTAGAATTTAATTTCTCGTTCCAGTAAGTCTGAAATCGTATCTTACGGTGGATTGATGAGAGATATCGATTTCGGGCGTAGATATATCAATGCTATCAAAACAGATCTCAGTGTTTACCTGATAAGCGAATAATGGGAATTAAGATGAGAATTCGAGACGAATTACCAGGTTATCGATCAAACGCGAACGGATTTCATCCCCGTTAGAACTGGCACAGTGGCTGTTAGAGGATCGTGGCGATTTTAAAGAATCGCCTGGCGAACGATATTTACGCGTCTCCGGTGGCTGCTCCTACACGATCGGTTATTTATAAAGCCATTCACGATAATCAATAACCTATGCCGCTCCCCCTGTACGGCGAAAATTCACCAACACTTCGAACACTTGCAAAACCTTCTATCTTCCTCTCTGTCTCTGTGGAACGATACGAAGGGGATGTGAATATTTATCGAGGGCCTGACACCAGGGATACCCGATTCGAGAACACGATATAAAACGAACAAATTCACGAAAATCTTCTACCTTGAGCCGTGTTAAGTCTCGTTCGCCAGTTTAATCACTGCCAACAACGAGAGGGATGTTTATTGAATACCATCCCCTAAGGTATACAGACCGAAGGAGGGTTAAGATTTAAAATAACACACCGATTGCGGGGAACGCGTGAAATTCAGGAAATAATAATGTTTCGAGGAGAAGGATGAAGTTAACCCGTAAAACTGTTAAAAATACGAGCGGATAAAAAATGACTGATAGTAGTCTCGAGCGGATCAGTCGCGTTGAAAAAAAGAAAACGTAAAATCTTGGTTTACTACTGGCGAGGAAGGATATTTATTGAATGCCATCCCCCGAAGATATACCAGATTGAGAGAGACTCGAGATTTAAAATTGATATATCGTGAATGTTACTATTTCAGGATTAAAGACGCGGTGACCGATAAATCACGAAAGAGATTGTCGTCAATTTATGGCTATAAACGTTTGCGATACACGCGATAAACAATCACTGATGTATCCTCGGCATTGAATCAATGGGAAGCAGTAGGTGTTAAATTTATCCTGGTCGAAAGTAGGAGGATATAAAAGGAAAGGATGTTGTATTCCATCGGATACGATGATGCAGTAGTTCTTTCCCCGGGATCGCGGCCTTCTTTTCACTCGAGCATCGTAAAAATTTCGAGCGACACGGGCAAATGGAGGGAAAGTTTCGCGGTCGCTTGAAAACTACCCTCTTCCCTAACGAAACGACGACTACGTAGACGACGCGACGTTCAAGTGAACTTTGTTTCGTCGTCGTGTAGAGAATGCACGCTGACCGGCCAACCGAAAACTCCTCTCCTCCTCTTTCTGTACCATTAATCCGGTCGCACGACATAAAGGCCGTGCACGAGTGACGTGCAAGAATAGCTACAGGAATCCTCCTAACGAGACAAGACGGGACCAGCATTATTTCCTGTCAGTGAAAAATATTCCCAAGCCCGTAACAATGAAATATCTATTCTGTGTCGCAGCCGAGATACACTCGCTTGCTCTGGTACTCTCGCGCGTGTATCACCGCTAAACCGTAACGAAGCGAAAAAAGGAACACGGTAAGATGTTACCCTTTTCATTTTTTTTCCCCGTCCGATGCGTTTTGTTTGTTTCCTTTTCCCGTCTCTTTAACACCAATGTACCTACGTCTTCTTTTCTCGCGTGGACGAGAAAAAATAATCGAAATTCGAAATCAGTCAGGTTGTTTTTAGGGTGGAACCATTCGAAATTGAGGGATGAATTGCGAACACAAAGGGGATTATTTTAAAGGAATAATTCTACGGGGATGTAAACGAGTAATACGAGTAACAGAGAAGTTTAAACAATTCGCAACGCGGTTTCGATTGATTGAAACGTTCGTCGAAACGTCCGGTCGAAGTTCGGTTAACTACGTTAACTGGACTACGGTTTAACTTGCCCCTGTTTCTCGGGCCAATCGAAGAAAACCGATACTCTTAACCTGATCGACCAAATACTTCAACTTTTCCAACAGTTCTATTCCCCTTCGTTTTCTATTAATTTAACTTTTTCACTGAATCAACATGCTCGGCCACCAAAGGATCGCCAAGAATGCAAGCGGGGTGTTTTTTCTGCGGAACTCGGCTCCAAATGTTTCGATAAAATATAGGATAATAAGAATTTAAACATTCCTACAGGGAATGATAAATCGAAAAATAAATAAATTCTAAAGTTACCGAAATATTTCCACTTACAATTCATACAAAACAGTAAAGTGGAATCATTTCTGTAACCGCGTGGCATAGCTTGAATTCCTTGGACATTCGTGAAACTTGGACGAAATAAAAGCCATGCTAAAGAATTTTATACAACTACCATTATATTATCTTCAGTATCCCCTTCCAGCATTCAAAATCAACCTAGATTATTTATTCGAAAATTCATAGATATTTTTCTCATCCACCCTGTATACATTTTGTGCGTCACGTTTCAAAGTGACGCTTGGATATCATCGCTAATTAAGGTGGTTCCTCTTAAAACGCGGCTCTGGCCAGGCGTTAAACATTCAGGGGAAGAAAACGTTTAAACGAGAAAGAGATCGGTCCCCGTTGGCAAGTAAACGAGGTAAACCGTCTGGCGCGCAAGCAGCACCTTTATCAAAAGCATCCCCCTTCTGAATCCGTTGGAAATCTGCCATACAATCCTTTCGCGCTTCTTTGATCTTCGACACAGAACGGGTCTACACACAAAACGGTTTTAATCGTTTCACACGTAGTCCCGGGACGTACACAAAACACCGCTAACGAGACGAGGGTAAGCAGAGAGACCGCAAACTGCCCAAGGACCGACTTCATACCCTCCACCGAAAAGTATCTCACCCTTCTCGCCGTCCCTGGTGACATCGTGAAAGCTCTAGAGGCAAATAACGTTTTAAAGCTTTACCGTATATAGGTTGCGTGAATCGCAATATCTGTCTTTCTCCCTCTCTCGGAGAGTATTAAGAAATCTCTTTTTTCCTATTCGCGCTTACGAAACGGTCGATCGAAACGCGATCGAGACGCGACTAGGAGATCGTCGAGAAAGGAAACACGACTGTAAAAGGAACTTTGCTTCCCTCGTGAGGAAGAAAAAAAAAAAATCGAGGACATCGACTGAACACTCATCTGGCTGGATACGATAATAATTTCCTCCCTCGAAGTTCCTCCGTTTTCCATCTCCTTCTTTTTTTATAATCAATCGATAACTGGTCGATGATTACGCGTAACCCCCGACGAATTTCACACGGAACCACAGAGAAGACGAATAAATTGAATTCGAATCGTACTTGAGATTCTTTGAATTAAAAATCAGACACGGTATTAATTAAAAAATCTCGAGTAGACTTAATCGCTGCGCTTGTCTGTCGCGTGCGTGCCGAAACCACTAAACCGCACAGAAGGATCATAACAGAGAGAGAGAGAGTGGTAGGGAAGAGGAAACAGCGAAAAGATCAAAGCGAGTTTGTCGCACTGGTGACCACAATGAGCCAGCGTGTCGCTACCATTGGAACACACGAGACCGCACAAAAATCGCGATGAAAACGAACGATCGACGGTTCTCCACGAGAAAACAGATTCGTCTCGATCTATCATCCGGCGACGAGTCACGTTTCGATCGAAACGAACCACGAGATACGCGGTGAAGATAAAACGGGAAGAGAAGCGATTCGTCGCGGGGGTTGTTCGATGTATATGAAGCAGTTTCTCGGGGGATGATAATGATGATTCTCGCGTACCTGAGATCGGTTGATCGGTGGTGCAGGGCGCGGCGGCATGGTCCCGTCGCAACACAGCGCCGTTCGACGAGCACTGAGCAGCTATTCTGCGCCAACGGGGTTGCGTCGACGTCGAAAAGACGTGAACGGTCGTCTCTCACCCCCTTCGCTCGGCTCTCCTCCCACCACCTATACTACCGACGCCACTCTTCAGAGGGTACTCTCACACGTATCAACCCCCCTGCTCGTCCTTCTTACTCGCACCGAACTGCATCCACTCGTCCTCTTTCCCTTTTCCTCTCGTTGTCTCCGGCGCTGGTTACGTCCTCGAGGCTGCCACCACCGTGGCACATGCGCGGATTCTCCTAACCGACAACACTCTCCTCGTAGAGCTGCCAGAATTGGGAAAAACGAGCCGAGGGAAAAGGAAGAGGCCACGAGGGGTAGAAGAGAGATCTGAAGGGCGGTGTTTTCTGAAAAACGTATGTTCTCTCTTTCTCTCCTTCCCTCTTTCTCTGTCACCCCTTCCTTACTTTCTTCACGGTTCCTTCTGCTCCTTGTTGCTTCTTTCCACCCCTCTGCGTTCATTATTTACCACCCTCGTTTCGTCTACCCGTTCGGTTCGCTCTTATATTCCCTCCTCTTACCGATTTCTTCTTCCCATTACGTTTCTCCCAATTAATCTCTTTTTCAACCCCTTCCGTTCTCTCTATTTCATCCTCTTTCTTGTTTCTATCTTTTCGACCATCTTCTTCCCGCCCACGCTTCATTGTTTCTTGTTTCGAGCTTGTACGGCCCGTTTCAAGCCCTGGCTTCCGAGAATAACATCTTTTTGTCCATTCGTGTCACGCGAAGTCGAAGTACATCCCTGAAACGCGTGGTTAAACCGCCGGTACCTTCGAGTTTAATTCAATGAATCTTCTGTTTGCCCGCGCTTCTGACTCCGGCAGGGGATTTCCGCAGGCTTTTGTTGCTTGACGGGGGGGGGGGTCGTGGGCCAAAGTACGCGACGATTCGCTGCAGTTTTACCGCTTCTGTTTTCCCGCTTTTCTACTACCCTTTCTTCCTTTTCTTCGCTCTACCTCCTCCGCCTCCCCGTCTACCCCTGTCTACCTGTTCCGGCCTAATGGTTGCACGCGCACATTCTTCGTTATTTCTGGTACACTCGGAAATCCTAAATAGCCCGGTCATTTTTTTGTTTCTTTTTCTTAACAACGATCGTGTTTAGCAGTGCTTTTCATTCGCAGACGAGTGTTTCGCGTTCCACTTACTTCCGTCGAACGAGCGAACCGATACGATGGCGAGGTGGAGGAACCGTACACGAGAAATGCGTTCTCCATAAAGGCGAGGGTATGTTCTTACGTTAATCGCAACTTTTATCGTCGAATAAAACGATAAGCAGCGATAAAACGAGGCAAATGTGAAATCGTATCGCGCCAAAGCAAAGAGGATTGTAACCGATACATGGTCGGAGGTACAGAAACTCGAACTTCCGTTTCGAACACCTTTCCCCGAATGCATCGACTCGATTGGCAATGAATTCGAGTCGCAAGTAACTTGGAATATTCGGACAAACCAGCGATAATCGTGTTTCCGTCTCGATAAAACACACGATTCTCTTAACACCGGTTCGTCGTTTATAAGCCTGGAATCATTGTTCTTGCCACGAGTCTCGGTTCAAGAAACGGTTCTCTCAATGATAAACATTACATTGTGTCGCGGTGGTTGCGCAAATTAATGGCAATGCCGGGCCAACGATGAATAGAAGAGGAAATTCACGAAATAGAAGATGAAAAGGTTTTACTTCGGGAGCAGTGAAAAGTGCTTTCTACCTTCATAATCACCCGACGTGCTCTTTGTATTCGAGAATTTCGCCTAAACAGACCGACCAGTTTCTCCGGTGATCTCCTCTTATCCAGAGTAGCAAAACAATGCGATCGAGATAGGATTTAAGCATCGAGCTCCACGCTTTCTACCCCTCTTAGTCAAGTTTTTTCTTTGTTCTTGCCGGAGATTCGATGAGTTCTCGGGAACTTTTACCCGCTGCTGGAAAACGAACGGGATACGATGGTATCGCGAGCCACGTTACCTATCAACGCCAACATTTCCTTAATTTTAAGTGAATTCACCAAAAAGGCTGACGTTATAACGAGCGGCCCTGCCAACTTTAAATAGCTTTCGAAACTTTTCGACTCTCCAAGAAGGATTGCTCTGTTTTTCGTACGGAGAACAAAAGGATCCCGTGGTTAACACCTTTACTGGTCAGTCGACTATCTTCCTGGTTTTCCTCCAAGATTTTCAATGTTTTTAATCGAATACAACGCGTTCGATGCGATATTTCCGAAATGTACCTCCCACGATTCGAATCGCATCGATTGGCTTCTCTAGATTTCGCAAATCAGCGTAAAACTACGGTTAATCGGTGAACACCGTTAATTATTTTTATCGGCAATTACGATCGGCTCCGCGCCAGTTACGTAAACCAGCACTCGTTAACGACGACTGTTTATGGAAATACTTCATTTTCCTTTTTTGTTCCGTGAGAACGATTAACCCATATCCATAGTGGGCTATTATTTCCTTAAGCATTGAACTTGCTAGGTATCTTAAAATTTAAGTATCAAAGTCACGAATAGGCGACAGTGAACTATTTTTTATGCAGAAAGTTCCAACAAATCCGTCTATCCGTACTTTCGGAGTTTTCATTACATTTTGATGAATGAACATTCGCATTTCGAAGATTTACAATTTTAATTTCGATTCGAATATTTGACAGGCATTCGCGGCACCGTGTGCCTGTCCTCAAAGGACCCTCAGATCGTCGGTCGATCGACTAATTAAATTCATATTTCGCCATTCGTTTGCACGCGAACGAGCAAAAGCCAGATAAATCTCCGGTCACAAACGTCCCCGCGTGAAATGCACACGCAATCAATCGAGTCAAATCGTTGTCCACAATGACGAATAAGTAGTCCACTAGGAACAATGGATCTGACAGTGTGGATGACAAACAGCGGTTCTATCGTTGCTACGAATCGAGCGATATTGCGCGTTGACGTGATTTACAGCCATTGCTGATTCTTACGGGCCACTGTCAAAACTGGATAACCAAAGAGCAGCAGGGTTCCTGTATACGCGGTCCCGTAACATCCGGTTCAAAGATTAAAGCAAGCGGGAAACCGCGCTACGAAGTGATCGATTATTAATCCCCCGGAAGCACTTGCAGAGTTTCACTCTTCGCGTGAACTTATATTTTATTTCCTTCGAATTCAACAAATTCGAAGATCAGAGGGAAAAGAATTTTTCTACCGGAGATTTTAGAACGTTTACATCTATCTAATTGAAACATCTTCTGCAACACGGTGAATTCCCTTTGGAACATTATCTTGGAAAGCAAATAATTGAGAAGATAATTGCATGGATAAATTAAAATGGAACATTTTGTGTAGCGTATAAGCCGTGCTGCTGGTTTCTAGTTCATTCAACGATGTCGTAGGGATCACGTTGGATTACGTACAACTAGAAATTCACCTAGTACGATTGCCCTCCGGCTAACGTGTTCCTGCTGTTTACGCGAATTTTAATTGCGCCCTCAACTCGCAACTCCAGCACACACAGAATCGCGTAAACAACAAGGTATTTCATATTTTCCGACACGTACCCTTTTCGTGATTCGCATTTTCAATATGACTCTCATAATTACGTCTCTCAACGTTACTCTCTTCCCTCTTTCTTCGACTGAACGTGTAACGCCTGACCATTTTGTTAATCAAAAGAGTTACTCGATGGTTTTCCTCGCTTTCATTAGAGTAACTGAGAGTAACGACTGAAATTTAATTTTTACTTAAATTTTTATTTAAAACATCCCTAACTATACATTAGAGGAAACGCGTTTCAGATGAGTAGAAAAGTTCTTTAACCCTTTGACTGCTATGAACGCAGATATACATCCGATGAAAGCTATCGGTGCAGACTATAAACGTGTATTTGCGTCCATGGATTATTTCTTGTATATACTAATTATAATTAAATAAAAGTTATCAATGCATATTACTAATTACACGCCATATATTATCACATGGTAATGATATGACAAAACACTGAAAAAGAAAAACAAATGAAAAAATATACTGAGAAATGAAATAGAATAAAAAGAAAAGTAATAATTTCGCTGAGAATCCTCAGCAGTCAAAGGGTTAAAAAAGTAGCCACGAGAAACTCGTTAATCCGACAAAAGTGCGTCATCCGTCTAGAGAATCTATAATTCCCTAGCAAACACAATCCTCCGACGCTTTCTAGCGAGCATGATTCCCTAGTAAACAACGATGCAAACAGACCGATTTACAAAAGCGAGAAGAACAAACATCGAGAGGCCGCAACAGCTTCCTCGTTTGCACAAAATCGTGTTCGTTTCCTGCACGCGTGTGCAAGCGATCGTACACACAAGATCTATCTGACGAACACTAAGAGACATCAACGAAAAAGAATGAGTCAAGACGCGAGAAGAGAGATAGCCGGGACGCTATGTTTGCTCGATTTTACCCGGGTCAAAGTTCGCTGACTCTTCGCCGACTGCACCGTGAATTTCTTTGCACAAAGGGCGCACGAAGACGGACTTTGCGTGGCCTTGGATCTCTTGTCGTCATCGGAGGCATGGAGGATTTTTTCGAATCGTCATCGCTAAGGTCGGTCATCGCGTGCAAACGTCAAGACGGCCTCCGGAGAAGAATCTTCCCCCACCGATTCGTACCGCACGTTACATTTATTCAAGGATAAACTTCTAATCTTTTACTCGCGATAACGAGCTTTTCTGCCGCGATTTCGTCGAGCACCAAGTAGCAGTGTGTCGTTGACCATCGTGGCAACCGCTCAACATCAATATCGGAGAGCTTCACGTACAATCTAACTCCTCTCCTCGACTTCCGTCTTTCTTTCCCTCTTCTTTCTCTTTCTTTCTTTCTATACCATCCGCAAAGAAAATTCACCGACAGAATTTTCTCCGGATTATCAGATTTTTCCCCTAAGAACCTGTCCTTCCGATCGGTAATTAACCGAACCCCATCGCACCCCTTTCCTATCTCGAGGAACATCGGTTTTCATCGTCGAGCAAAAGAGAGACACCCGAATGATCGTCCGGCGTACGTTCGATCGTAGAAAATCGTAATTGTGTTGTTACTTCTTGTGAGATCGTGAGAGAAAAAGAGGCAACCATGTACGCGAAGCTGTTACTATCGAGGTCCACTAAGGTTGGATGTTTTCCAAGAAGATTGGCCTCGTCCTCGTCGAAGCTAAGGATTCCCGAGCAAGCAGTACGTGCAACTTTTCTTATTTTTCACCTTTCGTCCGACGAATTCGAAGCCGAGGGATCGTTCGATCCAACGGGCGCGATGATTGGACGTTCTGCAGTCTTGATTCGATTTTCAACGCGTGCTCGATCATCGCTTTTCTAATCGAACGTTGCCGTTCGCAGAATCTATGCGTGTCGTCAGATGGTGCAATTAATCGACCTAACAAACCTATGCACATTTATGCAACCATCAACGCGAACAACTAAATGAGGGACAGATTCCCGATTTTGCTATGACACTTCAGTCGAAATACGTGTGATTTTTGATTTTAAAAAAATCTGTCGTTTCTCCGAGGATTTGATATTACACAGACACATAATCAAAACATGGTTATAATCATTACGAGATAAAAGTGTACCGCTAAGAATCTCAGAAATCTTCTGTTAAATATTTGCAGAATGTTGTGGAAAACTTCGCTAAATCTCTTTATTTTATGAAAATTTCGCCCGATGCCGTAACAACTTCCGCTGCGATCTTACCAAGTTCCGATTTAAAAACTTGATACTATTTATTTTATTAGAAACATGAAAATTCATAGCGAAACAACTTTTTAACCGGACGTTTTCCGTTCAAAGAAAATAATATTCATTAAAATCCTCCAAATATTGGCTTTCAAACGTGGGCATACCGTCGTAAGCAAATTGAATAATTTCATGATGAAAATTTGCGTTATGTTGCGTTATCTCAAACAACGAGTCTCGTCGAAATTAAATAATCCCCGCATCGAAAATTGTTTATACGCAAATTGAACCAGGGATATAAACAACACGAATAGATGTTGCATAATAACATGCACCGTTCGATAAGTTTCTAGCAAACAGTACGGAATAAAACACATTTTCGAATGCACGATACATGATACGATTTTAAAGATCACTGATATAATTGGCTGTACCGTAACATATGTAACGCGGCGTTATCACGAATACATAATACTAAATGATATCACTGTACACACACGAGCGATAGGATATTGAAATTATAAATATCATTTTCATTCGCCCATTTTGTTCTTCCGCAATTACATCGTAATGAACTTTCCCGGGGCGGTCATGGAATATTTTCTTGTTTTCAACGCGATTAATGTATCGAAAGGCTATAAAGTGATTGATTGTACAACGCGATTAACGATGTATCAGAACAGAATTTGTTTATTATTGGATGGTAACACAAGTTCGTTGTGTTCTTCTTATTTTTTTTAACATAAAAATTTTTACGACCCGATTGTATTCGTGCTAACAGATAACTGTTTCTTTCCTCTGTAATATCTTTATCTCGTATTTTCCATACGTGCTTGTTAATTTTCTTTCGCGGGATGCTTCTAAATTGCTTCGAGTATCTACCTGGCGTCGAAAGAAAACTACTTGTTTCATTCGTACTTTTTCTTCTTCACGGGAAACGATAAGAATCGTGTTTTATCAAATTGTCACTGAATTACGATCCACTTGCTTGCTACGATAAGCGAGAGTAACGTGAAATTATCATCGATTATTCACTGGTTCAACATATGAATACCTTTTTTGCATTTCGAGAGCTATCAATCCGCGAGCTTCTTCCATGCCAGATGAGAATCAATACCGGTGAAAATCAACAGGTCGAAACAGATAGTTCCCAAAAATTTGAATTTACTAGGTGATAAGTAGAAAGGAAAAACTGAAATACCGAATTTTCAAGATACTGAATTACGAAATTCAGGATTCGAAACTTCAGGATTTTCACCTTCTCTTTTTAAGAAAGCACCTGTACAGGTTCAACAACTTCGGTATTCCCCACAAGAGATCGGTGATAGGAAAGATAGAATTAATTATATTAGATCCGCTATCGTTCTAGTGTTTTCTATATAACGTTAGAATTAGAAATTGATACCGTCGAGAATAAACTGCGCCTCGGGAAGTTAGATAAGAAGCATCGCGACGATATGATTTACAACGCACAATCGGTAATCTTTCGGTTACGAAACTGACAGAATCTGCGTCGGAGCGAATCCAAAATTGGCTATCTCCCAGTGGAAAAGAAGGGATGCACTGTCTTAGAAAAATCTGTAACCTCGGCGAACCCGTTGGGAGCCACGATAACGTGTTTCTATTGGAAATTAAACTAAATACCTCTCGATACTCGGGGGAATCGACGATGAACAACAGCCAACAAGAGTTATGAAACGAAACAAATTGCTGTTGCCGCCGGACGAATTGTTTTGATTTTCTATGAATATTCATTCGACGCAATTCCATCAACGTAGATTAATGGAAACGGTGTTGAGGTAGAAACTAAATTAAATATCTAACCACGGTTCTTCATCTTTCTTTTATCTTGCCCCCCTGTTTCTTGAAAAATTTGCACGCGTACACACGTGATAGTGGTGTGTCGAGTGGCAATCGAATCGAAATTACATTCCAGGGAATTTTACGTTCTCGAGTGAAGTATTTCGTGGACATAGATAACCTTCGTAATTTGGACGATTGTAAATACAGATACGTAAATCGTGATGCTGGATCATTTAAAACCCGGCATTAAATCTATCTTATATCGAGCTCAGACTGCGATACTTACGTGACATTCACTGATTTATTGTTCAATTATATTTTCTTGTCGGTTATCATAATACTGACAGGTATGATTTAAGAAGCTAAAATATTCGATTAAATAAAAATCTGACCCATCAGCTGTCAGTTAAATATTGGCGAAATATCAAATCTGATTTCATCGAAAATAAATGGACATCCGATCGGTGCACTTCTGTTAGGATAAAATACAAATTAATTCATTTCGATGCAAGAGACGGTACCGAGAATGCAAGACAGATTATAGAAATTGTTCAAGGATTTTCATTTGCAAATGGAATCGTCTTCGCTTTCGATTACTAACCCGTCTCGCCGTATACGTTTCAAGAAACAATTCCAAAAAATGTCTAAAATATTGCGCTATAATAAAATGCATATCTCATTGAAAAATCTCACTGTTCGTTTTTCATCGAAGCACCTTCGCACGCGTTACGCATGTCTGAGCCACGATTAATTACGCTCCGGCGTTCGAGAGTTGATTAATCAATTAATTATTTTAAAGAGATATAGAATGGACTTACGTAGAGAGCTGCAGACGGCAGAAGGGCCTCGGAAAACAGCGATATTCAGCGAACGCAGCCAGTTGACTTACACGCGTCGTTTGGTGGTGAAATTGGGCAGCGCTGTTATCACGAGGGAGGACGAACACGGACTGGCGCTGGGACGCTTAGCTTCCATAGTCGAACAGGTAGCCGAATGCCAAAACGGAGGTCGTGAATGTATTATGGTCACCAGCGGTGCGGTTGCATTCGGTAAACAGAAGCTCGCTCAGGAGTTGTTGATGTCCTTATCGATGAGAGAAACACTGAGCCCAGGTGGCCACATGAGGAAACGCTCAGGTATGATTCTATATGACAACGAAAAAATAATAATTATACCGACCTAACGAAATATTTGTTACTCTCGTATATTTTACAAGTATTTTAACCCTTTGACTGCTATGATACTTGAATAAAAGTTATCAATGCATATTACTAATTACACAGCCTATGTTATCAGATTATAATGATGTGTTAAAACAATGGAAAAAAAAATGAAAAAATAAATTGAGAGGTGTTATTGAATTAATTCTTATTTCGTACGCACAGAAGACGTTTAAACCTGAAGTACTCAGCAATAAAAGGGTTAACTGTAAACGTATTTCTGTTCGAATACTTTATTTTATTCCTTCGTCGGATCCTGGAGGATAATACTTCAATTTGCCGGCAATTGCGTTACCGATCCCTTGATTCGTAGAAATTACAGTCGACCTTTACAAGCGTTACTGCCAGCCCATGAAACCGAGAAACTTTACACACGATTCGCATTACAATGGTGCACGAGATATATCTCGTTCGAAGAGAATCTCTCTTATTTCGCGAGAATGCAACGCTATGACTCGAATATCCGGCGGTAATTCGTGGCTGGAGCCCATCGTTTCAGCACGAACTTCATTTTCGGAATTATTATCATCTAACTGCAAATTGGAGTGCGCGATATCCGTGTGTCTGTATCTTTCTCGTTTCGTCGACGAGCTGGGTGAATGGTGCGCGTACTTAAAATTCACCGCTACCAATCGATATTCATTTTATTTTCCCTTCGAATTCATTTTTGCGCCTCGTTAATTAATCATAATAATGCCTCGGCCGCGCTGGCGGCACGAAAAACAACGTATTTTCACGTTCGCGGTGCGAGTCGATTAAGCGACTAATTAACAAGGAAATTATAAACGATTAAATTTCTCATATAAATCATGCAGCAACGTAATCAACCGAAAACATATTATTTTTCCACAAACAAGACACGCCACTTAATCTCCAAGAAATTACATCACGAACTGTATGAAACGTGAGCGTAAGAAAAATTCGAGACACATTTATAACATAACACGTGGTTATTGTACAAACGAATTCCACTAGCCAAGCCACGGTAAATAAATTACGTTTCACGGGAACAATCTTATTTCTACCTAGAGAACAAATAACCCCTTTGCGACTTACGGTAGTAAAACCATTCTAGACGCTGTTTTCTCGTATCAACGCGTTGACGGTAACAATAAGAACAATACCCCTTAGAACGGTACACGTTAACGGATTATCGAGAATTAACGTTGGGAGATCAAATGGAATCTTATCTACGATTGTTAATTAATTCACAAAATCGATCAGCAGCATCCGTCGTCTCAATGAACGCGTTTCGGGGGAAGCTGTTCCTTTTTTTTCACGGATTCACATCGCGTCTGTATAAAAAGGACGGATACATATGATCGTAAATTTCAAAGCGAGCACATTCGCTTAGAAAGGCTCGATCGTTTCAGCTGAAACGCGTTGGAACATCCCCGAGGTACTTTCGGATGTCCAGGAACTGTTCGCAAACTTGACAATGTCCAGCTTTCCCATGTAGGTTAAACTAACAACTGGCGAGCCACCCAATTCTTTTACCGACAATTCCTTCGAGATTCTATTTGCCCGGGAAAACAGTCGTGGTAATTTTCCTTTCGGGAGGCAAGAATCGAACACGATAGACTGAAATTGTTGAGAAAATAGCGCGGCCTTGTTTCTTATTGCCCCCGAAGAAACGTTTGTACAAACAACCGAATGGTCATCGACTTCCTGCGTTCTTCTAACGCGTTCAAAGATAATAAAAAATCAAATCGCGTCGGTCGCACGAAGCTTTGTGAAAATAAGAAAGAAGAAGAAATTAAAGAAACTTACTGGCGCAGGTACTCCTTTGGAGCCAAGAGCAGCCGCGGCAGTGGGTCAATCGGGTCTGATGTCCCTGTACGACGCCATGTTCGCCCAGTACGGTGTAAAGTTGGCCCAGGTGTTGGTCACCAAACCAGATTTCTATAACGAGGAGACCCGGAAGAATCTCTTTAGCACCCTCAGCGAATTGCTCAGCTTAAATATCGTACCCATAATCAATACGAATGACGCGGTTTCACCTCCTCCGCAAGCGGACGAAGAAGTGGCCGGTGGCGGAGGAAGAAGAGGCATCTCCATCAAAGACAACGACTCCCTGGCGGCTATGTTGGCTGCCGAGATCCAGGCAGACCTGTTAATTCTAATGAGCGATGTCGATGGTATTTACAACAAACCACCGTGGCAAGACGGTGCCAAGATGTTGCACACTTTCAGCTCTGACCTAAGGGACACCATCAAATTCGGTCAGAAGTCAAAGGTTGGTACCGGTGGCATGGATGCGAAGGTGAACGCTGCGTTGTGGGCCCTCGATCGCGGTGTCTCTGTGGTGATCTGCAATGGAACCCAAGAGAAAGCAATTAAAAGCATCCTGTCTGGAAGGAAAATTGGCACCTTCTTTACTCAAACATCCGAATCCACCACCCCTGTGGAGGTGGTCGCTGAAAATGGTAAGTTTCACTTTTATATCGACCCTCTTTATGTCTTTATGAAATTGAACAAACAAACGCGCAATGTTTAGCATGGTTTTAAAAATTCTGTTTTTATAAGGACACTCGAGAGATCGATTAATTTTTCTTTGCAAAGCAAATTATTGGAGAAAGATTATCGCGTCGGACGCGACAGTTTTTTCGTTAGAGGGATCGGTCACCTCGCGTCATTTCGTTCTACCGACCATAGAAAATATAGGTCATCGATTATCGAAGGTAGAAATGAAACAGCTTACGGCCGCTGTATCGTGGCCGTTGTACCATTATCTGCGACACGTACTCTGCTCTCCTAAGATACAAAAATAAAAAAAAAAGTGGCGTCGTATCATTCGGGAGTATATTTAATTCAAACAAGTTGGCTGGCGATCCCATTGAAAAAGTTAAGCGAGAAGAAAAGTAGTTGAATATTCTTAACTGGAGAGCTTCTCGGCAGATAATTTTTATCGGTGTCGGGTTCCATTAAAACTTATTCAATATTTCCTTTGGTTGTGCCACTCAGTGGAACAAACAGAGGGAAAAATCTCCGTGAATTATAGGATAATTCTTTAACTACGATCTAATTTTAAACAATCAACAAGTCTCCTTTGCTCACCGCTGGCTAATCGGTGATTTTCAGCTCGAACCGGCAGCAGAGCTCTTCAAGCACTCCGGCCAGAGGAACGAGCTAGTTGCATCAACATGTTGGCCGAACTCCTGGAGACCCGTCAGCGGGAGATTCTTCAAGAAAACGCGAAGGATCTGGAGGCCGCGGAGAAGACTGGTCTAGCAAAGGCTCTTCTCTCTCGTCTTTCTCTGACACCCGCGAAGTTAAAGTCGTTGAGCGCTGGGTTACGGCAAATTGCCAATGATTCCCTGACGAACGTCGGCCGCGTTCTCCGCAGGACAAAACTGGCCGAAGGTCTGGAATTGAGACAAATTACTGTCCCCATCGGCGTGTTGCTGGTGATCTTTGAATCGAGGCCAGACAGTTTACCTCAAGTGGCCGCGTTGGCGATGTCCAGCGCAAACGGTCTCCTCCTGAAAGGTGGCAAGGAAGCTGCCAACAGCAACCGGTACTTGATGGAACTCGTGAAGGAGGCGTTGAGCAGTGTCGGAGCCGCCAACGCGATATCTCTAATCTCGACGAGGGAGGACGTCGGCGATCTATTGTCAATGGGAAAACACATAGACCTTGTTATTCCTCGAGGTAGCTCGGAGCTGGTACGCTCCATTCAAGAACAGTCGAAACACATACCGGTCCTCGGACACGCGGAAGGTATTTGCCACGTGTACGTGGACAAGGACGCGGACCTTTCCAAGGCTCTCAAAATCGTAAGGGACTCGAAATGCGATTATCCTGCCGCTTGCAACGCTATGGAGACCCTTCTTATTCACGAGAGTCACATGAAAGGAAACTTCTTCTCCGATGTCTGTAACATGCTTCAAAAGGAAGGAGTAAGTAATACGATAAATACTATAGTATCAAGTATTGCGAACTGTTTGTACTGACGTTTTGTTTCTCCTAAAATTTCAGGTGAAAGTCAACTCTGGACCAAAACTGAGACAGCTGCTGACGTTCGGACCACCTCCAGCGAAGAGCATGAGGACCGAATACGGAGCTCTCGAATGCGCCATCGAGGTCGTGTCGGATCTCGACGACGCGATAAATCATATTCACAAACACGGTAGTGGACACACCGATGTTATTGTTACCGAAGACAGCCAAAGAGCTAGCCATTTCCAAAGGGAAGTGGACAGTGCATGCGTCTTCCACAATGCCAGCACACGGTTCGCTGACGGATACAGATTCGGTCTTGGCGCAGAGGTGAGTCGTTCAAATTGAATGGGTATTCGTTTATTTTTAAATATTCTGTCCACCTGGGCTCCTAAAGAAAATTTATTTATATTATTAATAATTTATGACGTGTTTTGTTTGAAAAGGTCGGCATTTCCACGGCAAGAATCCACGCACGAGGCCCGGTAGGAGTGGACGGTCTGCTGACCACAAAATGGGTGCTGCAGGGTGACGGTCACGCGGCTGCCGATTTCGCGGAGGGTGGTGATAAAGTGTTCCTTCATCAATCTTTACCGTTGAACGAGTCGGCATGAATCGATGCTACAAACTCGGACAAGCAGGATAGCGAAAACTCTGCTGCAACGACAGGGAAGATCTTACACCGAGAGGAACCAGCGGAGAAAAATCGCGTCGCTCCTCCGGATTCGTTTAAAAAACGCCCGAAATCGCAACGCGTTCATACATTTTTCTGTACCATTCGATCTCTCGTCGCTAAAGCCCTAGAAATTATTAAAAGCTTTGTAAAATAGAGGCGCACAGACCCGCGTGAAAAAAATGTGCGCCTTTAATTAAAGTGGACAGAAGAAAAAATATTACGTTTTCTACTTGACACTCGCAATTTTGTTAATTAAATGTGAAATTTCTGCTAGACTAAGTATTATTCATAAGAGTTACTGCCGTGAATGAAATATATTCTTTTTCGACATCTTCAACGAACCAAAGAAAATTCCAATATTAGGAGAAGTGAAAACAATGTAATTTAACCGTGCAAATATATTGTCGATCAATTTATACTTGATTTGTTTGGTTGAATTTTATTATACATACCTCACTTCCTTTTCTGAAACAGGGAACAGGTAAAGATCAGGATGGGCTTTTGATTTTGATGGGTTTATGACTAGGGTTCGTACCGTCTTTGACCCTCGAGTAAATAGGCGACTGTAAACAGTCCAGATACTCGATGCAAGGTGGAGGTCCGCAAACGCAAGTGGCTATCAGGTGTTATAGGGATGGATTGTTTGTAAAATCGTAAAGTTCAGGATAGCAAGCAACCCAATACTTAAAAACAAAAACAGCCTATTATTTTTTAAAGACCTGGCTATGAAGCAGGGAAAGGAGACATCTATCCTGGTACCGGAAAGGAACCAACCCTTTCCGTTTAAATTAGTGACTCCAGGGTCCAAATTCATGATACTTTCAACTGTGATGAGTGATTCTATGTGTGTTTTATGTTTGTGTTGGCTACCTCGTGGAACTACTGATGAAACGAGGATAACTGGAAAGGAGAAACAAGTGGTAAGTATGTAATATAAGTATTTAAAATTGCGGCGATGCCGCCGCAAGAGCAACGTTGACTTTATCAACGTTTTTTATATCTTTATTTATATCATTAAAACATTCGAAAAATGCAAAACTAATAAGAAATATTATGTGATACATCGATAATTTTTAAGCCTTTCCAGTACGATAAATAATCCAAAAAATACTTCCAATGAATTTTATGAAAATCGGAATAAAACTCAGTTATGATTGTTGTAATTCAAATTACAAATGATATGTGGGATTATTTATAATTATATTTATCAACTGTGACGTAAAACTGCACGCAGATAATAAAGCTATAAGTACGAAGTCCGATTCCGACGATTGACCGAATAACCCAGCACAATTTCCGTGAATAGTGTTGAAAAGCTTAAAAATCTCGGTCAACGATATCAGCGCCGAATATTTCTTATCAGAACCAATGGAATGTTTCAATTTTTATACAGGTTATCATGGTACGCTTTGTTCACTTTGTACCAGCTAAAACAATTGATACGATAGTATCTTAAAGCTAGCGAATCAAACGGAATAATAATACCGATAATAATTCCTTTATCTATGAAAACATACGAAAAAGGAATGGGCGATTAAGAATAAATGTTTATTCATTCTCCCGTCATACAAAAGTGAACTATTTCCGTACAGTACAGTATCAGAAATAGCATAGTCAAATATTTGTTTTCGTAGAAATCTTTTTACATACATTCTGGCGCCCAGAGCTTGAACGTTCTATCGTAAGAAGTAGTCGCGATAAATTTGTGGTCAGGAGAAATATCAACAGACATCACTTTACCATCGTGGCCTGGTAAGGTTTTCAGGGGTTGCCAGGTCTTGTTCGACCATATCTTGGCAGTGTTGTCGTACGAGGCTGTAACCAAATACTGTCCTTCTATCCTCTGATATTTAACATCTGATAATAGATTCGTATGAGATGGTATCGTGTACACGCAGGATCTCTTTCGTAAATCCCATATTTTACACGTGTTATCTTCGCTCGCGGTCGCTATATGAAACCCATTAGGAGAGAAATCGATACCAAAAATAGACTTCAAATGACCCTCCATAAACATAATACATCTTCCCGTGCGAAGATCCCACACCCTACCGAAGGAATCGTGTCCACCAGTGGCGCTTACGCTGCCGTCACACTGGAAACTATAAATTTATGCCGATTTGAAAAGATCCCTTTAATTAAAGATATAATTAATGATTATAAGTGATGTACGTACCTAATACAATGCACAGCTCTAGCATGACCCTCTTGGTGTAAAACCTCTGCCTGTTGCTCTAAATCCCAAAGTCTCCACGAAGCATCGTGACAGCATGTTCCAAGAAATCTACCAGAAGGATGGAATGCTAATCTCGAAACTCTGTGCGGCTCGTGTCCTTCGACTTCGGCTAGAGGTTCTTCGCCTGACCCACCGCTCCACAATTTCACTGATCCTGCACACACAGAAAGGAGATGTTAGTTTATCACATGTTGCAGATTTCTAGCATAATATAAAGAAAATGTTTATATACCATCAGCAGCACAGGATGCCAATACACAAGTCTGTCCTGCTTTCTCCCCTACCACATCCTCAGTAACAGTAGCTTTTGGATGAAAAACAATGCAGCCAACATTACAAGTATGCCCTTTAAGGGTTCTTAACAGAGTACAGTCAGGTACAGACCATATTTTACATAAACCTGACCACGAAGCTGTTGCCAACAATTTGGAATTTGAACTAAACTGACAATACGAAATTGGCCTGGTATCGCCAATTTGAGAACAGTAAATCGTGAGTGCTTGTAATTTCTTCAGAAGCTCTTGACGGCGTGCTGTACGGGTAGCCGCTGGTAATTCTAAGTCTTGCCTTGCTTTGTCCAATCTACCCTTTGCTCTAGGCAATGAATATGCTGTAGAATGAATCAATTATAAACATAGAATATATTACTGAAATTAAAAGAAAATATATTTTATACTTACCAGCAATCCATGAACGTGCTATCTGAAGAGATTCTGGTCCCTCGTGATACCAAGTTGTCTCAGTATCTCTTTCAATTGGATGCAAAGGTTTCTCATCTTCTTCGTGCTTCTTTTTAATTGCATCTTCACCTAGGTTGGCCAGTAACTCTCTTAATCTTGTTCTTCTATCAGCAGGCCCCTCGCCAAATAAGCAAATAGGTTCGCCTAATTGTCTTAAATTTTTCTTTACTTCCGAGTCATCAGTGGAAACATTAATTTGGCGCGCTTTTTTTCGACGCTCGAACTCCTCTAAGAGGGCTTGTCTATCTTTGGACATTTCATCTTCAAGTTCCATATATTCATTAGATATATGCACATTTGCCAAAGTAACGGCAGCATTGATGCTCTCGCCCAAATTCGTAGAATCTTTTTCTTCCTCGGAAGATTCGGCTGCCGCGGCCAACCTTGCGCGTTCGACTTCCTCGAGCGATCCATAATGAACAGTTTTCTGTTTCTTTACATAAACCAAATCCTCGTCGTCTGACATTATGAACAATTATTTCTAATAAAGTTTGACTACGTAAAATTAAACTATATAATTCATATAGTAACCCAAGAAAGAGGTTAGGAAGAACGTGATTATAACCTATAAAACAGAAGAGCTGCTTGTTATTATTTTACATACAAATTTTATATGTAATGCATGTAAAGTAAAATGAAATACGAAATAAACTTACTTTTGAAACTTATTTAGTTAATGTCATTCATAAAATCACTTCACAATATAAACAAACATTTCTAATAGCCAACTGTCAAGCGGTAGACGCTTCCTCCGTTACGAACCACCTAAGATGGAGAATAATCGATAGTGCCACTAGCAATTTAAATAGATTCTTATGGAAAGTTCAAACAGCTTCGCAATTAGAACATTTACAATTAGTATAAATGGTAGAGGGTATGATATATTGTTAGGTATAATAACATCTCCACATATGTTTTTTGTCCTGTTCCTGAGCCATGCTGTCGTTATTGGTAACACTGAATGTATACCGCAGTTCACCAGAGTCCATAACTGCGACGCGCAGATTGGAAGATGGTGGGGGAATGCAGCGAGCTCTCAGCTAATCGCTTTCCACTTCGTTTGGGAGTATCGCCAATCAGGGCGAAGATGCGCACTGGAGAAGCGCAAAGAACGAAAACTGTTTTCGCAGTTATGGACTCGGGTGAACTGCGGTATAGGGACTTTAGAATGGTAAAGGTTTTTAACGGTCTCTGGAAAGAATCATGGAAATTTGATTGGCGCGCAATTACGTTAACTTATTTCAATGTGATACTTACTAAATTTATATTTTTAATTTTTGCAGAGTAAATATCAGTTTGTATTTTATAAAAATTAATTATAACAAGTTTTGCTCGTTGGAAATTACATTCTACTATACACTTCCTGCTGTCTGGTCTGAAACACAAGAATTATCTACGGATTGAGAAAATTGTTGGCCCTAAGAAGGGCCGATAAGGAATAGTAATAGGAATAGTTTTAGGAATAGTAAAGGATTGAAACAATACCGTTCACTTCGAACTGGTGTATTTGGTAACTGCTTTGGTGCCTTCAGAAACAGCATGCTTCGCCAATTCACCAGGCAATAGGAGTCTCACAGCGGTTTGGATCTCCCGGGATGTAATGGTTGATCTTTTGTTGTAATGCGCCAAACGTGAAGCTTCAGCAGCAATTCTCTCGAAAACATCATTCACAAAGCTGTTCATGATGCTCATAGCTTTGCTGGAGATTCCAGTGTCAGGATGGACTTGCTTTAATACTTTGTAGATGTAGATGGCATAGCTTTCCTTCCTCCTCCTCTTCTTTTTCTTGTCAGTCTTACTAATATTCTTTTGAGCTTTGCCGGCTTTCTTCACAGCTTTTCCACTTGCTTTAGGAGGCATGATGAAATTCAATCGCTTCAAACACAAGATACGATCACGTCAAAGAGTGTAGAGAGAATGTGCTCTGGCGTACCGTACCTGTTCTTATATAATGGGGGAACGTTGCCTACAGCGCACCAATCACGTTAGACCCCATAGCTTCTCCTATACAGCGCCATTTGCATCATGCACCATGGTGGGGTTGCATATGGCCGTCTTATTATCTTTGTTGGGATTCCAAGGCACAGGGAGTGGATCTGAGGAAAATAAAAATAAAATTAGTAAAGTTAGTAAAGTTTGCAGTGTGGATATTTAAGAAATTGTCTTTATGAATTAAATACAAGTACAGAACAAGAGTAATTCTGCGTATTAAATATTCCGTGGCCCTGAAAAGGGCCGTTTTGATATGATTGGATGTTCTTATTTAAAAACAAATTATTTTTTGGCTGATTTTACTGCTTTTGGTGTTACAGTTTTCTTGGGTTTGGGAACCCTGGTCTTTGCTGCTGGAGCTTTAGTGGTCTTCTTAGCTTTCGACATAGATTTAAGAACAGCTTTAGGTTTTTTGGCAACAGCTGCTTTTGCTACGTTTTTCTTTATTACTGCTGGTTTCTCCTCCACTTCAGCTTTCTTAGACAATGCTGTCTTTTTAGCTGCAACAACTTTCTTGGCTACAATCTTTTTCTCAACTAACTGTACTTTCTTCGAATCATTTTTCTTTGGTGCTTGCAACATCTTCTTTAGCTTAGAATGGTCGGAATGTTTTCCAAGAGGAAGTTTGAAAGAGCCTGAAACTCCTTTACCCTTCGTTTGGACTACAGCTCCAGATATTAAAGCAAATTTCAAATATCGTTTTATGAATGGAGCAAATTTCTCTGCGTCCACGTTATATGTTGTAGCAATATATTTCTTGATCGCTTGCATAGATGATCCTTTGCGATCTTTTAGTTCTTTAATGGCGGAGTTGACCATTTCAGAGGTCGGTGGATGCGACGCCTTTATATGCTGGGCTTTTGCCTTAGTTTTAATGGACTGTTTTGACGGCATGGTTAAATCTTCTGCCATTTCGACTGCGGTATCACCAGAATTGGCCTTGATTTCCATTCTTCTTACCAGTAGTAGCCTGGAGAATCCTCGACAAGGGTGTCGGCGGACAGTACAGGCTCGCTTTCACAGAGACCGTTGGTCTTAAGGTCTCAGAAAACCCTTTAAGGGTATGTTCCGGATCTTGAGTTCTTCGGTACTAGCCTCAAAGGATAGTCACAACAACTTCAATATCTGAATTACAACAATAAATGATCGCTTGGAAATAGAACGCAATATTACGCACGAGAATTGAAACACGTCTGTACACCACAACGTCTGAGACGCAAATGTATCGTCAAACAGGAACGCTCACTCCATCTGCATTATATAAAATCAATGTCGTTGCAGTATTTCTACTAATGATATCAAAACAATTACTAATCACAAATTTCATACTTCAATATTATATGGTTAAACAGAAAAGAGCACGTGTAAAATTTTTTAATAATATAAAATTATGTGAGATAACTTATAGTCAGTTTTAGATCATATCATCTGTAACAAATGTAACACTTCCTTCATTATTATTACTGTTGAAAATGTTGATGCATTATTTTACATTTTATATTATAAGTTAAAATGAATATAATGTTATAAATTAGAAGAGAAATGAAATCATTGATCGCTCTATTGGTTGTTACACGGTACATACTGCGCAAGTCAAATAGCAACCGCGGAAACTATTCAGGACTTAAGATTTTAAATTAAAATGATAAAATAATGTAACTAACGTTATGACAATTAGTGTAGTTACTTTTCACACTTAAGATGTTTAAAACAGTTATAAAAAAACTTAGGAAGTAATTCATAAGTTGATCTGATCTAATATCAAGAGATGAAAATTGGAAAATATGTTGGCAACGAGACTGATTTACGAAATACAATTTGTTGGCCCTGAAAAGGGCCGATTAGGGAATGCTGTAAAGCATTTACTTCGAGCTGGTGTACTTAGTAACTGCTTTAGTGCCTTCGGAAACAGCGTGTTTTGCCAATTCACCGGGCAATAAAAGTCGCACAGCAGTTTGGATCTCCCGAGATGTAATGGTTGATCTCTTATTGTAATGTGCTAAGCGTGAAGCTTCAGCAGCAATGCGCTCAAAAACATCATTTACAAAGCTGTTCATGATACTCATAGCTTTGCTAGATATACCAGTATCAGGATGGACTTGCTTCAACACTTTATAGATGTAGATAGCATAGCTTTCCTTCCTTCTCCTCTTCTTTTTCTTATCAGTCTTACTGATATTCTTTTGAGCTTTACCAGCTTTCTTCACAGCTTTCCCACTTGCTTTTGGAGGCATCTTCGCAACGATTTCGTAGACTTGAAATACACCCTTTCGTAGTGATGGTTCAAGACTGAATGTCGGAACGCAGGCAATGGCACGGTATATATGACATAACGGACCAGTGGTGGCGCACCAATCATATGCCACTGCTTTCTCGTTGGGCGATTCAAAATGGTAACGGTCGGTATAAAAGTGAAGCCTCATCCCCCCTCTTATGTACACTATTAAGTGAAATCGTGTAAGGTTCGTTTCGCTTGTTTAAAAAGATACTAAAGAAAAAATGTCTGGTCGTGGCAAAGGTGGAAAAACCAAGGGAAAGGCAAAGTCTCGTTCTAATCGCGCTGGACTGCAATTTCCTGTTGGTCGTATTCATAGACTTCTTCGGAAAGGAAATTTCGCAGAACGTGTTGGTGCCGGAGCTCCAGTATATCTTGCTGCTGTAATGGAATATTTGGCAGCTGAAGTATTGGAATTAGCTGGTAACGCTGCTCGTGATAATAAAAAGACCAGGATTATTCCTCGACATCTTCAACTGGCCATCCGTAATGACGAAGAATTAAATAAATTACTTTCTGGCGTTACTATTGCTCAAGGTGGTGTATTACCAAACATTCAGGCAGTGTTGTTGCCAAAGAAATCAGACAAGAAAGCATAATTATATAAAGAACCACAATAGAACTGGCCCTTTTCAGGGCCACAGAATAAATCAATACAAAGGAATCCTCTGGGTGTTCATACATTTTAAATTATCTTTTATTTCATTTACTGCAACATCTGCTAAACCTGTTCTAAGGTAGCTGAAAATTGAGGGAACAATACAATAGGCACTGTTCAGGAAAGTACCATTCTAAAAACCAGGTGCTGAGAGCAGCTGTTTCATTTTAAGCGGAAAAAACCTCATGCGACGTTCTTTAGATATTTTTAACGGTCATAAATATCATTCCGAGATAGTATGTATTTAGTTGGCACCGATTGTTATCGAGAATTATAAAGTTATCTGCAATTGATAAGAATGTTGAACGTAGGTATTATATTGGATGGAATAAGTCTGACAAATATTTTGTTCCTAAATTCAAAGTAAAACTATTATCGATATAGCTGAAACCGCGAATTACTACATTACGACCAATTTTGGCCCTGAAAAGGGCCGATTGTATCATAAAAGCTAATGCTTAAGCTCTTTCTCCACGAATTCGTCGAGCCAGCTGAATGTCTTTAGGCATGATGGTGACGCGTTTTGCATGAATTGCGCACAAATTGGTATCTTCGAATAATCCCACAAGATAAGCTTCGCTAGCTTCTTGTAAAGCCATTACAGCAGAACTTTGGAATCTCAGATCAGTCTTGAAATCCTGAGCGATTTCACGTACGAGTCGTTGGAATGGTAATTTACGGATTAAAAGCTCGGTACTTTTCTGGTAACGTCGGATTTCACGAAGAGCAACTGTTCCAGGTCTATAACGATGAGGCTTCTTAACACCACCAGTAGCTGGTGCACTTTTACGTGCAGCTTTAGTAGCCAACTGCTTGCGTGGAGCTTTTCCACCAGTCGATTTGCGAGCGGTCTGCTTGGTACGAGCCATAACTTATATCAAAACAAAAACTGACAGCGAAACTTTCTCTCTCAATGTAGGATGCAAAATGCGTGCTTTCTGGCACTACGACGCGTCATTATATACCATCCGATTTGCGCAGCATGCTTCTGATAGGCTACAGAAGAACTGGAAAGGGAATAGTGGGTATGGTATAAAACGGCCAAGCTGAGCTGCGCCAAGCATACTTCGCAACGTCTATTCGCACTGTTCGTATTGTACGTGGAAGAATTCTATCATGACTGGTCGTGGAAAAGGAGGAAAGGGGTTGGGAAAGGGAGGAGCGAAGCGTCATAGAAAAGTTCTTCGTGATAACATCCAAGGTATCACGAAGCCAGCGATCCGCCGTCTGGCTCGCCGAGGTGGAGTTAAACGTATATCTGGCTTGATTTATGAAGAGACACGAGGTGTTCTGAAGGTGTTTTTGGAAAATGTCATCCGAGATGCTGTAACTTACACCGAACATGCTAAAAGGAAGACTGTTACGGCAATGGACGTTGTCTACGCCTTGAAACGCCAAGGAAGAACTCTCTACGGATTTGGTGGTTAAAACCCTTAATTTACGCTTCTGTTCAACAAAAACGGCCCTTTTCAGGGCCACTAAACTTTTCCTATCGTATGAACCCTCCGTTTCAATTTTGTAAAATTGTCTACTTTAAGATTTTAATACTCCTAAGATTAAAAAGAGGATATTACACCCATAAACTGTGTCAATTACTGTATTAGCAATACGACACTTTACGATGACAGAATAAAATTGTTAAAAACAATCTTTGGTTGCTTAGAGGAATTGTGCACTGTATAATACTGAAATAGCGAAACAATACTGTTATCAATAACTTATCAATAAATATTTACAGCCTAAACATATGCCTAAACCATTGATTTAATTACATTACCCAATTTTATTTCATTAATTTAATATACCTCCATTGAAATGTATGAGGTACATGGAATGATGGATACAACTCATTAAGTATATATAAGTAATATTATTTTTCATAATTAAATGTTATATTTTATCAGAGAGAAGTGGGCTTTTAACGATGTCAACCTTTACATTAGATAAAATTTAAATTGCAATAATATATACAAGCATATAAGCACTCTTGTAACACCGAAATACGATTTCAAAGCACCTACCTATAGTGTTCGATAAATTTCCAACTAAAATGTGTGATATTCTAAATTTATGTAAGAAAACTTCTTAAATAAACAATTTTTATATTCTACCTACATTTCCATCCATAATTAAATATTAATAATCAAATTAATCGTATTATACAAACGAGTATCATGTCAACTATTTGCCTTGCGTCTTCATGATGATTGTATTTCTCTCCTTGTAAAACTCTTGAAATTTATGATGATATCTAGGCTCCATTAACAATTAATGAATATAAATTGATAATTCTAATATTAGGACGTCTATTCTAACAAGAGAAATCAATTTGAGTCAAATATTCTCCTATTTATTACACAATTTTCAATATTAGTCTACTCCTAACTCAGAATGATCGTAGGACTGTGTCAATTTGAACGAATACAACAACTGAAAAACTAGATAAAAGTGTGATTGAACGATACTGTTGGAAACTACTGACAGTAATTGAAATTTTACATGCATAATATGCGCTTTGAATGCGGCAAATAATTGCATAAATCGCAAATGTTTCCGTGCAAGTCTCGGATTCTCAGCAACGTAGTATTGGAAACACAGCAGAGGTCTTTCTTGCAGGTCCGCGTTAAAGAGGTAGGTTAGCGATTTCTGGGGTCTCTAGCGCACTCTGTGAACGAATCGTGAAAGTTTGCTGTATTTGAGTAGACATTTGCTGTACGTTTCATACGTAATGGAGGACAAGAATAATTCTGAGAAAACCGCTGCAGTGGAAAATGCTACGGCTAGTCCATCGCCAGCGAAAAAGTCTGTAAAATCGAAAACTAAATCGCAGCGTTCGAAGTCGTCCCATCCACCAACTTCGGAGATGGTGAATGCTGCTATTAAAGGGCTTAAAGATCGCAAGGGATCGTCACTTCAAGCCATCAAGAAGTACATAGCATCGACCTATAAAGTCGATGGCGAAAAAATGGCACCGTTTATCAAGAAATACTTGAAAGCTGCCATAACCTCTGGTGTAGTGGTACAGACTAAGGGGAAAGGCGCCTCTGGGTCGTTCAAACTCTCAACTTCCAAAGGTTCCGAACCAAAGAGTAAACCCAAACGCTCTGTGAAGAAGACCGAATCTGTTGCAGCTGAAAAGAAACCTGCTGAGAAAAAACCAGCGAGTCCCAAGAAACCGGCTGCTCCGAAGAAAGCAGCTGCAGTAAAGAAGCCACCAGCACCGGCCAAGAAACCTTCCCCGAAGAAGGCTAAAACTGCTGCTGCGAAGAAAGCAGAATCTGCGAAGCAAAAGGCAGCACCAGCTAAAACTTTGTCGAAAACAAAGAAAGTCACAAAAGCACCAGCAGCTAAGACGAAAACACCAAAACCTAAAACAGCGAAATCGTCGAAAGCTGCGAGAGCAGCGGCGAAGAAATAATTCATTGCAGAATACCATTGGCCCTTTTCAGGGCCACAAATACTATTTTACAAAGAAACAATCTCGATTTGCAACTTTACAGAATTAACCATACATCCTGAAATTCCTTTTCCTTTCAAATGAAATTTTAACATAGAACACAGATTACACATAATATGCATCCCTTTCACAATCTCATAGTAACCTAAACGAAATAGAATATCAATAATTAGCAGGTATATAATTATGAAGATTGGTAATAACGTGAAAAAGTCGACATGGCGCGTGATAGTAGAGCCCTCTTCCAAGTAAAATTAGTAAATCCCCATCATCAATACAGAAACTCAAGACCCAATTAGAAAGTCCATCATCTGAATTATAAGACACTGAAATTGTAACTTTCAATTAGAAAAGCGAAAATGAAAAATATCATACATGTTATAATAAAAATATTAATTCAATACATAGTCAATGTATCCACATTAAGTTATAGGTTATGTGGTTGAAATGCTTATTTGTTAGTCAGTATTCATTTAATATATCTTCACTAAATTAGGGCACAGAATTAGTATTTATAGTTTAAATTTCATTGCCTGTAAAGATGATCTCATAAGGGACAACTTGAAAAGAAAGAACCTTAAGAGCAAGTATATGTGCATTAAAGTCTTGCATACAGTGCATAGGTGGAAACTATCTTGGTTAAATTAAGTTTTCTAATCTCAAAGAATTGCATTAGGGAGTCCAAACATTATTGGAAATACATGATAGCTTTCTCCACAATGTGTTATTTTCTTTTTTAATCTTTAATGCAGAATTGAAACATAAGCTTGTAATAACTGGAAACCTTTCTTTGAACTATGGCACACTGTTTCAAAGTGGGAGTAAGCTTCGTTCTAGCAGGGTAGTCAGATAATACCTAAAGAGGTGACAGAGTAATTCTGAAAAAAATGGTAATTCTTTTTGAGTTGATGCGTGCGCGCGCGCGTGCACACGCATACTTGCACCGAGCGTGCAACATCAGCCCACCAATCAGAAGCAAGGGGTCCCAGCTCAACCCGATTGGTTAGGAGGGCGCCCCCTGTAAAATGTATAAAATGAATGCGTCGTCCTCCACAACCATCACTTTCCAACCATCTGTGGTGGAGAATTCATCGAGGCTTTATCTTTATACAAACCATCAAGAGAAATGTCTGGTCGAGGAAAAGGAGGCAAAATTAAGGGAAAGGCAAAGTCTCGCTCTAATCGAGCAGGCTTACAATTCCCGGTTGGTCGTATTCATAGACTACTTCGCAAAGGCAATTACGCTGAACGAGTTGGTGCTGGAGCGCCAGTTTATTTAGCAGCAGTTATGGAATACTTAGCTGCTGAAGTATTGGAATTGGCTGGTAATGCAGCTCGGGATAATAAGAAGACTAGAATCATTCCACGACACTTGCAACTTGCCATCAGAAATGACGAAGAATTGAATAAACTATTGTCTGGAGTAACCATCGCTCAAGGTGGCGTTCTACCAAACATTCAAGCAGTTCTATTACCAAAGAAGACCGACAAGAAGACATAATTTGTTTTCCATTCATTATCAACGGCCCTTTTCAGGGCCACCAAATTTATAACGAAGGATAGTCTCGAATTGAACATGTTCCCTAGAATTCTTCCCATTGAAACTTATAGTTATTTATCTTGCTTCTTTTTTAGTTACTGGTCTGTTATAAAATAATTGATATTAGGGCATTGATTGTGAGCACAATGAGTGCATTCATCGTGTAACGTAGCATCATTATCTGCTAACCATATGCTGATATGAAAATGATAGCTCAGATGGTAAATCGACTAGCGGGGAGAAGGTTCAGCTGTTTAACGACGGCGCTGGTGGGTTACCTAATGATAGTGAAAAGAAAAGGAGCGCATTTCGAAGGCTGCTTTGTGCAAGAGCGTTGAACCCTTTTTGTTATACGAACAACGTACAAAAGCGAGTCATAGATGCAATACGAATTTGTTTCAAATGAATTCATGTTCAAAAAATATATTTTATGATAGAATATCAAGTAGTTTCCGAAGGGAACTTGCAAGTAAAGAAACGAAGGAACACTCATCAGTTCATTGCCCCGAAATTATGACCCAAGTTTTTAGCTTTTGAAGGTCGAACATCCTACATTGGGACGCGATACGAAGAAGCTAGAAAGAGCGCAGACTAAACTGGAATTCGTCAATGCCATTGATGATCGCACACAAACGATCCAGGTGACGATGATCACTCGTCGATGTGCGGAGGGAACGTTGTAATCGTGTCCATCCGCTGCCGACGAAGCGTTACCAGGTGACTCAACCGTTGTAACTCGGTTTCAAAGCATCGAAAGAAAGGGAAAGTACCCGGGACATCGAAGCATGGTAGCTTGCCATGCTCTCAGTCCGCGGAAAGCAACTGAACGCACGCGAGAAGAAGCGATCCTCGGCGCCTATCTATCTCGCAGTCGCGAAGATCGCGATCGAAATTCGTATTTGGAGTGACCAGCGTAGCCGGTAAATCCCTGTGCTGATCGAAGGGAGATCGGAGTGTGACTGGGAAATCGTTGACCTCAGCCGTTTTTCTGCAAGGTGGACAGTGCCATATCCATTAAAGGTGAGAGATCATGGATAAATTTATATTATAGATATATTTTCCAAGGATTATTATGTAATTAACTTCATCGAAATTCAAGGATCCTACACTTGTTAATTTCTCCTTTTCCCATTTTATGAACGTAACTTTGGGTTTCTTCGAATGCGCTCGAACCCCTCGAAGGACGACGCGGTATCGGAGAAGGGATCGAAAAATATCTGGAAGTCCTTCACCGGTCGATCCATTCTTTTCCTTTGACCTACAAACACGGGGCCCCAATTAATAACCCTATATTTTCCATTCTCGCTAAGCACATAGCAACGCCATTATGGAAATCTATTTCGGCACGTTTCTCGAGTAAATAAAATATTTCACTGTATGCTAAATAAAATTGTAAATTTTCGATCAGCGGACAAATTACAAGAAACATTGCAACATTAATCTCCGTTGCGTGAACAGTGGACCTTGAACACTTTGGGTGGCCTTCGATCGTTTGGTCGGATCATTTTGATATAAGCTCGACGAAATACTTATGCAAATGACGATGCGACCAGCTCTTGTTTGTTCTTCCGAGATTGGCGAAGAAATAGAATTCGAGGATTATAAGAGAATCTATCGTAGTTTCATCAATGATACGTCGCTTACATCGAATAATAGTATTATGCGAGCATTATGCAATCGTGAAAATTTCACTTTCCACACAGCGATCGAGGCTGTTGTGTGCGCGTTCGCGCGATCAACGACCATGTCAGGATAGAACGTCTATAAATGTGCATAAAGTGCACGCGCGTTTTGCTTCTAGATATCCGTTGCCGATTTTTATGAAATAACATTGCACTCGCGTTACCTGTCTCTTTTTCATACTTTTTCTTTTTTCGCGCGGCTTGCCTAACCGGTCGCTCTGTCACGAGAACGCACGTAGTCGTACAAGGACGACCATACCGAACGTGCTTTTAGGAGATCGGGGTCTCCTTTGCTCGAGTTTCGAAAGCAAATTCAAATTTTCTTCATGAAATACGATATTTTCGATGTAAACCGAGTTGCCATGTTATACAGGGGCAAAGTTGCTTCATTTTTACCGGTTGGTCCACCGCGTAAGAGGAAATTACGTATAGGTGCGTTAATATAATTAGAAAAATGCTAAAAGATTTTAATGTACTGAAACAAGATCGGACCGCGAAGTGTTAAGTAAGTTTGGCTAGAGTAGAGTGTTAATACACCATCGGTTAAGAAAGTTGCTGACATCGCAAATGAAATTCGTGGCAGAGAGCACAATGGCCGATTACACAATTATTACAAACAAACCGGTGGCACGATTGCGCAACTTGCAACCAATATGTAGCCCACGGATCGCATTATTCCATTTCTCCGTGGTCGAGCTAGAAAAATCCTGGTTCCACGCGGAAAATAACTAGCTCGATTTATCCGCGTGACGATCCGCCGCGGTCTGCTGCGCAATCCTGCGATCATTATTTTGTATATTGTACGGAAGACTGGCTCACCTTTCCAGCTAAACTCGTCGTTGTGATGCAACGGACAAGAACCGTATCCTTGAAAGTGGCGATCGTTGCCGAGCATCGATGGAAAATTAGAATGTTGTCATCCGAATCTATCGAATCCTCGTACGAGGCCATCGATTCGATATCCGATTCTTGTCCTGATTTTTAAGTTTTCAAAAAACCACTTCACAAAATTAACGAATCACTAATTAAAATAAGAGCTGAGAACTGAACTACCCAAGTGTTACACTCACTTATTAATGAAACTTTGCCAGCTTGTAAAGCTCGTCGAGCTGAACGCGCCTATACCCCGTTTTGTGGGCAGATGGCTAATTGTTTAAAAGATATTAATAATTAAAGTTAGTTACTACTTACATTCTGAAGTATGACAAACTCACACATACAACTCGCATTCTAGAGATCCACGGTTCAAACCCTTGGTTCCCAATATTTTTTTTTTTTTTTTAATGATAATTTGTCTCTTTTTGAATAACTATTACATAAAAATTATCATTAAAAAAAAAAAAATTTTTTTGGGAACCCAGGATTTGAACCGAGGACCTTTAGATTGCGAGTCATGTGCTTAACCACGGAGCGGATCCATGACTCGCAATCTAAAGGTCCTCGGTTCAAATCCTGGGTTCCCAACAATTTTTTTTTTTTTTAATGATAATTTTTATGTAATAGTTATTCAAAAAGAGACAAATTATCATTAAAAGAAAAAAAAATGTTAGGAAGCAAGGATTTGAACTGTGGATCTCTAGATTGCGAGTTGTAAATATGTGTGAGTTTGTCATACTTCAGAATGTAAGTAGTAACTAACTTTAATTATTAATATCTTTTAAACAATTAGCCGTCTGCCCACAAAATGGGGTATAGGCGTGTTCAGCTCGACGAGCTCTACAAGCTAGCAAAGTTTCATTAATAAGTGAGTGTAACACTTGGGTAGTTCTCCGTATGAGTGGTACGAAAGTCAGACCGGTATCGTTCCGTGCCTATGCCCTGAGGAGACTAAAGGAAAACTGAAGGAATAGCTTTGGTATTTCTGAATTGCAAGAATCCTGTGTGCTATTTCTCCATTCGGTACCTCATAAACGGAGGAGCAATTCGTTTCAAAAGTGCAACGACAGGGCTGTCTATAAAGAAAGCTAAAACCCATTGACCTTCGCCGACAGCGACCCAAGAGACCCAGGAGGATCGTAAATTAGGCCCATCCTAAAGGTTCCTAAATCTAAACATTTCAATCCTCGTTTAGTGACAGAATAATTAAAAATAAACTATGATCTTTTCTGTGAAATGAAATTTCATATCGGTGTACCTATTTATAAATTCCTCTTCCTTTCAGGATCGTTCTTCGATGAATAATGGATGATGATTTTAAAGACGGCTGATAAAATCAAACTGTTGCAACGAGTCGCTGCTTCGACGTTTCTGCATGCCTGATTTCTTCGTTCATCAGGATTCGCGATGTTGGATCCGATTCTGGGAATATCGTCGGTATGGTGGTTGGTGATGTACGCCAGTATTTTGCTGCTGCTCTCCCCTCTGGTGCTGCTTTTCATCGTTTTCCTGCCGAATTTCCCGATACTGCTGCTCAGAAGGATGTGCTACATTCCTATCGAGTCCATATGACGAATTATTGTGAAAAGAATTACCGAAGTTCTAACGTTATTTTAATAATAGAAGCCGGGAAAAGGATCGCGGAGGTTTCTAAAAATTGTCTAAAAGTACAACCTCATCGTTATGCTGCTATGTAAATTGCTATTTAAATAGTTACGCTTGGTCGATGGAAACTTCCATACTTCATTGCACGATTCTTACCCGCTGTACCGTTATGGAGAATTATAAAGGCCTCTAACGTCCGTGCAAAAGAATAGACGAACAATGGATATGGTTTGAATGGTCAGGCCAAGCGAACAGCTGGAATATCTGGTTTTGATGGCGCCCATTTTCCATGTCTGGTTCAAAGTGTAATCAAAATCGCATCAAATTAACTGTACAGTTATAATGATACCTTTAGTCATATAAGTTATATCCGATACATAGAGTCTATTTCTTTTTCCTTCAGCTTAAGAATTTCACGAAAATCAAACGATGTTTGCGTCAACCGTAAATAAATTATCTGGCAGGATAGAATTTACTCAAGCCAAACATTCTGACTTGCGCAAACTTCAAATTTCTATTCTGCGATCTAACTGTACGAATTACGCGAGCGAATAAACTCGACAAGCGGGAACGGTGTTTCGCAAAACGCGGGTTACGCTCGTTTCCGGCGCGGACAGCTCGACAATTTTGCGAGAAATCAGCAGATTTTTCGAGGTCTGCCCGTTTCTTGCGTCAGCGGGTATTTTCGAGAGTAAACATCTCGAATGTAGAAATATCGAGCGTGATTCTACCGTTGAGTGACATTACTTGGTCACGAATCGCGTTGTTCACCGTTCATTTTTCGTCTCGCGTGTTATGTAAACCGGCGCACGTCATTGAACGTTCACCATTGATCTTGCTTTTTCTTGTAATCACCGGACTCGCGAACGAATTACGCGGCAATAAATGGCACCTGCGAAAAATCTATCGACGAGAACCACTGTTAAAACCGAATGATTGACGCGTGTCACTTCGCTAGGGGCTCAAGTTTTCGTGACCCGTCGTTATTTTTAATAACAGAGTAGAAATGTCGAGGTTATTTTTTATAACGGGGAATGTTAATTCAGGTGCAATTTATTGCTCGTTTGGTAAGCGAGCGAAATATTGCACACCTATTTCCAGCTATTCTATTCGTTCTAAGAGAAACATTCCTGCTCGAACGGGCATAATTAGGCGGTCTGTGTAATTAGCAGACTCCCTTAATTATCGCTTCATTATTCTTCTTTGATTTCTTATGGTTAGAAGAAACAGGCGTTTTCAATACAATTTACAAGCTCTTGCAGAGAAATAAAATGTATTGTATATCGTGCAGTAATATTTGTTTAAAAAGGTTTTTTAAGGGGTACTAAATGCATCGCGTATTACCGATGATGCGCTTCACGTTTTGCTTATCAGTCGGACACGGTGCATCCTGTGCATGGTAAATGCACGTCCTTCTGCAGTTCACCAGGTGATATAGGCGGGCCCGAAGTTGAACATTACAGTAACGATCGGAGAGTACTTTCGCCAAGTAGCGTTCGTAGTGGGGGAGTTGAGACTTGAACCCTGGGACCTCATGGGCCATATATACAACGCTTCCATGCAGCTCTCTTGCTACTTGGTGTCAGCATCTCGACGATCCTTGCCGTTGTACGGGAAAGATACACCGAGTGGAGGACCGATCAAGTAAAAGGTAAGCGTCGTTGATTAAACTCGCTAACATACCTTGAGCAATTAACTCGAAATACCTTCTTCCCTTTTTTAAAATAAAAACCCATCGGAAAATATAGCTGACCATTTGAAAAGGATTAGAATCAAACGGTTCATTGCACTTGGGGTAAATGAAAATTAAATAATCGAATAAACGTTATGAATCATTGCGACGAGATGCGATCGCGTAGCTTTCTGATCGTGAGTCAATCCTCTGGGTATTTCCTTTCTAAATAACTATTTAAATTGAACCGAGGAGGATAACAATAATTCTATGGATATATTTTAAATTCTATTCAAGTAAGGAGCAACTTTCGTGTGAATTAACCTAATTTATCGTTAGAAATGATCGTCTAAGGCGGTTCAAGTTCACGCGACACAAGAATTTCACCTAGGCGCGACAATTCAATCTCACACGCACACACTTACAAAGAAAACCGAGGAAATATTCCGTGCACGCGTATCTAAGCTCTTTTGTATGCGCTCCTTCTATCGCACACACGCGATGTCCTTTTATCCACGGGTGGCAATCACCTTTCCAGAAACAATGCTACCTACCTGGTTGACACGTGGCTAGAGCGTGCCCTCGTGTTTTCCAGAAATTCATTGCTCGATTGTGAACAAGGATCACGGCACCATTTTCTATGAAACTTCGAACGCAAAGTCGGTTTCTCTTTCGTGACGAGTTCGAGAGATTGATAGCTGCGTCTGGGTACAATACGACGTTGCTGCATTGCATTGTCATTGCATCAATCGTTGTAATTGTCTCGTACGTTACTTTAGGGTCACCCGTCTGCGCATGCATGCGTGCTTGTTCTAGATTTATCGATGCTATACTTAGACAAAGGACTATTAACTATATAATTCAGTCGATGACACATTTTACCTGTATCCGCTTCAACTATGTTGTCATAATCTGAAAACAAAAATTTGTATTATAGTTTCGTCATTGTTACCATTATCTTGTTGTATTTTTCTTTCCAGATGATGTTATTAATATCGTTCATGATGATTGCCCTGGCGATGGGAGAGCCAGGGTTGCTGAGGGTGCCCAAAGTGTACAACGCGGTCATCACCAGCAACCAGAATCTCTCTCCATCGAGAGCATTTCCTGTGATACAACCAATAATTCATCGAACAGCGGTCGGCTACGTGCCACCCTATTATTACACCCAAGTGTCGCCTCAATTCGCTGGACCCGACGTGGTGCACCTTTCTCAGGGTCCCTTGAAACCTGGCAACGAGGGTGACGTTCGATCGGAACCATCAGCCACCGTGGAATCTTCCCAAATAGCAGGTACGAAGGCAGAAACAGAAACTGATCAGGGTGGAGAGGAGAACAAAGACATACCGAGAGGCGGCTCGAAGAACAAGAAAGAAGAAGAACCCCTCAGTTTTTATCCCAACTACCAGTCGCTCTATTACGACCCCTATTTCTACACCTACAACGGTTTCAACCCTCACGTCGTTCCGGGGACTTATTACGTGGACTACCAACCTTTCGGTACCGTCCAACCGATCCCTGCCTCCACGCCGAAGAATGGCCTCTCCCAACACTTGCTCCCCGGTTACCACGAGGAAAAGAAACCCGTTGCAGCAATGAAGGAGCTGAAGGAGAAGATACCAGATGTGCCGCCACCACCCCTTCCGACAGCTGTACCGAAGAGTTCTTGAAACGGTACCCAGGATGATTTTCTCTTCCTTCGTTCAGACTGACTTTACGTGGACATAGTGTGCGATAATAAGTGACTGTAAAAAGGAACTATGAATTCGATGTATGTAAACGTTGTGTATTTCACGTCAGTATTCTATGTACGTCGATACATGATCTCGTTACTAATTTTACTATCGTAGAATCATCAGATCATCCGGCTAATTGATCGTTTAGGGTTTAACTCTCTCGCAACGATCGCCCGTTTTATCAACAGCCCAGATTTTTATAATGTACGACAGCAATCCCTGCTGGAAATCTGTAATCAAGAGTTGCACGAAGTTAAACGTACCATCTGCCGCGCGATCAACGTCGAATGATACGGTGGCTCGGGTCATGTTCATTGGTAAAGCTCTGATGCAGGCGATGCAGAATGGCCCCTCTACCGAAGTTGTCAAATTCACTTGGACGGACGTCGAATTGTGCACGTTCACGTTCAGATTATGTTGGTACACTAAGTTTCCCGCGCAAGTACCCCATTTCATTGTGTCCTTCTTGTTATCATCCTGAGAACAAACATTTATCATCGCTCGATTGTAATTTTTATATGAATAATAAATTTAATTCGTCGTCACCTTTCTGTGTTGAAAGAAAATAAATTTGTTTTACTTACTGCGCTCCATGGCTCGTCATTAACGAAGTTTACAGAATTTGCATTAGAACGTGGTTTATTATCGTCCATCGTGTAATAATCGTAGTCACCCGATACATCCTCTTCGTTATTCACTTCGGACGAATATTCCGTAGGCTGAACTTGTTTGGGATAACTATCACGATCCACTTTTGTTGTAGCTTTTGTAACTGGTTCCGGAGTCTGTGTCGTGGCAAAAGTGGTTGTACCGAGTTCTTTATTTGTGTCTAAACCAAACGTATAGATATATTTAGGAGTAGTGGACAATTTTTTAGCATATTTCTCAGCTATCTCCTTTTGTCGAGCATAAAATCTTTCCATGACCGCTTTTCTCTGAGCGTAGTAATCAGATTTGTCGTCTCTCTTCGATCTCCCTCCATTAACATGATAATTTAATTGTCGCCGCTTGATTCGCTTCTTCGTCGTTTCTTCGTCCGCATACTTTCTACCATCTTTGTTCTTCCAATTTTTCAAACCACTCTGAGTCTGCGCCAACTTCAATTTCGTGTAGCTTTTCTTCGCATCTTTGAAGTCGTCTAATTCGGTCACGTTTCTTCTGAATCTTCCTTTATCTTCTCCGTTTCTTTCGTTCACTTCGTTGAAAATCGAACGTCGTTTTCTGTCGTGGAAGTTATTCGATTGTAATTGAACTCTCACGAATTTCTTACCTTGAAGATCTTCGGCCGAGTTGTTTTCGCTCGTAAATTCGCGAGCTTTGTACTTGATCTTCTTTGTCCTGACATCGGACGACTTCAGCGCGTTTTGTTCCTCTTTGTCGATGTTCAATCGATTCTTGGCGGACGTTTCCGTTATCGCGAGAAGCACTAATGTCAGAAGAACGATGGAAAGACAAAGATTTCTCATCGTCTCGTCTGGATGGTTCGAGCATCGGAGATGTAAATGAAGGAGACCGGAGGCGCCGGTGCATCTTTGACCTCGGCTTATCTACGATTTCTGGGGTGAGGGACCTGCTTATTGCTCATGCACGGGAATGATTGCTCTTCTTCAAAAGATAGCTAATTATAGCGAGTTAATTTATAAAATTGCTCGATCCCCAAGAAATTACTTATCGCGAATCGGTGACAGCAAACTGACTGCTCGTTTGATGAGTAAAATGGAACTCTGTTAGAATTCATTTTATTGCTAATAAAGATTCAATTTGTGAACTGTCTTCCACTTTCTAAAGCGTGTATTCATGATTCGACCTGATCTAAATACCACATGATCCATCAATTCTTTCTAATCTTGATTTACGAGCAAAAAGATTTGGTAAGCAGATTAACTGACGCAAATTCTAAATGCGGACAAAGTTGAGCACAGGAAATTCTCAGCTCTACACTCCACGATCTCTGTAGAAAATTAATTACAAAATTAATAAACTTTATTCAATCAAAATCAATTCACGTGGAAATACAAAAGAGACTGGTTTCATATTGAATCTACGGTGATGCTGTCGTCGTCGTCGTTCTCGTTCTCGTTGCTGTCAATTGGTTCCTTCATTTCCTTATCCGGTTCAACTTTCGTGTCCAATTTCTCGAGGCCATCATCGCTTTCTTCCGTTGGTTTCATGGTGGTCGTTGACGGTGGGTTTGGCTTAGGCAGTGGCCCTGGTTGACCAGGTTTCAATAAAGGATATACCTACAACAAGCCCAATTATAAAAATACCCTTCAAAGTTTGGTCAATAAAACAGCAGGATTACACACTGGGTTTAATGGGAACCGGAGGTCGTACACCGGAGTGCCATAATAAAAATTATAGGTAGGTAATTGGGGGACCGCTGGCTTTCCATTTGCAAGGATGGTTGCAGGAATTGCATTTAAGTCCGTGCGTACCTGAAAGAACAAACGTAAACGTCAATAAAATAAAAATGAAATAAAGGAGATTAATTTTCACGACGCATTACATTGTAAACGTAATAGGGAGAATAGGTGTCCTGGTACTGAAGGAGTTGCGGCTGCACGCTGATGGCTTGCGAAGGATAATTGCTGACGTACAGATTCGGCCAGATCGGTTTCGACTCTATCGATGCGACCAGGATCACAACGACGATAAGCAGAGCAACGTGAATCTTTGAACAAGAATTCATAATTAAAAATAAAAAGAAAAAAAAAATTTGAACTGAAATCCTTTTTTCATTTATCCCGCTATCAGTGAATATAAAATGAAAGAGAACGGAATGACGGATACTCCTTGGAGCAAGATAAAAATGTTTCAATTTATGTGACACGAGAAACAATGCGGTAGTTGGACTCGGAGATTGATCGCTCTCTGCGTCGAATAAAGAAACAGCGCGAGTGACGCGGATCCTTTTTGATAATACCAGCTTGGTCTCGATGCGCAGTAACCGTGTTTCGCATATCAATGATCTCGATTCGCGAACAACGCGGAAACAGATTTTGTCGATAGGTGTAACGGTGTTCTTGTGCCGAGAATTATTTCTAAAAACAAGCGAAACGGTTCCATGGAACCATTGGCATTTTTTCAGAAACATTTCATATTTTTCGCACGTAAAGAAACAAATAGAATTGTCATCATACATCACACGAATACGTAAAACGTATAAAGTTGATATTGTTACAATGTTTAAGAGCAAAGTTGTAAATAGACGAATAGACGAATAGGACTCACCTGCATGGCGTGATCACAGCTTCGCGATAGGCTCGGAAACTATCTGTACTAACCTGAATTTAAGCCCTACCCGCGATTTATATATTCTTCGTGGAGAATAAACCCCCACCCTACCGAATATCATCCGTGATTGTTTCTTTTTTTTTCCTTCGCTCCTACGCTTAACTCTTCCGTTGTCTCCTCTCGATCCTCCGCCATGACGAACGGGATACCTGCTCGTGATTCTTTTTTTCGACGATGTAAGTGCCGTATAATAACCGAACATATTTGGGCCCATTGTATTTTCATGATCTATCCGTGAATCAGAGTGTGAATTTCAATTTCTTCCTGTAGGGGTGGGTTTTGTTCCAACCGGATATCGTGGAAATTTATGAAAAATTATGGTCACGCATTTCCAGTTTATGTAAAATTCTGAATACTTTTATTATTTCGGGGATATCCTTAATTAACGGAGAATGTCCATACTGATGATTATAAAAAATTTTTGTATTATTCATGATATTCTATATGAAATGTTGTATTTATTGTTACAAAGAGAGTGACTAAGACGAGGTGAAGGAAGGACAAATACGTGAACCGGTTAACGTTGGTAAATTGTTGTTTAGAATATGAATGAAGGGTGTGGCCTGGCACCTCTAACACCCGAATTTACATTGCTAATGCGCTCCGGCTAGTATACCTGTCATCGTACCGTTTCTTCGATTTTGATCGATGATTATGTACGAGGAATTTGAACGCATTCTTAAACTTCAACAGAGGAGAAATAGGAGAAATAGATATTCGGGATTGACTTCAAGGAGTTTGATTTATGAATATTGACATTTCGGCGAGTAACCTAAATTCACGATCGTCGATGAGAAATTTCTCGGTCGGAAGAAAATCGTGGAGTTGATAAGGACGCGATCGCTCGATCATGGACGTGTTGGGAATTTTCCGGGACTGACGATGAGATGTTTAATTTTGATGTGACATGGCCCTTGAAGCATGCTCTTCGAGGCTGATTAATCAAGGAAAATGCGAAAGACAAATACCAACGGTAAGAAACGAAGACGCGACGCGGCGCGTTGACAATCAAGGGAAGAGAAGCGACGCGAGCAGATGTCAAGCTGATATTCTAAGGTACGTATTAACCTGCAACAAAATTAACCTATTGAAAAACAAATTTCATCCCACTGGATATTTTTACCGGGCTGGTTGGATCAATGAAATCGAGTTTGGACGATTGAATTCGTACGAAAGACCCGCGCGAATTGCGGATAAAACGGTGGTGGACCAGTTTGAACGAGAGCGCCGTTTCGAGAATCGATAGGGCGAAGCTCGTGAGGCGTCGACTGTGCTCGTGAAAGTTCGCACGGCTACTAATCAATCCGCGGGAGCTTTCGTGTTTATCAACAAGTGCCGCATACGATTCCGTGACAGCACCCACTGCTTTGCGAGCCACCGCGTTCAGGGATCCGTGACACCCATCGTCGCCTATGGTGCTCGACAGTTGTCATCGACGACGAGGTTAAGACCCCTGACCGTGTCCTTGCACCGCCGCCACCCCTCTAGCAACGAACAGTGCGTGTATTTCCGGTCGTTCATCGACGAGAAGGTTACCTCTGCCTGCACTTCCTCCACCCACTCATTCCTTTCTCTCCTTTCATCGTTTTTCCTCTCGATTTTCTTGCTTCCCTTCGCGGATCCATCGAAGACGCAGCGCTCTATTAATAACCGCACGGTGTCGTTGCTCGTTCGTGTTTTCGCCTTGGTCATCGTTGTTTTCCCCAGGATTCTCAAGCTCGAGGACGAGCAGGCTCCGTTCAGCCGAGAATTTCTCTGCCACCCTCGTCGTTACATGGGTTTAACGTCGTGAAAGATACTCGAGTGTAGGCTGAATTTTAATGGGGATGGTTGGAAGTTAAGGGTGGTTCGGGTTTCCTTGGAATCGTCGAGAAAAGGGGTTGTTCTCGTGGTTTTTAAGAATCAAATTAAATTGGAATATGTTTGAATTACTTGTCCGTGAAATTTTGGAAGTGTATTCATAATTATTTTCGCTGACTTCGTTTCGACAATGTACGAATCTATTTAAGGATCCTCGAGAATCTCGATACAACTCGTTTGGAAATGTCCGTGCGTGTCATTCTTATTTAAATCGTGAATATTCCATTCGCCGAGTCATGTAATCACCTGTTCCTCATAACTTAAAGTCACACGTTCCACCGAAAATTAATGTGCCTCTAGCAAGGTGGCATAACGTTTTCCATTTTTTGGCAAGTTGATTTCGAAACAGTTCATAATGATTTACAATCTCTTTGTTAAAAACTGTATTTAGCCTCGCAACAATGAATATTTTCAATTTACGCAACAGAAGGTGGCAGAGAAATTTTTATATAAAAATTCGTAGTTCATAGGTTACGGTGCGAGGATGAAAGTGAAGTGCAAGTTGGTTTCGCAATGGTTTCTACAAGTGGCCGGAAGGATCTCGCGACGATGACTATGTCATCGCGTGAAATTTTCATGGTGCTGGTGGTTCACCCGTTCGTCCAGGAAACCGGACAACCCCCGTTCGTCAGAGGGTGCTAACAAAGGGGGTCTCGATGGAAAATATGAGAAAAGGGGCGCGGTTTTCGGAAAGCGGCCGTCACTATAAATAGAGGCGCCTCGTGCGTGCGTGGTATGCTTTTAAACATAGTTTTGGCAGCGCGAAACGTCAAACCGCCTCGGAGTGGCAAAGCGCGTGGATCGTTCCGCGAATTTCACGGGAAACATTGACCGAAATCCCTGTTTCTCCCGTCCGGTATCTTGGTCATTCGTGAAATGTGACATCGGCAAACGAGGCTTTACTTAGTCGGTCGATCGTGTCAAGAGGTTCGCCCGCGACACGAGTGTAAAATCGTTTAAACAAAGAAGGTCGTCGAGGTAATAATCGATATCGGGACGCGTGTGTGTTCGTTCCTGGAACCCTTCTCTTTAGTGACTTGTCTTGGAACGGAAAGGAATAGCGAAGAGTTCGAGGAGGGAGATAATGAAAAGTGCATCGGAGAAACCCGACAAGGAGAACCAGCGGCCGATGGAGACGAGCCACGAGGCGGAGGAAAACGCTCAAGATGCCCAGGACGAAGAGTAAAAATTCCAACACTAACAAAAACACTCGTCCCCGCGTTTCGTGCGTGCGCTCGTCGCACTTTGTCAGGTTTCCGATCCCGTTCTGAACGCACATCTCCAGACGTCGCACGCTTCCTTCGCTCATTCACGCTGTCATTCGAACGATCACCTTTCCTGGCTCTCGAAATTTATTTGAAATCATTTTTCTACGAAGAAAAAATGCTTGGAGTGACGATGAACGAAGGAACGAATTATTTTCATGGAGCGACGTTTGAATATTTTACTGAAACACAGAAGTAACCGTTTGGCTGGACGGGGAGATAATTGCAAAATTTGTATTGGCACCGTGAGACATCACTCCGGGCCAAGTGAATCGTTGTATTGTTGGAAATGTTCGGCTGTTTTGCCGACCGTAATATTTACGGGCAGTAATTTAATCCTGATGTTTTACAATGTGGTTCTCGAACGTGGACTTAGTTGTCATTGAAAAATGCAGGTAGTTGGACCTTGTCGTACGGGATTGTGTTTTCTACCTGCATTTTTATTGCTTAGACGTTATCGCTTAGAAACCTCCTCAGCTTTTATGATGTCTTTACTCAACTTTACAGCAAACAATTTGTTCGACCGGTTATCCGTGTTAAGAAAACAAAAGACAGGGTAAAGATACCATGAAATCTCGACGAGGAAGAGTAATTGGCCATCGCTGCTGATTGTTAATTCACATAACGAACGTTTTCCAGCAATTCTTCTCTTGTGGCTACATTTTACAACCATTCGCGCGGTTTATTTTCGATCGCAAGTTTCTTGTACGAGCGCGTTAATTAACCTTGAACGAGACGCGAAACGCTTTCCAACATTCGATCTTCATTTCTGCGACATTGGCTAACGATGCTCGTGAAAGGAGATTAATGCGCATTATGTTCGAAATTGGCCGGTCGCCAATGGACAGTCGATTAATACCCGCGAATGACACCGACGCATACAGTTTAACTCGTGTTTTCCTTCTAAACGGAAAAATCGTGATTTCTTTATCGCAGATAGACCAAGGACTATCGTACACGACGAGAGTAGGACGAGTAGCTGCGCTCCTTTGGTTAAGTACAAACACGAAAATGAATTTCAGTTTCTTTTTTTAATTTCCCCTTTTTGTGTGACTTCAAACGTGACAGACCCAAAGAGATTTTCTTCTTCTATTATTTTTATGAATTACACGCGAAAGACCGATTCGATGAACGACGAATATCGCGTGGAATTTTGATAGTTTAATGAACGATGCAATTAAGCATCGTTGGGCTTGCTATGCGTGTGCGATTTTACTTTTTATTTTGCAGAAATTTTTGATACCGTCTCATGTGACTTGGGCTTCCTTTGATTAAAAGTAAGCCTAAGGGATGAAATGTTCCACCACTCGCCTGGGATCTGTAACAGAATATCAAAGGAATTAGAAGCATGGAGTAGAGAGCGTACAATTGTCGTTTGCGAGTAATTCAACATCTCTCGTTCAAAATCTATTGTCTCTTTGCGGCGTCTAAATAATCTAAATAATCAGTAATAAATAATCTAGCTGATACAGTTTGTGATCGATCTAACATCGACAGAATCGAATATTCGATCGCGGATGGAGTCATAACAGTTATTGAATAAATTGTCTTTTTACCAGATTTCTTCTCTTGTCATTTCTCGCTGATTTTCCTTACCCTTTCGCGCCTTTGAGAAACTCAAAGTTCGATTACCACTTTGAGATCGATCGATCACCTCTTTTTTTGCCGAGATCCTCGCGTCAATGTCCTTGCTAAGAAATAAATACGGTTACAGATCTTTACGTAGGAGGAGAGGAGGTTCTAAGTTAGACTCTTCAGGGTTCTCCAAAGATCAAAGGCAAATGGTGGGTGGTTTCTCTCTCCACTTTACCCTTAATCAAGAGAAGCCTACGTTGCACAAATCATTGCATGTTTAACCATCGGTGTGCTACGCCTACGTTTTCACTTGCAAATTCCACCTTGTTCTACCCTGACTGACTGATAACTGTGCTTTCATTCTTGATTTCTGCGATCTAGTGTGATGTCACCGAGCAACAAAAGCGTGGACGAGGCTATAAACGATGCATTGTTGGAGAAACTTCGAAGTTGCGCCACGAAACCTCAGGAGACCGGTGATACGTTTCGAAATGTCGTGGCGAAGATTCAAGCCCGAGTTACATCCTCAGGTAATCTCTCAAAGTGTCAATTTTTATTTCTTTCTAGGTTTCATCGAACTTTCTTCTTTCATTCATCCTTCTCTTTTCGGAGCACGAGCAAACGTTCAGCACGAGTCTCGAATGCGGCAGCAAAGTTTTAAACGAATCGAAACAGATTGGACACTTTAAGACGAGGCTCGTGCCGCTAAATTGCTATTTTTACCGCGAACGTTGGCTTCTATTTCATCGGACTAATCACCAGAAACTTGCTCGATTTATTATTACTGCCGTCATAACTTGCACGCCGCAGTCCTTTACGCGAGATCAACGCTCGATATTTTTCACCCCTTTGAAACTTCGCGTTTCCCATTTTCTCCTTCTGTTTACGCGACAACTGAAGTAACGTTTAATTAACGGCACGAATTGTCGAACGAGAAACGTCAAAGTTTCGTGTCGAAAAAATGAACCGGTCGCGTGAAAAAGCGTCACTTCGTACTCTTCTAAACACGTGAAAATCCAGGTCGCTTTCGATTGTTCCTCGGCCTTTACCTTTTTTTCATGTAACATACTTCTCTGAAAAAAAGGCAGGAAGTTGAAAGAAGGAAAAACGATGAATAGCAACGCAACGAGCAAACAATTCCTCAGATGCATGCATACATTCGTGTTTAATCGCGCTTCAACATGCCACGAAATTATCACCGCTGGCTAATCGAAGCTGCATTTCGTTGGAGTATAAATTTAGACTACCCTCTGTTTATTTCGATACAAGTGTCAGTCACGCGCGAGTTGTTGGAGAAAATCACGCGTTTCTGCGGATCGACGAACAGGTGTTTTAGCAACGGGCTACGTTCGACGTCACTTGTTATTTTCGAAAAGCCGGCTATCCCGTTTGTTCGATTACATAAGGACATTCGGTGATAGATCGTTTGGACGTGGCCCAACGTATAACCAGCAGAACAATACACTGTTAGACGATTCCCGAAGTGAATTGCGGTCGTGCCAATTTGATAAGGGCTTTTTGTCGCGTTGGTCGATATTTCTGCACCCTCGAAAGCTCATCGTCGACGCGGTGTCATCACACTGACTCATCGTTTCTGGTGTAACCAGCCTGTCACGATCGAGGAAAAAAGCTTTGATAAGCTTTTTGATAAGTCACCTTGTTATCTCTTCGTACATTATGTCGCCTTTGAAGTTCGACACTCGCTTTTCCCTGTGAAATTGAACACCATGTTTCCTCTCTCACCCACTAATTTTCAATCAAAGACGCAGATAATTCCTGAGAAAAGCAACCTTTCAAACGAATTATTCGGTGTGAATTATCAATGTCCAGTTTTTTGTAGCTGGTGATCATGGCATTGGAAATGATTGGCCTTGTGTCAAGTCTGAAACGAGAGCCACACGTTTCGCCAATACACAGTACGCCTGGTATTGCATGGAGGACACTGTTCCTCGCACCTGTTCCCTCGATGATTTATTATACCAGATACTTATAACGTCTGGCAGTAGGAGGACGTGTTTGTCGCCTAAAGATTTACATCGTGCTTTCTTGTCTCTTTAATGAAGCTCGTTATACGGTTTCGTTGCTGCAGACGAGTGATAATCGATCAAATTCTTTTTTCTTTGAATTCATAAAACGGCTTATTCCTTAGTCTAATGTATGCATGAAATTGCAATTGTAACATTTTCATTGACACGTTTCAGATCGACGTGTACGGGAACGCACGCTGGAGAAGTTATGGCGGAAGAATTCCGGGGCGATGGAAATATTCATCGCGACACTGGAGGTGGGTGATTCTTAATTACACTGCCCGTACAAATCAAGTTTCGTCGCTTTGGTTATCACGGTCGTCCACTTTCGTTTAACGACCGCTATCGTGTCCCATTCGCGATTATTCGAGAGCGGTGGTTTTTCGAGGCCTCGCGTTTAATCAACGATTAAGCGAGCGGATAACCGTGTCACGACGAAGCATTCAGCACGAAATGGCGTGGTTAGGTCGCATCCCATTGTCCGTCCTTTCGACAGAGCTTCCTGCAGCGTGCAAAACTGGAAAGCAGTTCGTTCCATTTTCTGATAAGCACGCACGCCGCCTCCGATAATTATCCCCGTGGCCTTTCGTCAAACATCCTCCTTGGTTCTCGATAAAAATCATTGCATTTTGCTAAATTGCATCCATTGCAACGACCATTCTTACCCCGGGAAATGCGTTTGTTTCAGAATTGCAAGGATCACGTGATAAACTGCAGTATCGCCAGCATTCTGCACGAGTGCGTGTCGCCTCGATTTCCCAAGGGGAAAAGCAAAGGGAACAAGAACAAAAGTGCCACAAGTAATAGCAATTTCTAGCTTTCGGCAAGTTAGTGTCCCTTTGTTCCAACGAAACTCGATCGCGTGGCTTGTAGAAACTGATCGTTATTCGAGGAGGACAGATCAATCGTAGCTGATAGATAAATGGGTTTACCGATAATTGAATCGTTAATTTGCTGTCGTTCACAGAAACTAGCAGTCGAATGGCAGTGATGCAGTTGATCAATTTAGGAATCACGCAGGTGCTAGTTAAGCTTTTGATTAATCTGCTGCACGTGGACACAGTATCGAGCGAGGTCCTCACGCAGGAGGTGCTTTGGATTTTGGGCCAGGTACGACGTCCTTGGTTTCTCCTAATATCCTTTTAGAACCTTGAATTCCTGTTTTGAACGCAAGGTTTCGCGCATTGCCAACGAAAATTCCAGGTGGCACCGAGGGATCAGAAGTTCGTGTCCAAGATGAAACTGCTAAACACCATTAAAGTGTTCCACGCGCTTCTGAAGCTGCATTACAACAACAGCAAGACGCTATTGCCTTTACTGTTGATCATTAAATGTCTTGCCAGAAACAGTGAGTAATCTTACCAGCAGTCTTTTCGTGTTCTCCTATCATTTTCTTAAAAATTCATTCTTTTGGTTAGCATACTCTCTTCAGATATTAGTGAAGGACGGAATCGCCAGTACCATGGAGAAAACCTTCGTTTCCATCGGCTACATGCCGCACCTGAAATTAAGAATATTGTTAGAATGCTTCAAATATTTTACGACAAGCAGTACGTAAACTGTGTTGAAAGTGGTAGCTCGAATTTTAACGAAACAAATTATTCGAATAGCTCATCTTTTCAGGATTGTTCTGCACGAAGTTCGTAAGGACTGGCTTGGTGTACTTGCTGATGAGAATCTTCGACAGATGGGAACGATTCGAGGGTCCCATTAAGCTGAAGATTTTAAACTGTGCCTTGATCACTTTGCAGCATCTCAGTGTCACCAGTGAGTTTATTCTTCATCCCTGAAAAACAAATTATAATTTGTATATGTGTCCCCTTCTTCGGTTGCATACATTTTCTTACCAGGCTGGTTGTTTTTTTTAGCACAAACGTTTCGTATGCAAATCGAAGTCCCCAGTGGCTGTTGCACGGATCATTACACTCGTGTTCCTTCTGCTTTCAGAAGCTGGCAGGAAGGCAATCAAGTCGAACAATGGACTGCACCTATTGTACCGGTTCTGCAGCAACTGTCCGGAGGATAAGGCATACGATTGTCTGCTGTCACGCGTATGCGGGGTTATCAATCAATGTCTGGAGAAGAAGGAGTTGCCGATACCCGAAATGTCTCCGGCAAGGTGAACGATACTTTCAAGGTTCATCCGAATCGATGGACGCTCGAGTCGATTTTAGAAACGGTAGTTTACCATCGATCTGGACTAAATGCGATCTAGAAAGTTTCTTAACTAAGTCATCTATTTGCTCTAGAAGACCCTTAAATGTTTTCTTTCTTTTCACGCTCTAACACTGGATTTCCCATGCAACATAGAATCAAATTATTACCAGTGGTTGTCAGGATTAGAACTTGACACGCTAACGGAGAAAGTTATATTTCATCCAGTCGAGCGTTCGTGCGATACATCGATGTACTTTGAACTTGATCAGTGTAACACACGTTGCATTTAGAAACGAAGAAATATAATATCTAGATGGACGAAATGTCTCAGCCATGTTTTTCTTTTGCAGATTTGTACTACCAGTAACGAACGTCAGGTCGAACAGTGCTGAGAGTGGCAGCGACGTTGATAGTCAGGTGCGTATTTTTGTCGAACGGAATGATGTAATGGGTGAAACGTAACTGTTCGGGGCGTTACACAGTCATGAAACGTGGTATAATTGCATCGAGGTGTGAGATGTTTCATAAAGTTTCTTTGGGTCGATGAACGTGGATGAGATCAGGGTTTTTATTTAGGCGAACAGCGTGGCTTCACTTGGAAGATTGTACAGTGATCTTGATTCGGGAGACGAAGAAGAAAGTCAGAACTCGAGGACCGACGATAAAACAGTTCATTCGGCCGACGAAGTGGACGAAAGTAAATTTTTCGCTGGGGTCTTCACGTCGCAGAGATCGGTGGAGGATCTGACCGAGTAGGTTGATGATATTTTTAATCGATGATAAACGATTAATTCACTTCATTTGTTGGCCAGGTACGAAACATTCTTCAAGGAACTGAGCAACATAAAGTCTCAATTGTCCCTTCAAAATTCATCGACAGGTATAATCGACCCTGCGAAGGAAAATAAGTCCAACGTACCTAACACGAAGATCTGTGAAACAAAGGTTTTCACAAACAATTCGATGAAAGAAGAAGCGAGCAAGGAGAACGGAAGCAACTCGATTAAAATCTTCAACGACATATCATCGAACGTCACGTATAGACAAACTTATTGCTTAGTGGCGAGTAGAGTGAAGAGCGTGATTGGTTTCGTGAAGGTAGCTTACCCAGATTTGGTTGGTGGCGATGGTCTAGGAAAAGATGAACCCCTGAACAGCAAGGACCGGAAGGTCTGTCGTTCGAAGCTACTGACGTGCGTGGAACGAGGTCTTCATGGTGGAACCATGTTGGAAGAGGTGGTGTACGACCTCGACGATGTAACCTCCATAGGCGAGCAAAATTCCGACGACAGACATTTGTGTAACTGGGACGATACCAGAATAGGAAAACGTTGTTCCAACACTAATCAATTGCAGTTCGAGTCTCGATTCGAGAGTGGAAATCTGAGGAAAGCTATTCAGGTACAAATTCCATCTGAAACGTGTCAGGTTAATCGCAGCAAATCACCGTCATTTCTTTCCAATTCGCTTCCTTGTAGATAGGCCTGAGAGAATACAATCTGATCCTGACGCCGGACGTGAACAGCGGCTCCAGGCACCAATGGTTCTACTTCGAGGTGTCGAACATGGAAGCAAACGCGCCGTACACCTTCAACATAATCAACTGCGAGAAGGCAAACTCGCAGTTCAATTTCGGGATGAAACCTATTCTCTTCAGCGTGACCGAAGCTCAGCTAGGTAGACCAGGTTGGGTGAGAACCGGCGCTGAGATCTGTTACTATCGAAACTGTTACCAACGACCAGCAAAGGGGAAGAATTACCTAACCACCTCGTTCACGGTCGCCTTTCCTCACTCTTACGACGTCTGTTACCTAGCGTATCATTTCCCATACACGTACAGTCAATTGATGACCAACATCTGGAAGTGGACCAAGAGAGTCCCCGCGAACACTTACTTCCGCGCCGAAACCCTCTGCGAGACTTTGAATGGCAATGAAAATCCTCTTCTAACGATCACGTCTTTGGATTCTAAAAGCAACCCTATCGAGGTAAATGAAAAATTCAGGCTTCGTAAGATCGATCGCGACATTTCTTTTCTAATTTTTCAGAATCGTAAGGTGATATTCCTGACGTCGAGAGTTCATCCGGGTGAAAGCAACGCCTCTTGGGTGATGCACGGCACCTTAGAGGCACTGTTAGATAACAGCACTTATGCGACGAGTTTGCGGGACGATTACGTGTTCAAGATTGTACCGATGCTGAACATCGAGGGAGTGGTGAACGGCTGGTGAGTTATTTCGATGATCTGAAACTGGAATACCTCTTATTTGCTGGCAGCATATCTGTAGGACGCTGAAAATTCATCTTCCCTGCCGTGACAATGTATTTCGTACCTTTATTAATATTCAATTACACAAGTTGCACATTCGCGCCGTGTTTTACGCAATAATATTCAAAGTTCCATGTGTCAGTGACTTATCGTAGCAATAGAAGAATCGTTTCATTTTTTTTTTTTTTTCATTATCATACGTCTGGATGACGGAAACGTTGCGATTCACGCTTCTTCCTTGAATAACGTCGATTCGTTAGCTATCCTTCGAGAGCCCAAATTCTCCGACTTTGCAGCAAACGTTGACAATAGATCGATCGAAAACTTATTCAACATTCTGAGTACCATATCTGGATGACTCGTGAATCTGTCAGCTATTTCGATGGAAACGATGTTAAAATGTAACAACTGGAAGGATTTTCTGGAGTTTGAAAATGGCACTGGATGCGTCAAGTCGGTCGATCGGTTTTTTCCAACATTCGATTCGAAAGCAAAGGAGAAGGAGGGTCAGGTCGATCGATTGCAGAACGTTTCATCTTGCAGACGTAGGGATAATATTACCTAAGATGATTACATCGATATGCATGAAGATTCGTGGCGCTGGCAGACTACCAACTCCCTACAACGATCATTATCCTCGGTCAGCTTTAATAGCTGCAACCGTTTCCTACCATAATGCCTGAGATCCCACGCAGACGAGTTCTCGCGTTCGCATTACTATCTACCCAGCTACTTGCCTCAAAGTTTCCATTAAACATCATCAAAGAAGAAGAATCGATCAGTAACGCAGATGCAACACGTCTGCCAGCGTCACAGAATGGGCGATTAAGAAACGAGTCGAATGAACGAGTTTGCAAATACTCCAGTTAAAAGGACGTCGGTCATCGTCGAGAATTCAGCGACGGAAGGAGAATCGTCCACTTAAATTTACCCTTTCGTTTCAGTTTCTTTGAGCAAACAGTTTCAGCTTAATCTATTAATCGATTGAAATCGTCTTTTCGTTTAGTCGTCGGACAAAGCTGTCGAAAGCAATGAAGTTTCTCTCCTTCCGTCGCTCTTGAACGACGAAGATTATTCCGACGAGTATCCGCGGGAATGCGTTGCTGGAAATCAAAACGAACAAATGAGAGATGACGGCACTCGCGTGTGCCCGATAATTATCCACGATATACACATGTGAACGTACATAATACATCTAGTTCCTCGAGAATCTCCCATGCTTCACTTATCAACGAATAATAACGCGGGACGATATAGCCTAATGAGTAAAGCGTTTACTTGGACGGAGGATCTAATACTTTGCCGTTGGTGCGCACTTTAATGTTGTACCTGTAGGCCGGTTCCGCCTCTGGCAGGATCGTGCTGCTGTCATCGTCCTGATCCTTCATCATCGACGATTCAGCCGCCTCCGGTTGGTCGTTCGCGTAGTAATCTTGAACGCTGTCGTACGGGCCGACAGTGTGAGCGTCCTCCAGACCGTTGTTAGGAGTTTCTGTCTCACCTTGTGGTTCCACGTAATCAGGCGACTCTCGATGTTCGACCTTCATGTCGGTGGACGAGCGCAAAGAGGAACGATGAATCTCTCGCGTTTGTAGACCCTCGAACACGTTGTCCTTTCTGGCCTGTGGGCCAGGACTGTCGGTGAACAAGCTGGTTATGTCCGGAAGATGATCTGGCCTGGCGTTGTCCAGCTCAGCGTTGGTCGGTTGCTCGTGATCTTCCTCGGTGGCGACCGGCGAAGATGTGGACGGTGGTTGTTGCTTGTCAGACGCGGGAACGGCCGTGGTAATCAGCCTGCTGACGACCGGGTCTTCAGGTAATTTCTCCTCGACGGAACTCTCCTCGGGTGTTGCCTTCTCGTCGACGATGCTGTCGATGCTCTCGTTCTCGTTCTCGTCGTTCTTGCTGCTATCGCTTTCCTCGTGGTCTTCGACCTGGTCGTCGCTGGCTGGCGCCGAGGTGGTTGTTATGTAGGGTCTGCGATTTCTGGAAATTCGGTCACACCATTCACAGCCGAGTGTCGCTGTCGCGCAGTTCAAAGGCAAAGCGATAAATTTTGGTTAAGTTGAATTCACACGTTGGTGCAATTTCCTCCGACTTGCTTGTACCAGTATCATCGTGTGAACTCAGCTTTGAAAAGAGTTCGATCATTAGATAGGTATAAAAAAAATGAGTCGTTGTTGTGTAATATTAGCGGTGTTAATTGGTTGTAGCATTAGGAGGCAAGGAAAAAAGTCTGGAACCGCTACCAGGCTGATAATAATTAATAGTTCCTACTCGTAGGGTCCACACTTTTTCACACTTGCCTGTGATGTGTGTGTACGTGTGTTGCCTGACGTTTGCGAGAAGCGAGAGAATGCGTTATTAATTAAAAAAAAAAAAAAAGCTGCATCACGTTTTATCCTCGTGATATTAATATCATCGGTAATAAGCGATTACGTTCGAACGCCACCAAGAGTTGTACAGTTTCCCAAGTACCATTATATCTTACTTTCTTATTCAGACTATATTATTCAATGAAGCGTTATCGGTTTGTTCCATTAAGTCGCATAACTGCACGGAGAAAAAAATGTCCCTACGATAGGTCCGTTAATTCTGGACTGGTCGGTTCGTTAGATCACCGATCTAATTAACCAAACGCAGAATCACTAACCGAAGCTAACGAACTCGTATTATCGGAACTTCGCGTAGTTCGCTACGTTAATTTCCATACGAAGAGACTAGTTTCGTGGAAAAATCCTATCTATTAAAAGCACGCTCGCTGTAAATAGCCGGGATATCTCGGCGAGTCGACATTTTCTAATCCTTATCTACCGTTTCTATTTTTTTGTCCGTGCGACGTCAAGATTCACCTTGGAACACGTTGGATTCTTCTGATAGCCTATCTCTCTGAATGTCTATCTCTCTTTCTCTCGGCGGTTTCGTGTATTTTTGTGACAAGTATTATCTCACCTCTTACCCCTGAGTCGCAGAGACTGGAATGCTGCCGTAGTTGTAGTAGTAGCATCTTGTTTGCTCGCAGATGAAGTCCTTAACGAGGGTGCAGTCCTGTGCCTCCCAGGCTAACGTGGGCGCAGCCATCGCGACGCATCCGTCCGCGCTGCCGCTGTCGCCGCTGCAACGGACAAGTTTCCGGATTAGAATTTCAATCACTCGACCCTCGGTGACGTTTACCGATTCGATGCACGCGTTTCCGGGTGGAGACGCGCTCCTACGGAAGGGACGCACCGATAATTGTCGTTCGTGACAATGAATCGATCCACGGTGCTATTGTCTTCTTCGATAAGATAGCATGATTCATGTTTCGACTTCTTGCTTCTGCTTTTCGTAAGAGTATTGACCTTTCGTATGATAGGAGAATAGGGGTTCGATGATTTACGATGCGGGTTGATATTTTGGGTGCCACGGAACGCGATAAGTTCTTTTTACAATTAACCCGCGTTCGTATCGTTTTAGATAAGCGTTAGAGGAAGTAAGAATAGTAAGGAATCATACCTTTCACGCGCTACTCGTTGAGGTTCAGTACCAGGTGGAACATCAGCGGGTCTGTTGCCAGGTCGCCTCAACATGTAATCGAAGGTAGCGTTGAAGGGGAGACCCGTGCTCATCCACAGGAACATGTCCGTGCCCAATTTGTTGCCCGATGTCCAAAAGTCGTATTTCACGTAGCCGGCGTTTTTCAAATATTGCGTCATCGTGTCAGCTTTTTCCTTCGTCTCGAAAGAGGCCAGTTGAAGGCCCAAAGAGCGACAGTATTGGTAGGCCAGAAAATAGTTCAGTTCTGGGCTGTATGGGTTCATCCGGGACACAAAGTACTGTACACCGTCCAGCTGAATCGTTGTGATCCGTTGAGCTGTAAATGAATTTTTGTTAATTAATTTTATTCATTCCTATTATGCTTGGAATTATGCGTTTCTCCTTCGAAGTTTATTTGAACAGCTTCAAAATTTATGAATACCAGATGAGCTAGGCTGCTTTGACAAAAGCTAGCTGATGAATAAAAAAAGGAAATTCCTTTCTTGATGTCGTATTATCTCATCGAGGCACGTCTCTGCCATTGACTTCCGACCAGACCACAAATGGCAGCCCCCAGACGCGGTAAAAATCATCCTGTGAATTCTAATCTACTCAGTGTCCCATTTTAGCATCGCTTATGAAAACCGTTACGTCTGGGAGCAACTGTGAATATTTGAACTCGTTAATTAACAGATGCATCCTATTCTTCCATTGTATTATTAATTTAATCTACCGAGTTCCATTTTATCTTTCTGTCTTTCCCATCAATTAAGCTTAATGATAAACGTGATAAGAAAAAATTAGTGTCTCTTACAAATTCTATTTAACTCAACACCAGCCTCTGAATAATTCTCTAACGAGATTTTAATTTACCTTTGGATGTATACACTCCATCGACGCTGTTCGTTTTAACTAATTTCGCAGTGACTCTGTGCTTTGTGAGAAGTGCCGTCTGTTCACACGATACACCGTGCGAGTTCATTCAACTTATACGGCTATTTGGTTAACTGTAGTTATGAATTATGACCAGTTTAGGCCACCAAACAACCTCCAGACGATGAATCTTTCTATTAAATTTAGACCTTGAAATTTCTTTTGCGAGTTATTTCGTTGGTTACATGAAAACAACCTTGAATTTTAGGACGATCTAATCTTCTTCATAACTTCTTTAATATCGCGAAGCAGAACAAGTGGAGAAAATCTTTTGAAACACACTGGATCATGGGGTGGGAACGCGAACGCTTCGAAGCGTTTAAAGAGAAACAAGTAAAGAGTTAATCGGTTGCATTTAGCCTTAAAAACGTTCTGGATCGCGAAGCAAGCGGCTCAGGTGGTGGTAAATGACCCGAGGACCTTGAGACGTCTGCCGCCACTGTTCTCTTGAAAGAAGACGCCTGCTTCGAGTGGCAATTTCATTTATGAATTCGCCATTTGCGTCTTAAACGAAACTTGAAGCTCGAAGAAACTTTTTGTCCATTCAGGACTGAACAAAAGAACATTGAATCGTAGCGTAAATAATGAATCGTGGAGGAACGGCTGAGAAGGACGAGCGATCTTGAAGTCGCGTGCGTGATCAACGCGTTTCCTCTTCGTTCTTTGAATGCAACCGGACGTCGAAGTCGGTGTTTGCCCGAAGAGACAAAGAACAAAGTCACGTAAAAGTTAAATGCAAGGATATTGCAGGAGGTCGATCGAGAAAGCGAGAAGGGGTCCTCGAAAGAAGAATAATTGGAATGATTCCAACGCGAATTATTCGTCTCAAAAAAATTATCCAGACACTGTCAGAATTCGTAAATATATTTCAAACCTAAACCTTCCAACACTAAACCGCATGATGTACAATAATTTTGTTGAAATAGAAAAGAAACGCGATTTTTCTACTAACCTGAAGCGAAAGCGACGACGAGCATCAGCAGCATAGCGATCTTCATGGTGCCTGCGTGTAACGTGGATTAATCGGCGTGGCGTGGATTAATCGATCAAGCAGTCGTTTCCGTTTCCGACTCTCGGAATACACCGGATGTTAGTGTTAGGGTCGCGTTCTCGGACTGGCCTCGCGCTACGCTGTGGGCCCCCTTAAGAGTCTTCTGCCCGGATCCCAGAGGAGGGGGTCGTTGAAGATGATTCACTGGCTAACCTAGAGCAGGACGAGCGAAGCTCGCTAAGGGACGAGCGTGTACGAGTGGGACAGCGAGAAGGAGAAAGTGAGAAAGAGACGTCGTCCATCGGGGGAGAGATACGAACCGATCCGAAATGTAATCGACTTGACCGTGTAAAAAACCTGCAAGGTGACAAGGTCGCAAAAAAGGTACCACAATAGACGTCGCCGTCGTCGCCGGAGGGTTACCGAGGATGATGCGGTGCGTTCGTTGAACCTCGAACTTTGCTCTTGAAGAAGAAGAACTTTTCAGACGGACATGGGAAGGTGAGCTGAACGACCCGAGAGATTCATGGGTGACTTTGCTCGAATCGGACAATGCTCTTTGAAAAATCAACGAGATTATACCGGGTGTACTCTAATAAAACACTTTTCCACTTATAAAAATTTCTCAAGATTCCAACAACCTTTCCCTATCACTCGAACATGGGGGAGTAAATCATAGTTGGTTTTGCACCGTCAGAAACCAGAAATCTCATCACTGCACTTTTCCAGATGACTCGTCATTGTCGAATGTACGATCAAAGTTATGTATACTAAAATAGCTATCGATCGAGTGTTTTAAATTGACGACTGCAGTTCGTAGGTCTCTTGTTTAACCGAGCCGCGTGCGGATTTTACGATAGAAACGAACGAGTAGACCTGTAATGATTTTTCTCTGATAACTCGGTTAGGGATGAGATTGAAATTCAATGGCGTGTCACGGTTCGCGTTCTATTGGTCACGGACCGAGAAGATGAGCCTCGATGATCCTCGCGGCTTGATGGAACGAAGAACGAGAGGCACGAAGCGGTCTATCCAGGCGGACAGCACTCGCGAGATCGTTTGTCGCTGAACTCCGGTTCTCGGATCTATTTGGAGTGGCGGTGCCACGCTATTAATAAACGTTTCTACCGTCTTTTAGTTTGTTTTACGTTGTTCGGCGGTTGCGAGCCGATGGAATTTCGCTCCGCCGTCTGTTCATGGTCTTCAACGTGCTGAATGGAATCGTATCGACGCCGAGGCGGCAAAAACACACCGACCTCAAGGTAGACTTCATTTCTGAGCGTGCCTGGGAACGCGTCATAACATACCATCCCTCAAAATCTCTGCGATCGATCGATTAAACGACGTCGAAACCATCACCGTTTAACGACGTTATCTACGTCCTACCTGTCGTCGCTCAATGCAGAGCGAGGGGCTTAAACAACCTCGTCAGAATCAATTTCAAATATTTTGTCGTCGATATACGGGGTGTGGTCGAGGAAAAAGATTCGAGGGTAGATAGTACCGAGCAGAAGGTAAAAGTAAGAAAATAGGACCGTGTATCATTTTAAAATTGATCCAAGATCGTTAAAAATTTCTTCCTTTGTTCAGCAAACACGTATCTATGATCTACCCTTAAAGTTTCGAATCCTATCTTTGTTATCACTCTGTATATTTCGTCGAAGGAGCCGATGATAAACTCTTAACACTCGTCAGCGTGACTACCGATCCCAATTACTCGAAGAAACTTGGCGCACGGTTGCAGTCGAGCAGGATATTACGAGGATCATAGGAGCGTCCGATATATTGTAAGGCGGTCGAAGTGACGCTGGAATCTCCATGAACGTCGTGTACACTCTTGCAGGAGGTATGAACCGGTTCCCTTGTTAAGCCTTTGGCGCCGTCTATTCTTATTCCTTCTTCTTCCCGTGCTTAATTTTTTTCTCGTCGACGTTGAACGGCCCTCCCCGTTAAGGGTGCTGGTATCTCCGATGGCTGAGGAACGAGTAATCGCTTCGCGATCGTTTAGATACAAAGATTTTCAGTTGAAACCTTCGCGCTTCCACCCTAATCGCTTCGAGTTACCAAAGCATCGTTACGAAGTTTCATCCTGGCGTTTTCGCCGACTTATCTACTGGCGGGACCAAGCGGATAAAAAGCCTCGTGTACTCTTCAAGGTAGTCTTCATATCTGGTCGCGTGTTTTCGTTCAAAGGGATCACCTGCTTCTGGAATACATACGTCTAACAACCGTCCCCGGACTCGCCCTCGGTTACGACGTCTAACCGGTCCCGGACAACCGTGCACCCTACAAAGCAGATATCCTTCTTTTTCTTCATCTTCCTCTTTCTTCGTACTCTTTGTTCGTATCCCGGCACCGATCGATTCGGTATCTTGTAACGTACGCTGGATCAATGATCATACGCGTGTTATTTCTGTTACGCGGTGTGCGACCAGTCCAGCAAAAAGGAGCTCGCGTGACATTCGAGACCCACCGCGATCCTCCTCCCCGTTCGTTTCTTCCCTGCCACGAATGCACGCCGATTTCGATACCGATCTTCAGTGGTCAATTTCCTTCTGTATCGCTCTGCGAACCACTCTCCTGCTACCTCATTAAACAGCAATTGCAATGGACGTAAGTTTCGATCGCGAAATAGAGATGAATAATTACGAGCGACATCGGACAGTCGCAGGAATTATAGGTGATTATGCAGAACAGGGTACATCTTGATGATTTCAACGACCTTGAGGTACGTTATAAACGTCGATGCCCTGAGTACACATCCGACCGTCTCGTACCTTTACTTTTTAATTACCATGTACCGCGGTTGAAGGTTCTTTACAAGTACGGAGCTATAATATTGTACGGATGATTTACATAAGTGTTGAATTTTTTTCTTTTTAGATCGACATCAGGCCCTCTGGACTGAACCGTGAATCATTCGCGATAGCTCTATCGTTCACGGTCTCCGTTACAAATTTACCGCGACCAAGTCCTCTTGCTTTCCAACCGGAATCACCGATGGAAGCTTCGTTTCCATCCCCCCCCTGTTCCCCCTTCGTCACGGCTTCGAATTTACTGCAACGACGTGGTTCGTTAACAAACAAGCTTCAGTTATCCGTTTGGTGAAGCAAAAAGAGGAGGATCGATGGGTCGGACGCGGTCGAATCTAGTATGTTCGAGGCTTGGCTCGTTGCGTGGGTCACGTTTTGCTGGTAACGTTGGCGCAGGTCAGTTTAGCAGGTCGGATTCTCAGCGACGCATTGCCATGGGAATGCAGTTGGAGTGCAGTGGAAGTGCACTTAGGTCCGGCAATGCCTACGGGGCCCTCTGTTCGTGGCCATATATCGGTGGGTGAAGCGAAAGCAGAAGCTCGATCCTGGATAAACAAGCGATCCTCCACCACCTTCTTCTTCGGCGTCCTCGTTCTTCCTTCGTTCTTGCAGCTCCTCGCACGAACGAGACTCTAGAAACAACTTCTCACAGCCCGGTCGAGGCACTTGGTCCTTTTGTCTGAAAACAAAAGCAAAGAAAGGGCGCCTCGAGCTACAGGCAACGCTGGTTGCCGGACGAAGAAGAAGAAGAAGAAGAAGAAGAAGAGTCAGAGGAGAAGGTGGTGGAGGAGGAAGCGGAGGAGGAGGAAGATAAAAAGGAGGTGCTGGTGGAGGAGAGGATGCTACAGGGGGATTCTCGAGGTCTATTTCAGGCCCTGCCAGCAATCGCTATGTAAGGCCCCTGCTTCTTCCATCTTTCTCTCCACTACTCGAAGAACTCTTCTTTCTCGTTCGTTCCTCGGTTTGTACGTTGGTACCTCGGGCACGGAGCGGACTCGGTTTTAGCCCGCGAACAGCCTCGACGTTCGAGACGATCTGAAGAGCCACACCGGCCCCGAAGGCTTCCACAGCGTCGACTCTCTTCCATTCTGATACTCCTAGGACAGTGATCCTCATCGTCCTGTCTTCTCTTTCGATATTTATCGCTCTGTCTAGCTGTCGTCTTCTTAGATATCCTCTTCCTCTCTATCGACGAGTGGAGAATTCTAATTTGTTGCGTTCTTCTGCAAGGCCCAGGACATCAGGCTACCTAGGAAAGAATATGATACGTTAATTATTTGCAGGACGTCCAAGATTCTGTTCGTTTCCTAGAGAATCCAATTAAACGCACGCAGAAGTGGTCGGACGACTTCGTAGTACTAAAGGGTCGAACGACCTTGCACACTTCTCTTCTGATTCACTCTTAGGGTCTATAATTCAGTTAGCTCGTGGAAGAATTTTTACGAAACCATTCTCACGAGAGCTGAAAATCTTGAGAATATCTTGGAATGTTATTTCTACTCTCAGCGCGATGTCTTCCTTGTTAGCTTTTCCATTAAAATATTCCTCGATGCTAGGCCATTAGACTTTAGATAAAGTCCAAGTGGTGTTGGTGAATTTTCCGGATGCGAGAGGATGGAAAATAAAATGTAAATTTGTTGCACACTCGTTCGTCGAGTTTGACGAGTATCGGGGAGGGGAAAGGGTTTGCGAACTCGAGCCTGTTATCGATGATATCTTGGCTCATCGATTACGTGCCCACGCCTTGTTATGTATATCCCCGGCTGGCTTGTACATATTTAGACGGTGCTGTTCCTCGGCGACTTAATGCGATTATACGGTCCCGTGGTTCACCGTAGGAAAAGACCAGGTCCATCGCGGTAGACACGTAATCCCGGTGCATTCTTTAAATCATGGGAGGTGTCGGAACCGCTCGCGTATCCTGTGCAACCTTTCTACCTTCCCAACGCGTACCGACATCCGATCGCCGCTAGAATGCAGAAATGGATGATAATAATAGCCGTCGACTGTGCACCGTCATTAAATGCACCTCGTGCTGCCCACCGTTTTACTTGAGCCCCCTGTTCTTGCCGCTGTTACGTGCCTTGGCCTCCACGGAGTGACCTAGAACCTGAAACCGTGAACCTCTCCGCTTCTGCTTGCGGTTACACGCTTTCGAAACGAGGCCTGACCCATCGTTTTAACGTAACACCGAGCCAACCTGCATCGTTTCGCCAGACTTACGAGAAATTTTCATGGAAAAGCGAATGTTTTGATTAGAACTGTGTTGGGTCTCCTTCGCATCCGGTTTCAATCAATTAGACGCGTCGTTAGGATTTATGAGCTCATCAAGGATTCACAACGGAGGCGTGAATTCCTTCGTCATTACAAGGAACTCATTTATATTCCTCGACTATGATCGAGTGATCTACGTTATCGAGAGTGGGGAACATCTAGAAGCGTCGAATATTCAGGAGAAGATTACATATTTTCGACGTGGCTGAACTCGATAAGAAGATCCGTCATTGGGATTTTTAATTATTCATTTATTTGATTGAATATCTCTCGTTTATTAACGAATCGAAGTTGGTTCCAAGTATTGGAAACTATCAATTTGGTTCATCGTGGAACAGCCATCAAAGATCAGCTTCATTAGGAGCCTTTAATTTCTTTTTCATCCTATTTCGAGGCTAAATTCCTCGTTGCCTCGGTTGTATTATATAGTTTCTTGGTACCGCGTGGATTTACCTAGAAGGATTCCACCGTTCACGGTTCGGTCGGCTCTCTAAATTAAATCTCGTTTCGGATAGGCGCGAAATCTATTCGCAGCTGGTGCAGGGACATTCGTTTCACTAACGAAATCGCAAAATTAAATCTCGGAATTTATTGGACCGGTTCCAGGAGCGTGGCCAATGAATGTTTTGCGTCGGTTCGATGAAAAATATTCGATCGAGCAGTTACAGAGATCTTGTAATTTCGTTCTCGGTGAAGGTACGCGTTTCAGAACGGCGTGAAATCGCTTTTTGTTCCTTCACGGACGAGCTGCTAGTCCAGCTTAGTAATTTCCTGGTTGCCCGTCCTTGAAGTTGACGTGTTCGAATTAACAACTACCGTTAATAATCCTTCTTATTCTTTTTATCCTGCCTCGTTTTTTTGCGAGTCAACAGCTAACACAAGACACCGATTACGTCCAAGCAATATTTGTCGAATTTACACTTCTTTTTGCCTCGCTCAATCTATTCTGTCGGCTGTTTCTATTCCTGTCAGCCGACGGCGCACCGTGAAACGCGAATTTTACGAGATCCGTGGACGCGTTCGTTGCGAAACGAATCGCGTTATAGCAAAAACCTCCACGGGCATTCCTCGTTTCGTTCGTAAGGGACTGCGCGCCGCGTAAGGGCTGCTCTTTTGCCGGGCCTCAGCTTCGAAGAAACGATCGGTCAAGGTACAGAAGAAGTGGCAACGAATGAATTAGCTCTCCCTGTTCGCCTGCGATCGTGGCAAAGGAGGAAATAAAAAAAAAAAAAAAAAAAGGGAGAAAGGGAAAGAAAAGAAAAGGGGACTCCGAGAGGCCTTGGTTTCGCGAAGGAATGCAAATCGGGGACCGGTCACGAGTATTCTAATGCGCTCCGGTGTTAACCCTTCGCCGCGGCGAGGGCCCAGCATCCTGAAAGCAACGTCAACTCTGTTCGGGCCCTTCGGGTATCGCATCGGGTTGACGCTATAAAGATACTCGAACGCTCCTGTTGCCGTGTTTCTCTTTCGTTGTCCAACGACGTATGGAGCAGCTCTTTAAAGCGGCTCGCGATACGACCGCGAGGAACATTTCAGATAAGCGAGCCGGCAGCTACGAGAAGGTGCACCGGGGTAATTTGCACGTTTTAAAGACGATATATCGCGACAAATTTAACGCTCCTTCGCCGGATACCCGTGTTAACTGTGCACCACTTTACGTTCCATGGAAATTCTCCATTGAATCGTTCTTAGCCACGATGGAATTCCTTGAGAGGAGTGTATTTCCTCCGCTAATAGTCTTATACCAATTTCCACGCTGATGTCAAAAATGATGTGCATTTTCGTTTCTGAAGAAACTGTACGCAACACGATTGCGTAGACAATTTCATAGCGTGTTAGATGGCAATGAAAGCGAGTTACGGTGGTGTTTGAACGGCGCAGGAAATAGATTTCTTACCGGGAGCTGAGAAGTAGGGGCGGGCAAAAGAAGCAAGGGAAAAAGGAGTTCACAGAGCGGTTACACGATCGAACCCCAGGATAACCTCGAAGAAAATGCCCGCGAGGTGAGAAGAGATGAAACAAAGATAGAGGACGGACGGGCCCCGGCTGGTAGTAAAGTTCACGGAAGAAATGCGTGATACGTGGAAGACGAGCGTGTTCCCAAGGTGCCCAAGGATTTTCGCTTTACGATTACAACAGCGATTCGCGAATTTTTCTTCCTCCTCGCGCTTCGTCGTGGCTGTTTTACACGTTCCTCGAACAACCGTGACTTTTGGCCGTGTTTCCTTAGGAACTACGTAATTCCTCGATCGGGAACCGGTAGATAAACGAGACCGGAATAGCTGGCCGATAAACTGGTAAAAATTATGCATAACGGGTTTGAATCAACCTTTACATAGGATCCACGATACTCGTGTTTGCAAATCGCTAATGCGTAAATAACGCTTACGTCAAATTGCAAACTGTAAAATTTCTCTTGAATCGAAAGGAAAGAAAAATGTAGGATCGCTAAAGGATTCCTTCGATTCGCGTCCTTTTGCGGAAGGATAATCGCCGATCGTGGGGAGCGAAACGAAAGAGAACGCGTACAACCACTTTCGATGTAATCCGCGATCGCAAACTGCATTCTGCCGCATCGGTAATGCGGTTCAGTAGCTTTTGTTCAGTGGGTTTCGATGCTGGAAGAAATTGTAACGAACGAACGAGAATGAAAATGACAATTAGATGTACGCCACGGACGCGGCTTCAAACGTGATTTACGATCGATGAAATTATGACGATAAATCGCGCGCGAATCGATGCTCGTTAATCGTAATCCAACGAGCGTCCAAGTAATTCACCATTTTTTCTCTTTCTTTTTTTTTCGGCGATCCACCGGCACGATGCGAGGCGGCCCCTTTGAAAATCTCACGGAGCGAGTCCGGGACGAGCCACTCGGTTAAGGGTAATTTGTACAGGATCTCTCAAGAGGTGAGAGAAGTTTGCGGTCAAGGCTCCTCCGTTCGAGTCATTGACATCGCCTCGCTAGCACGAACAGACTGATGCTGCCCATTACATCGGCTGGATAATAAAACGGCAAAGAAGTTCGTTGTACAATTGCTTCATTGTCGTTCAGTGCGTCTTCGCTTTATCCTCGAATAAAATCTTCGCTCTACGCTCGATTAATTCCCGTGTTTATTATGTAGGAATTTTTCAATTCTATACAATGTTCAATGGCAACATTAACCCTTCGCTTTCATTCGCACACCGAATTGCGTAACATAATACAGAAACTCAAACGAAATAATTTCATTCGATAAATTTGATTTGCAACGAAGAAGGTTTTGAAATCGCGTCGTTCCTTCTTTCCGTTCCGAGTTTTTCTAACGTATAAATACAACTAACGGTAGCAGGGTTTCGAATAGCGTTAGAGTTCCGTGTCTAATGATCGTTTTTAATGAAACGATGATTTCGTTTTAATACACATCCGGGAGTGATAGCTTTGTCGAAGGTTTTTTCGTCGTTCTCTCCCCTCTCTCTCTTTATTTCCCACCGGACGAAATCTATTATATCCGATGACTTTTGTTTCACGATAATTTCTGCTAATGTCCGCCGGTGAACGTCCACCGCCACGAGGGAACATTTCTTCGCGTACATCATCCTCAGGTGCATCGTCACCGGCCGTTCATTATTCTTATTATTCCTCGCCATCTGTTCGACGTAAGATATCGATCGTTACGTTGCTATCTTGGACGTGTCACGCGCCTCTGTTCTACCTTAAAGACCGGAAGCGATTACGAGGCGTCAAATTGCTAATGTTTCTGTTACGTGGCCGACGTCTCGATCGGAAAGGACGCTCGACGATTCCTGTCCAGGGATACGCGTGTACCGATTGTTAATACCCCCGACGAGCGACTTTTCATTTCCGTGACCGCTATTTCGTAATTATTTTTATCCTGAGCCATTGATTCATCGATACCGGAGTCATTGTGACCATCGATCACTCGGAAATTAAATTATATATTCAAACGACCGATTTAGAGACACAGAAAGTTTGCTACGGCACGTATTGCATATCGATTTGAAACTTAAATTTTGATGAAAATTACTGTATTCAATTGATATGACATCGATGGTAGACGTACCTGTCGAAGGAACGTTTCAACGTTTCTGACAAAATCGACAGGTGTAATTAGTATTCCATGTACGGTGCATCGTACACATCTTAAAACAATGTCAAGACGATAGGTCTTGAAACGAAGCGACGCTGTTGTGTCTCGGCTATTGTCAGGGGTCCACGGTGCCCCGCCATTAGCTATGCAAGACGCGGAGGCGTCACTTCCTCCGGATCGGCTTCCGGCCGCCGGAAACGTCCTTCTAACCGCGGCTGAATCCTTAAATGAAAACCATCTCCGAGAAGGCCCTTTTCCTTCTCGGTTGCAGGCAGCGTTCGACGATACGCTTCAACGTGCAGCATCGACTCGCAAACTGACAGGAAATCCTAACCAGCCTGCTTTCTCGGAACTTCGTTTCGCATTATAGACGTTCTAATCGATTTAAAAATTCATTTTTGACTATTTAGATATTGCTTTACAGCAATCGGTACGGATTGACGAACGAAGATCTGAACAGACGATGGAGCAACCCTAACCGGACCCTCCATCCGGTCATCTACCACGCGAAGGGTCTGATGGAGTACTGCACGAGGGTGTTGCAAAGACCTCCCCATGTTTTCGTCGACTATCACGGCCATTCACGGAGGAAGAACGTGTTTCTGTTCGGTTGCTCAAGGTCGGGTTCTTGGAGCGCAGCGGACAGGGCGAAACCGGACCAGCCGGTGCAGTATTTGGTAAGGGACGAAAAACGAAAGGAAAAGTCCGAAGGGATGTTATTTTTAGATCGATCGCGGTTACATGTGACGGGAACGAGTGCATCGGCTACGAACGGTAATCTAACGCGATTTATCGAAGTCAATTTACGAGCGAAGCGGTTCTCGCGATGGTAACACGCATTCGTGCAAACTTGTTCGTGCGAATAATTTACGGTGAACAGGATTGAACATCGATCCGGTGCTCCAATTTTAGATCCTTTTAACCGGGAACATAGGCTAACGAAACGATCCTATTCGTCTTCGTAGCCCGCGGGGAATCGATTTTGATTTATCATTGATTACGAAATCCTTGAAATTCTACATTGATCGAGCAGCTGGTTTCTCGTAGAGCTTGTTAACAAACTGTGCATATCTGTTTTTGTAATTTCATTGATTAATCACTGGATGTTTCTTTTCGTTCGAATAATGGCTGAGAGTCTCGTTTCTCTCCTGAAGGTCTTCAGGCCCTTACAATACATCCGTGTTTCAGATGTTGCCGCATCTGATGCAAAGAATATCTCCAGCGTTCGCGTTGCCACTGTGCTCATTCAAGGTCGAGAGGAATAAGGAATCCACCGCGAGGGTAGCTATATGGAGGCAGTTAGGTGTTTACAGGTACTTTTGATCTTGCTTCGTCCACCACCGACTCGGTTTTGCGTTAACGTTTCATTTCTTCGATTTCAACAGAAGCTACACAATGGAGAGTAGCTTCTGCGGTTGCGATCAGGGTCCATTGGCCGGCTTGCATCTGGACACGAAACACCTGAAGGCCATCGGTGAAGATTTCTGTCAGGCTTTGTCGATGATGAAAAACTCGGGCATAGATTGGGATATCGACAAGTATGTTAACGAGCGGTACGATTTAATTGTTGAATGAAATTTGTTATTCGGTTAGGCAATCAAATCTTAATGATCTTCTGAATATAGGTCGATGCTGGAGGTCTGTTGCCCCCTAAAATGTGTTTTGCAGGATTCCAAAAGGATTGCAAAATGCATTCAAGATAAAGCAGCGGTGCATCATATCGCTGCTATTCCTTAGCAAACACTGAAATAGATCGAAGGCAAGATTTCTGAATCTCGTGTGTGCACATGTCACAATTAACCCAATTATTTATTCAGATCTTCTGTGGTTTTTCTTAGCCGTTGCTAACACGCTCAAAAATAATCTTGCCTGATCGTCTGTACTAACTGGAATTGAAGTGCTAACAAAATGTTGCAAATAATTGATTTCTATAGGATCAATTTATGTTTCTTATAGGATTCCTATGGGAGATGGTATTCCTGAGGAGTCAGGGTGTATGGAGGGTGACATTTCATCCAGCTGCGAATCCGACGAGTCTGATTTCGAGACTTAAGGTCATCCTGAAGTATCAGATACATCGACGATGATCTTCATTTCTTCCAGGCCTACGTTGTGCTTCCTTGCGTACATCGAAGTGGCTATGCTAGTTTTGGTTATCGAATAAATATGAACAGATACCACGGCGAACATTCTGCACACTTTGAAGAATTTTTATTTCAAACCCGTAACAAATGTCAAGCTAATTCTACGGAGAATCCTACCTAGAACCGAAGCGCCGTTTTGTATATAACTTCGAAAACGTACGCGTCATCTGTCTTTTATATATTGAAACTTCCATTAAATTTGAGCATCACGGACGAGCAGGAGAGATCGTTAACATACGAACGTGTATATTCCCTGTAACCGGAATTTGTGAACTTCGTTCGAGAGGAATGTTAATAATTAACAGAAATAATTCAGGCAATAAGAAGATCGCAAACTAACCAGTTTGACAAATATTCGGAACTGTTACAATCATCTGGAAAACGAAATTTTCCTTTCCCCTTTCGCTGTTTACTTTGTGCATACGGTAATTTATCAAATGTGATCATGAAAAATAAAGGCTACTGATTCAAACTGATATTCATTTTCATTTTTATCCCTATTTTCCGGGTATTCTTAAAATCTTAACGCGTTGACTACCATCGTAGTCACTTAAGATCGACGCCTAAAATTTGTAATTGAATAATTAATAATGGAAAAGAGAATGCGAGATGTTAAATTGAAAGCTTAAAATTACCTTAATAATGTATCTCACTACTGTGGCAGTCAAAGCGTTAACCATATTCGACATGGTGATTATTCGATTTCATTGTTCTACAAAGTAATTAGTGCATAGATCACTACGAAGTTTGGCAAATTCGGGTCGTTTATCGCGTTGCTCATTTTTAATATAAGCTTTACAAGCGGTACATACACTGGATCGGTGCTTACGATAAATCTAAGCCTCGTGGCGAGACACTCTTGAAGCGGCAAAATAGAAGGTGTTCGAAATGGAAACGTGTGGGTGTAAATTGAAGAAAAAAAGAATCGGGCGAAAAAGCTGAGATTAAACTATAGAATCGACGAACAAACAAGAACTTTTTCTATGGCATAAAAATGTGTAAAGTTAGTAGGCGATAGAAATATTCAGTCGATTTGTCGTGTAAATTTTTGATAAGCTTGACAAAAGATAGTTCGACCTGCGATCTATCGTCGAACACCCTAAATCGTGTCAATTTACGTTAATCAGGCAAAGCTGGTGAATTGAATTCTATGATACTCTGATGATTTGCTGGCTTTGTGCGACATAAAAAACTGTGTCATTCGAAACAGCTATCATCAAACGATTTACAAAATTGTTATAATTATATTTTTATGGAATTTTATAGAATAAAAGTATACGACAGAGAATAATAATACTTTCTTCTTAAATTCGGATAATAAATATCATTCGCTTGGAAACTTTGTCCCTTTTCTGCAGCTTCTGTTACTCAAAGGCAGTCGAATTTCACGTAGAATTATAATGATAATCGTCTACGAGGATCGTACTAATTAGTATCCTAAAACTGGTCTAATCGATGAGCGTTTTAAAATACAATAGTATCGATCAACTAATACTGTACGGTTTACCAACTACTATTACAGCCTCCACGAATATCAGAGATATTGAAATCCCTAAAACAACATAGAAAACAAGAACATTTTTGTCGTGGATAAACTGTGGCAATGAACGTGTGTAAATTAAAAAAAAAAAAACGGTGACACAGCCCCAATTAATAAGTTAAGAATTACTCTTTAATGTGAAACGTACATCAATAGATGATAGGTAACATAGCCTTTAAAAACAGACTACGAATCGTTCTATCAGAAATTTGATAAAAATTGTGCCCTGTACAACATTAATTGACCCGAAACGAGATTGTGAACTATTCGACCGTATTTTATAAATCTAGCAGCGATTATTAAATCATTCCCATTTAACATAATTTAAAAAAAAAAGAAGATAATTATAATTATATGATAGCGAAGCGAAGGATCCTCATTAGCTCGTGGTTACAGTACGTCGAAGAATTAACCGGAGTCTAGAAAAGAAAGTCATCGCGATACGGTGTGTAGCTCTTTTCAACAAACCTTGCAAAATTCTTCAAAGAAATTTGTTGAATCTTATTGTCTGTCTGGCGTTTCGTAATGCGTACGCAATTTTAATACTAGCTATCCATAGAGGAAAATTTTCGTTCTTTCTATTGGCCTACTTAGATTACCTAAGGTTGACTTACATAGTCAAAATGTTTCTTTATGGATTATTCAGAGATTCCTATAATTGTCCCGATCGTACGTGCACTTTTGAATTGTTCATTTGATACAGGCCAATTATAATTTTTGCCTGTGAAATTTCTTCCGTGTTGAAGTTATCCAATGACGAACGTTAATGAACATTAATTTTTAGATATTAAGTGCACGCACGGTCACAACTATGGAAAGAAAATTAAAGATACAACGATTGATGGGAGAACTGGCTGCCGTCATTCAGAACAAAGCTATCGAAATGACAAAACTAATCAATATCATGAAGTATCGTAAATGTTAAGTCTGTTAAAATTAAAGTCTGAAGAAAAGTCCTATTTTCGTGCGAACAGTGTATACTAAGAAGCAGCATTTAACTTTCCCTATCAAACATTCTTCACCCTCTAGGCATGTATAGGCAAGAATTCTATTTATTACACACGAAGTTGAACTAACGAATCGATACAAAATAACATGCAGTAAAATTATACGAATAACGAGTTGCAGAAACGATCGATGAGACGACAAAGCAGCAGACAAAGATTCTATTCGAAACGACGAAATCTAAACAATACACGACCTAAACGTTCTCCCATCCCTAATCTACACGATCAGAGTACAGATTATGAAGCTGCAGTTGATTAAAACACGGTGTATGCATGTGTGTATATACGATCGATGAGGAGGTTCCGTGGCGAACGGTGTTTACTGATTCATGTTTTTCGCGTAGATCTTGAACTGCTCGTAGGTGATCCAGAGAACGATGTTCCAGGACACCAGCCGAGTGAAACTTGGCACGAAGCCTTTGTAAAAGGCTGCCAGACCTTCCTCCTTTATCATACGAACAGCGCATTCCTTGACGCCTTTGTATTCGCCCGGGGCGCTGTTCATGTATCGAGTCTTCACCACGTCTACAGGACTCGCGGCGAGGGTTGTGCACAGGCCAGCTGTGACAGCGGCAGACAAATGGCAAGGAATACCATCCCTGAGGTAGCCAGACTCCAGGATGAAGTCTTTGATGACGTCGTAGCAGACGATCTCTGCCACGTTCACTATGCAGTTCCTCGAGATGTTAGGAACGGTTCCTGGATAGAGAGACGATTGCTTTGAGATTCGGCTTTTAGGCACGATTCAGATCTCGAGATACCATTATTTGAATTTTTGGAGGGAAATTTGGAACGAGGATACAATCTACCTTTCCAAAGACCTCGGGTCCCTTCCTGGGTAGCGATGTTCTTGTATGCCTGCAGGGTCGAACTGTATCTCACCGTTGATCGTCCAATGCTTCCAGCCTGTAGACGAACCTTGACGACATCAGTCGGTTGAGCAAGGAGCACCGCCAAGGCGCCTGTCGTGATTCCAGCGGCAATTCGTACAGAAATATCCATCGATCCGCTCTTGTTATTACCTGTCAAGACAAAAATCTACGATGGAAACGTTGACGTTAACGTACATCTGGCGGTATTTTTGCTTTTATTCGAAATACGTTCGGTTTTTGTCTCTTAACAAATTGAAAGTAGGATGCAGGGTGGGTCAGATCGCGCTCTGCGCGGTTTATCACGTTTATTATATCTTCTGATTACAAACAATCTTCTCTCTTAAGATCCGAAGGTTTTTCAATGAGTATCACGACATATGAGAGTACAATTTATTGGAGTGGTTATCGAGATTATCGAGACGCGTACCTGAGATCAATTGAAGTTAACGATACGAATGTTAATTCATAAGGTAATAATTTTAAATCGAGATGGGAGAATCATATGTATTTTTTACTTTGATCGCAGGTACTTTGACGTCCTCGATCTCAGCAAACATATCTATGCAAATGGTCGAAATGGAAAAGCGATCTTAAGAAGTTACAATTATATTGATCAGTTGCGAAAGGAAACGTTTATAACATGCGACATTGAAGATCAAAGACGGAACTCGAAATTCGCGGTACGATCGTTCAATACATTTCCATTTTCGCGGGTGAATCTTCAGGATTGTTATTAACAATCATTAGTTACATTCTAATAAATAACCGATTCTCGAGTCGGTGTAATAGAAAAGATCAGTCACGATTATTAAAACAGATACTTTAAAAGAGAATTCAAAGATGTACTTAAAAATCTTCTGAACGCGAAAATAAATAATAAAAATAAAATAAAAATCAAAGATACACTAAGTGACAGCAATTTATTAAGAATTATCCAATTAGCAAGGAGGAGGAACGCTGTTATCTTAACTCTTCTTTTTTCTTCTCTATCACTTCCTTTCGACGGTCGACTACCTCAACCGTGGACGACGATCGACCAAACACGGCATTACTTTTAATCAATTGAAAATAAAAAAAATAAAAAAAATAAATAAAAAAAGGGTAAACGATGTCGAAGATGCTGAGTTCCGGATCGCGCGAAGAACAGCTCGACAGGTTATCTTGCCAGAGCTTCCATTTATTTTTTAATTTTTTTTTTCGTCTGTTGATAAAAAGCACGCGGCAGCCGATGGTGGTTGATGATACATAATCAACCAACCAGCCGTTACTTACGCGTGTGTTTCTTACTGATTCGTGGTAACACAGATAGAGATGCACGTGTGCGAGATGGTCGCACACGCGTGTGTAGGTCTACCCGGGTTATCGTATATCGTAAGGATTACGTAATCAAAAGTTAGGAGTTTGTTGGATGTACCGTCGATGATTCCAGCGTAGCGTGACTTCACCCCGTCGTAGAGGCCCAACCGTATGCTGGCGAAACACATCTGTCTCTGGAGTCCCGCGGACAGACCTCCGTACAGGCTCCTGTAACCACCCTCGCTCAAGCTCACCGCCCTCACAATTTACCCTCAAACGCAACCCAGGGTAATATTTCTTTTTTTTACATTTCTTTTCAACTTGTTTTTCTATCTCTCTTTTTTTCTCTTTTTCTCTCTCTCTCTCTCTTTAATTTACTCCCCTTCGTTTAAATTGACTTTACAATACGCTCGAAAATTAGTCTCTCCCTCATTCTCTCTCTTTCTTTTTCTCTTTCTCTCTCCCATTTTTTCCTCCAGTTAACCCTTGCATGGGCAAACAGGCATCGAATCCCCATTCTATGTTTTCAAAATAAATCTGAATAGACGAGCACCTAGTTGCCCATTCAAGATTCTATCGTTACATAAGACCTTTAACCATCTCATTGCCGGAGATTTCAATGGGCGTCGAAGGCAATGAAAGGGTTTAGAGTCTGAGATTGGCACACGAAGGGAAGCCAATAAAGCGTACGAAACATTGGAGGAGCACGAGAGAAAAGAGAACGGTTCGAGAGTGAAATTAAAATTGAATAAATACCGGGAGAGAGCTTGCACCGAGAGAGCTGGACACGGTTATGATATAACGTGCTCGCGATGGAAACGTGAACCAAAATAGGCACTGTTTCGTTAAAAATCGTTAAAGAAAAGAGATTTTAACCGAGCAAAAGACAAAATAAACGGAAGTAGAGATAATAGGAAAAGAATTCGAAAGAAATCGATAAAGGAGATTAGTACTACGAGGTGCTTTCCTTCGTACAGTTAATATTTCGAGGAAAAATTTAAATTATACTGTCGGCACTTTCAAGGACATAGATAACCGAGCAGTCATATTTTATGGTTATCGGAATGAAGAAATTAGGAACGCACCTCGCACATTCGAGAGAGAAAACAAATAATAAGACAGATAGAGAGGTGAATGCCATAGACGTATTCGTTTATCGATCAAGTGGTTATTAAGTAGACGACAGTAATTGACCACGTGCGAGACAGTTGCGCAATTGTCCGTGGATTCAATGAACAGTCGATGGCACTCAACGCGAAAATTGAACCGAAGCTGTATAAGAAAGAAAGAAAAAAAAAAATAGGAGGTAACCCAATTAGCATTGTAAACGAGTAACGGTAATTGAAATAAAATGCCAGTGCGTCAACGGTTTATCAAACTTGTATATCGCGATTTCTTTATTGCGATTACGCTATCTCGATCTCTGTCCGTCTCTGTCGATGATCGATTAAATATTAATCGTTTTCTTTTGATACTTTTTATTGCATGCATATCAAGCCGAGTAACAGCGCAATTAGAATACGACAGGGACGGAGACATCGATCGACCCATTAGCTAGCAAACAATGGAATTGGAAGAGCAATCGAATCACGAAGCAGAGAACTGGAGAACCGAGCCACGGAATACCAAGAGAAGCTAATTCGAAGTGAATTAAAAACTCGTTAATTCGAGAAACAACCCTACGATCAGCCAGTACGGAATTTAAAAGTGAACCATCGAACATTAATCATTGATTCGGATCGTAAGGATCGTACACGCGTACGATACCCCGTATGTACAATTGTATCGCATAATTTTATATTTACCTACCCCTTTGCTCGTCTTAAATTTACGGATAGGATCGTGAATAACGTACCTTGGTCCTTCGACTCTGATGATGTTCCCTACTGTCCTCCATAATCCTGGCTGCGTGTTTCGAATCGCTAACAAGGAGCCGTCCGTTGCCGCCAACTGAATTGGACGACTTTCTCCAGCGATCTAAAAATCCGTTAGAAAATGATAAATTTAATGAAATATCGAAAAGTATTATTTCGGATTACTTTCGAAGTAGTCCGTGGCTCGACTGCCTATCTGCAAGAACAAAACTGCTCAAACGTTTTAAACATTGAATCTAACATGTTAAACGTTCATTATACTAGGATAAAATGATGAATTAGATTACGGTAGACTTACCTGCATTCTGACTTTGGCGGTGTCCAATGGGAACGTCGCTAGATCAGCGATGCAGGCTGCTGTGCCTGCAGCGAAGATCCTCATCCACCAAGGGAAATCGTTCGACGCTTCTTGCTTCACTGTACTCATTTTCGTATCTTTTTCTCTCTGTTTCTCTGGCTTATCCAGTGTTGTGGGGCGATTTTTGATATCACCGGTGCGGTCTAGGTGCGTCTGGTGTGCGTCGGATGTATCGGGAAGGTGGGTATAGTGCAATCTTTTCGAGCTCTCTGGACTCCTTTTAAATCCCCGCGTGACTGTTCGATCCTTCGAGCTTGCTCGGCTTATCTGAGCGAGACCCTTTGTTAGAAAAGCGATATGTACACTATATACAGAGTCCTACCAGAGGACAGGAACCTTTAAATGTTCATTTAGCAGACGGCTGGTTTAGAGGTAGAGCTTATTAGGTTCCCTGAAGTGATCAGGATACGCATGCAGTCCCCTTGACCGCGAGCACTCGTGTTTGATGTCTTGATTGTGAAGTACTTTATACATACTATTCTTCTGTAACAAAAAAAGAACACGAACATCGTTAAAAAATGCGACCGTCAGTCCAACGGACCATTATTCATCACGTGCACTCTGGTAATTAAGGTCCCTCTAGTTTCAAGAAAATTAGAGGATAGTATTATACAGGTACTTCACCGTTTTCATGATACGAACATAAAGGTTATCGTTGAACACGACGCGGACGCGCGTGTTTCTACTATAATAACGTCAAATTGTTTTGTCTGGAATTGATGTTATCGCGACACGTGCATCATAATCGGCACGTGCAACTCTGTTCCCACGCTCAATCTTTATGTAATTGTCACCGATACTCTGCTCCCTCTGATAGCGTTTTTTGCACTGTGAACGCGTGAGCTGTCGAGTTAGATCCGATGAAATAGAATGGAAATAGAACAGAGAGAAAAGTATTGGAGGGCAGCCAGTAAGCAGATGCTCGCGCTCGGCAAACGTCAGCTGATTCAATATGCTCATTGTTTAATTTCGCTTAATTTCGTTTAAATTAACGAGGTAGACAAAACAAAAATTTAATGAAGAGAAGTGTATCATATGTATCAATGTCCATCATTAAAGTGATTTCCATGTATTTTGAATCTCCCTGTATAGATCAGGGTAAAGTTCAAGGATTGCAAGGAAGTTGACTGACTCGACTGACAGAAGTTTCAAAATAACTTTTCCTCATCTTTCGCAAAAACATTTCTCAGACACAAATGTTACTGTTTTTATTGATATTTTTCGTTTTCCTCGCGAGCTGAAGATTTTATCTGATCTCGTTCGCAAAGTCTGAGCGGGTTATATATATATAACGAGTTATTGCGGCCGTGAGGCTATTTCGGTTAAAAGTTTCAGGTAGGCGATTCTTCGACGGAGCCAAACTAGAAAGATCTCTTGTTCTTTCATTTTTCGTCCGTGGTCCGAGGATACCACGTGGCCTGGTTACGCGATCTTCGACCAGTAAAAAGAATACCGTTTGCTAAGCAGACTCGAACAAAGTCCGACGCGATTTTGTGCGAACTCAGTTCCGCTTGCTTTTTGATTATTCGTGATGAAACGAGTTTCGATTTCAGGCCGGGATTAGGCCATGGAGGGGCACGATATCGTACGATTTCGTTTCCCATCGATGACAGTGATGCATCGTTTTGTGAGAATTATTTGAAAATTTTGAAATTCAAATGAAACGAAAAACAGGCGATAAATGAAAATATTTTTGAAGTGTCTGTCATAAAATAAATGATTTTCATAACTACTCAAATGATAGACTATATCGATAACGTCTGTGTATGTTGAGAACCGCTTGTCGTAACCTTCGGCATGTGATTTCCATGAAAAAAATTTGATTCTATCCACACTCCCGTCGGGGAATTCGCCATTAGGAATGCGTAGCGTTGGTATAGAAAGACCATGGAACCATCTTGCAAATAATACGATCGATCAGAAGGGTCAGCCATGCGCCTGCACCCTTCCCTGCATTCATCGCTATTATTTGCACACTGCACAATTCTCTTTTTACCACAAACAAGATACATGTAAGAACGTTACGATTAAAAATAAAAATGAAAAAGTTATTTCTAAACCATCTATTCTCGTTCTCGAACGGTTAATTAAACAAAGCGTTCGTATTTTGAAAATATTTCTTTACGTTATTTTATGTTGGTCATTCGAAGAAAGAACCGCGAATATAAACAAAATAACTCGATGAATGCCCGACATCTTTTCTAACGATCTCGACGAACCTTGAACGAACAGTTGTGCAATATCCTTGCGCACCAGGATACAGGATACGGTTGGAAAGGTGCGGGTATATTGATTATCCTCGACGCGAACGCGACACAGAAATCATGGACGCACGGCGAACAGAACATAATCGTATTGTTCTAATATTTTCAAATGCATTCAGAATGTTTTTTGTTCCATTTTAAACGCGAGAACAAAGGCGAGTTGATTGATCCGTTGCTGTTTATTGGCCATTTTGCTTCGGCCTCGAGTATACGCCCTCGAAAAATGGACGCTTGAATGGACGCAGGAAGAATACCGAATGCTAAAAGTATAATATTATAGAAAATTGAAGAAATAGAAAACGAGTCCTCGGTGAAAGTGGTAATCACGATGTTTGGTTTCTTTTTTAGAATTTTAGATGACACTTTAACTGCCACAATGAAAACGGTCGTACGTAGTCAGACACGCTATTGGGGACAAATAAATGAATTATTCATGGCAATTCCACGAATTTTCTGTGGTTTATTGAACAGAGTTTGATAAATCGATATAGCTGTCTTTGACCATTCGCGCATATGCATTGCAGCCACAGAATGCGGACGCAGGAAATCGAATATCAATTTTGACGACACGTCGAAATTTTTATTTGCACGATACGTTTGAATGATAAAAGGTATATGTAAACATCATTGACACAATTATTCTTTGAATCACGACTGTTGCATTCGATGGAACGTTCTATGATTGCAACTGCAGTTTGCACAATTCGCTTAGGGAAAGTAAGCGCCTTTAATGGTCGCGCGTCAAAGACGTTGACAGTCATTGATTTCTGTCCTATTACTGTGAAATATTCAAAAATGACGAAAGGTGACACAGGAACGTCAATATTTTCGACTAGGTCGCGTCGACAGCAGTAATTTAAATATAAAAAGGGGACTATAAGACGTTATATTTAGATCACAGAAATTTTAGTACGATTCAGAAGTATTCACAAGAAGGATATTGAAAACAAAGAAGGATTGAGAACGAAACACCTGTAATGCTAAATTAGGATGCAAAATTCAAAATTAAAAATGAAAATTAAAGATCAAAAGGGAACAAAATTGTTAATAATACTGAAACGATGGTATATAATGAGAAAAAATGATAAAAAAATAATTTCAAGTCGAATGTATCGTACTTACCAAGTGTACAGTGAGTGAATAACAACACAACTGGAACAGGTTACTGTGAAAGCACCGTTTATACCGGCTCGCCAACCAATGGCGAACGTCCACAGTTGAATTCTGCCTATCAGCTGCCGTCTGTGACGTCAGTTTTAACCAAAGAAAGCTCAGCTTGCGGGCGGATCGATAACTTCCAGGAACGTGGTGGTATAATGCTCCTTTAGCTGCATACATGCACTATAACTATATGGATATGCATTTGGAGGGTGCAGGCGCATAACGCACTCTACTTTTGCCAAGCGACGCTGGCATGTAGCAAAATACAGCGATGAACCATCATTGGAAATTACCATAGCTCATCGTGGAAATTTATTTTGTCGCATATACTGCAACCTTTTACACCTACGAGTTCGCGATGGAGCTAACAATACTTTTCTACACGTGCTACTTTGAAAAGAATACATTCGCGTATGACTGATAGATCCTGATGGATGTTTGATCAAAAATTTGCTCGTTACACGAGTCGAGATTTTTCATTAGAAACTCTATTTACATTTTGCTATGTGCCAGATGGAATTCAGATTGTGCTGATAAGAATGTAGTTAGACATTCATTGAAATTAATCGGGAGATTGCGATCAAGGTCTTTGGCTTTTCCAAGGCACTTCAGAACTAGACACGAGTACAAATGTTCAGAGAGGCTGGGCCTATCTTATCGTTTTGACAACGATGATATAATATTTACAGTAACATCGTGTTCACGCGTGTCTTTCGTTAACTTTCGATACATGCGATTTGATACGTTTGACAAAACGTGCCTATCATTCGAGTCGTTCAATCGATTGAAAATGCATAAGAAAATGAAAACGAGTTGTCTAAACAGAGTAGATGATTCGGGAAAATGTATGGATGATAAATAAACACCCCGAAGATGAATAAAATTCCAAAAAAAGTTAATTCCATGGCCCATGGGGGGATCGAACCCGCGACCTTCGCGTTATTAGCACGACGCTCTAACCAACTGAGCTAATGGGCCGCTGGCTATTGTTGAACTATATAAAAATTTCAAAAATTATTAATGTAATATAAATTATTTTTTCCGATAAAGGGTTGCAGAGTTAATAGAATGCTTTGTTTTAAACTAGAGATGAAATCTGTGGTAACACAGCGAAGTTCATTTGTAATAGTTAATAATTGTACCCTGAATCGTTCAGTCTATCATGGCGATTTGCAAGTCATTGCATTGAAAGCAATTGATTAATAACGTTTTATTTATTGACCGATGCTCATCTGCGGTTTGGACTTTGCGTACAAAGAGTCAAACAGAGTTAATTTTTGTAATCTCCATCGATAGATAAGTTATCAAGGATAGCTTGTCATATGAAGAGTAAATAAAGGAATTACTCTGTTATAGTTTGCATTATATATTACTACTTTTTATTAAATTCAATGTTCAAATATATTTAACTATAAATTTGATTATTAAATCAGGACCAGATTTAGTTATTTAAATATTTGCACGTGTATAATTCTCAATATGTTATGAATTCCTTACGTCCCTATATCCCTTATATTGCTATTTCCCTTATATTTCTATTTGCTTTACAACCCTGTAATTAAATTAAGTACTACTTATATAGTTCAACATAGTAGACAGATCATTTAGTTCCAGATCTCATCACCAGGGAGCGCAATATCATCGTTCCAAATTTAGTTGAAATTTTTACCGCTAGAGGGTCAAAATTTTTGAAAAAATTAGTTCCGATTTTTTACCACTAAAGGGCGCTAATTCGGTGCTGAAATTTAGTTGAAATTTTTGCCATTAGAGGGGATATCTTTCCCTAGAGAAACACTGAGCATGCTCGAGGATGTATAATGTACATACTCGTTGATGTAAATACAAACAATAAGTATTATACTAAAAACACGGTAATCATTAGTAATGTAATGTGAAATGTTTATGTAATTGAAATAGAAGATTACTTTTAAACATATAACTTATAAATTCTTACTATAATCTGAATGTTTTATGAATTGTATGTAATTTTATCAATTGTAAGTTAGGTTATACCATTAAAAATGAGTGAGAAACAGAAAGTTTTAATATGCGGCGATGTAGAGGGTCATTTTAAATTTTTATTTAACAAAGTCGAAGCCATCAATAAAAAGAGTGGCCCCTTTGATTTCTTATTATGTGTTGGAAATTTTTTCGGCAAAAATAACGACGGTCTCGAAATGTATAAAGGTGGCATGAAAAATATTCCCGTTCCAACATATATTATCGGCCCTAATAGAGAATCCGATGTAGATAATTATCCAGACGTTGACGGATGCGAAATGTGTCAGAATCTTACTTATCTTGGAAAACGTGGCCTGTATACTGCTAGTTCAGGACTTAAAATAGCTTATATCAGTGGTACAGAAGATAATTCATCAGAAACAAAAGTTACCTGTTTCAATGAAGGGGATGCCATAGCAGTTAAACAAGCTTGTCTAAAAGGGCAACCTAGTTTTAGGGGAATTGATATATTATTGAGTTCACCTTGGCCTGATGGTATTACAAATTTGGATCCTAATAGACCAAATTTTAAATATCAAGGTTCCAAATTAATTGCTTGGCTGGCTACTCAAGTAAAACCCAGGTACCATGTAGCAGCTTTGGAAGGATATCATTATGAAAGACCACCATATAGGTATATAAAGGAACATGGGTTTATGATTCAGTATCAGCTTTTATATTAATTTGATGTTTCTACTTTCAGGAATCAGAGTCAACAAGAGGGTAATATTGAAATAGCAACAAGATTTATAGCACTTGCACCTGTAATGAACTCTCAGAAAAAGAAATGGCTGTATGCTTTAAACCTAACACCTGTTGATAGAACACGCTTATCTGATTTAGTTATGAAAACTACAGATGAGACAGATAGTCCATATCCAAAATCAATGTTATCAAGTGAACCATCTATACAGAAATTAGAACCTAAACGAACCCAGTTCTTTTATGACATGGAGTCTAAGGAACCTACTAGGAGATCAAGGCACTCAGAAGGACCTAATAAAAGACCAAAACCAGAATTTGATCAAGCAAAATGTTGGTTCTGCTTATCAAGCCCTGAAGTTTCTAAACATTTAGTAATATCAGTTGGAACAGAGATTTATGTTGCCCTTGCTAGAGGTGGATTGGTTGAAAATCATTTTCTAATTCTGCCAGTAACACATCATCAGAGTTTGTCTATTTTACCAAAAGAAGTGAAAGAAGAAATGGCTTTGTATAAGGATGCCATAACAAAATATTATGCAACTATGGATTGTGTACCTGTACTTTTTGAACGTAATTATAAAACATCTCACTGTCAATTGCAAGCTGTACCTGTTCACAAAAATCAAGCACCTGCCTTGAAAGAAACATTCCAAGTAAGTGTATCGATTATGATTGATACTAAATGTTAAACAAGCTATAATTACAATTTCGTTTCAGGAAATGGCAGAATGTAATAACTTCGAAATAACTGAATTACCTCCACATGCAGATTTGCAGCAAATTGCAAAACCAGGGGTTCTATATTTTTATGCAGAATTACCAGATGGAACAAAATTATACCACAGAATTAAGAAAGATTTTCCATTACAATTTGGGAGAGAAGTACTAGCATGTGATAGAATATTAGACATCAATGACAAAGTCGATTGGAAAGATTGCCAGCTAGATAAAGAAGAGGAAATTGAATTAGCCTCGCGAATTAGAAGAAACTTTCAACCGTTTGATGTAGATACTTAAAACTGTACGAAAATTAACAAACTGAAATTGTAAAATATGTATATACATTTATACATCAATTTTTTTGTACAATATACGAGTATATTAACTCATCACGACTTACAAAAATATGGAATGAAGATCATGATATTAACTCAAATATTGTAACTCGTAATCAGCCGGAGTTGCAAGCGGATCTAATCCACTTAATTTCATTTGTAATGCTATGTCAAATAAATAATCATAACATTCCGTCCTGAAAAGAAAAGCACTTATATTTAGAAAATCGATATATTAATATACTATATAATATTAATTTACATACATAGTTTTGGCTTGCTGCCATGTATCACCCCAAACATAGACACCATGTCTCCTTACTAATACAGCACAAGTTTCTGGATAAGCCTCAATAGTTTTATCTAATTCATCCCTTAAGTCTTCTTCAAATGGAGTATTTTCTATTATTGGCACTACAAGTTCTTCATCAAAACGATAAGCTCTTCCCAATTTCTGATTTCTAATGCCTGTTTAATGTAATAGGAACATGTTTTAATAGACAAATGTAATAGCATTTTGTATTTTATACAAACAGTTGTTACAGATTGTACCCTTTATCATTTCAAGATGAGTAACACGAAATTCCTTTCCAGGCCAATGTAATGTAACCATCACAGCAAACTTAGAATGAGTATGAATTACAGCACCAGCATTTCTTCTTGTGTATGCACATATAAATAATGGAGTACATTGTGATTTTTTCAATTTCTTTTCTGGCGGAGGCAATTCTAAGTCTTGTCCGTTAATAGTCTGTACAAACATTTCATCTGGTAAGATACGTTCTTTCTGGACTCCAGATGGAGCAATATAAATCTTGTCCCTGAATGTACAACAAAATATTATTATGTAATGTAAAAAATTTGATATAATATGAAAGATGTTACCCACTCATGTTTAACAGATATACCACCACCAGTTCCAGTAACCCAGCCCAGATTATAAAATTGTCTGCATAATTCAGGTATCAAATTTCTTGGATGTTCCTATGAAATAAAACCATTTATACAGTATAATAAGTTTTTTTTATTTTATTTTAATGATAAGGTAAAATTAATTTAAACATTTTTAATATAATACCTTATCGTAATTATCGTCGTGCGCAGACATTGTTAATATAAGTCACAGAAATGTGTTTCAAATTTTACGACGATCTGTAAAACGATCATAAAACGTTTCAATTTTAATTCAGAAATCGCGATAAGAGCGCCCATTCATATATGTACTGCGATGTGCAGGCAATAAATTTTCACTCATAATTTTAAAGGTGGTACACCCAACTGAAATTCATACATCGTGATGTAAACACTGTGATGCAAATGTCGAGGCTGAGCTCCGAATTCCGCATCGGTAAAACAGGCCATGTGTGATCGAAAATTAAGCTGAACAGAAACTGATTTAAGCGCCACCTCAATTATTGCATCCAACTAACGGCATGCTATACTACGTTACCTTTCGCAAATACCTATATGAGGCATGTATGCTATATGTATAAGTACATAATTAAACAATACTGACTATGCATTCATTATTATTAATTTTCCTTCCATAAAATTGTATTTGCAATGTGGTACGCTTCAGAATCTCAAAGGCATAGTTCCTGAAAAAAATATAACAGCGATTAAATAGAAAAAAAAGCATTTTCGCAGCCAATTCGCTCGTATTATTTGCTGCATAATTAATAAATGTACCATAAAAATAATGATACAGTTATTAATTAGTCATCAAATAATAACGATTGCCCAGGTCTCACCACGGGGAGGTTGCTGCGGGTGGAGACCCGCCCTACCTCGTCCCATCCACCCTCCATTTATGCAAATTTTTACTTTTATTCAAAAACATCATCCTCTTGATGCACATTTGCAAAACGTTTCGAGTGTTGTGCAAACGAACAACAAAAGGAGCATTATTTCTATTCACTACCTACCTATCTACTTATCTATACATATATTTACGTAGATTTTTATTTTTTATTCCTATCGCAACATTTTTTCATTTTGATTTTGATTACAGATCAGTAATTAATAAATTACTTATATTCCTACATACTTATATTACTAAGAATACCTATCAATACGAGCGCTCGTAATTATATTAAAAATTAGCTTAAATCTAACGCTTTCTACTTAAACACTGCAGTGTTTGACGATTATATTTTAATGACCATAAAGTCATTAAGAAGTCGTTAAGTCATTAACATCATTAATCATTTTACAAAACCATAAATTTACAACGTGTTTATATAAAAATTTAAAGGGATGTACATAAATAAATACAATGAATTTATTGATTTTGTTGTCCTCGCCAGAATACTTCCTGAAATAAACTACGAAAGATTAGATACAATTTTCAAAAATAATAAGGCACATATTACCTTCATACGCGAATAGTTCCTGAAATATATGGAAAAGGATTAGATACAATTTTCAAAAATAATAAGGCGCATATTACCTTAATACGCGAATAGTTCCTGAAATATATGGAAAAGGATTAGATACAATTTTCAAAAATAATAAGGCGCATATTACCTTAATACGCGAATAGTTCCTGAAATATATGGAAAAGAATCAGATACAATTTTCAAAAATAATAAGACTCGTATTACCTTAATACCAGAATACTTCTTGAAACAAACTAAAAAGGATTAATTACCAAAATATGTCCTGAGATATTTCTCTGCAACAGAAACTTATTAATTGAATCCATATCAAGACAAAAAGTTTAATAGCTGAAAAGAAGTTGCATTAGTACACACAAAATTTCACAAAAATCAGAGTCATTGTTAATGACTCATTTCCAATGAAAAAAAGGAACATCAATTCAATTCGTTATTTCAGTACCAAAACAAAGAAAAGAAAAGATTTAGAAAAATATATCGTCACTCAATGATTTGATTTAAAAGGATTAATTGTTTTTCATTTTATAGTATTTAATATTCGTTCATTTGTTAACAAACAAACAGTACACGATATTTTAATTGAAACAATTATCTTTTACTGCAATATACGTACAACCATGACTTTACTTGACTTTATTGTATTATATTATTCAATACACCTTTTAATGCAAATTTATTATAAATGGAAAAACTGAAAAGAAAATCGCGAGTGGACTTTGCTTTTCAGGAAAAGAATTTGAAAATTTATAAAAGTAATTTAATTAGCTTCTCCGTAAGCTTGAAACGAAACATCGCGATCAAAAATTAAAACTGAACAACTCGAACAACAATTATCCTCTACTTTTGTTTAAATAAAGTAAAATAAAAATTTAATAAGCTATCTCGAATGAACAAATATTCCTTGAAATAAATTATCACCAATCATCAAAAAATAAAATGAATTTCCATTTTAAATAAAATTTTGAATAAAGTTCTCTTTAAAACTTTATCGTATTTAATAATATCCTGAAAACATTAAATTCATATATTATTTAACAGTATTTCCAATAACCGAATGCTCAAAATTTTCAAAATTAAAAAATGGGAAGAAAAAAGAATGGGGGCGTGGCAGTGGGAGGGAAGGTACAGGGGAACCTGAAAAGAAAAGTTTGACTGCCCATAAGAGCAATCCCTAAGCAAACCCTATATAACAAACCGAAATCACACGCAACACTAATTTCAAAATTGCAAACATTTCTGAACTATGACAAAACATCGGCTGGCAACGAGGGGTCTCACGCCCCCTAGACTTACGCCAGACGCTACATACCACCCACCCCGCCTGGACGTCGTAACGCCAGGACAGAGTGCACCCCTTCGCTAAGAGCGCTACCCGCCCGTCCAACACGTTGCATCCAACGGTGTCAGATTGACGGACGCCCATAGTATAGACAAAAGAACTACAGTTTAGAATATGGTAACATATTTTCATATGTTCCATATTCTAAAGCTGCGCCTGCAAAGGCCTAGTAATGCATGGGTATATCTCCCAGAGATGGTGTTCACGGTCTTAGGCCGCGGAATCCTTGACTAGCAATGGATTCCCACCGAATGTGAGTCATAGGTACTTCCACTAATTTAATAACAATCGCGAATTCAGTCGCAACACTAATTTCATTAATTATATAATATGTACAAAAGCGTACGCGTGAAGGCTGCTCCATTATACGCAACACTAAGCTGAAAAAAAGAAAAAAAGAGAAAACGCGAACTGTAACGCAACACTAGTAAAATCTACCGAATTTTGTAAGACGCAACACTAATCTAAAAAAGGGGTACAGCCAATCCAAGGCTGTACCACGGCAGCTAGTCCATAGCTGCCTTATGGACCATGGCAACTCCACTGGATCGTTTTGGGGCATTTCTAATGCAAAACGCGAATATTTATTATCGCTACACTAATTAGCAGGGAACTCTATAAAGTAATGCAAAGCAATCGCGTATTTATAAGTCGCAACACTGGGAAACAATCGCGCTAATGTCTATCGCAACACTATCTTTAACAGACATGCAATTAAAATGCAGAAAAGGGGGATTCTCAAACCGTGAATTTTTTACTCGCAACACTAATTTTATTAATTATATAATATATACAAAAGCGTACGCGTGAAGGCTGCTCCATTATACGCAACACTAAGCTGAAAAAAAGAAAAAAAGAGAAAACGCGAACTGTAACGCAACACTAATTTTATTAATTATATAATATATACAAAAGCGTACGCGTGAAGGCTGCTCCATTATACGCAACACTAAGCTGAAAAAAAGAAAAAAAGAGAAAACGCGAACTGTAACGCAACACTACTCAAATCTACCGAATTTTGTAAGACGCAACACTAATCTAAAAAAGGGGTACAGCCAATCCAAGGCTGTATCATGGCAGCTGGTCCATAGCTGCCTTATGGACCATGGCAACTCCACTGGATCGTTTTTGGGCATTTCATCATATATCGCAACTCTAATGCAAAACGCGAATATTCATTATCGCAACACTAATTAGCAGGGAACTCTACAAACTAATGCAAAGCAATCGCGTATTTATAAGTCGCAACACTGGGAAACAATCGCGCTAATATCATTCGCAACACTATCTTTAACAGACATGCAATTAAAATGCAAAAAAGGGGGATTCTCAAACCGTGAATTTATTACTCGCAACACTAAAGCAATCAACATTAAAAAGCAAAATTCTCAGAAATCTTAAAGCAATCAACATTGAAAAGTTAAATTCCATTTTAAAGCAATGCAAGAAAGAAACGCGATATTTAAAGTTCGCAACACTAAATGAAAATCGCGATAATCATGCATACGCAACATTAAATTGAACCGCGATCGATATTCATTCGCAACACTAAATTGAACCGTGGTCAATATTCGCAACACTAAATTGAAAACGCGATTTGCCCAAAATCATGGGGGTCACGGGCCCCCTCTTGTCCTGAAATTACAAAACTACAACTACAGGCAAGCACAGTGACAAAGTAGTAACGATAATGATTTCCCATCCTTTTTTGCAAAAGGATGCAAAATCATTAGTAGTTCCCCTCTTGAAAGACAGTTTGTCGGGGCGCTTCGGCATATAGCCTTTTCTTTCTTCGGGCGGTCCACCCACCTGAAACTTATATCTAAAGCTCGAGACTTGCAAATCCGCAAAACAAAAAAAAACAATCAACAAAAAAGAAAAATCGCGAAACTCTAATTGACACGTAGACGAAAAAGGACTTTATATAAGTCGTTGTTCGTACACACGTGCCGTGCTCGAGCAGAACTTGTGCGTTTCGTATCATCGCGACCGCGTATGACGACTTATGAAGTCGCCAAAAATTTGAAAAATTGTACAGATAGATTCGAAGGCGAACGGCATACTCCGTTCGTATCGATCGTATCGTCAATTCTTCAAATATATTCCAGGTACAGGTTGATCACGCGAAATCGCGCCTACCCGACCAAGAGACTGTGACAACCTGTCCCGGCCCTACCTACTTACAATCTATCACACACACCAGAAGGTATACTACCTACCTACCTAACCCTATATTTAAAAAAGGCAAAATCACATTCTCACAAAAATTCATTCCACGACCCCCATACACTCCACCCGGGCGCAGAGCCTAAACTAGGGAGAACGTCCCGGGACGCCTCCGTCACCCGAGTTTCATCTCACATCACACTCTACGGTACGTACCATTTTTCACTGAAATCGTCTGGCAAGGCTAGCAATCATTGCGTATAATGATAATTACAAAATTTAATTAACTACTTTGATATGGAATATTTCATAGTAATGGTAATAATCATGGTAATAGTAATGATAACAATAGTATTTGGTTTATACGTTCATCGTACATCTTGTTGGATAAAATATTATTTCAAATTAAAAGTAAATGAAAAAGTTATTAAACCGACGCAATCCCACAGCCTAAAAACACACACACCATATGTGGAGATTACGTCGTGCACGATATACTAACACAATGCCAGCCGCTTATTAATTATTATTCTTATGAACTAGGTCATCATGCCCATTGCCTCTACCCATCCAAGTAGCACCTGGGCACGTGAATGGGCTTTGGCAATAAACACGGAAGGGGTTAAATCTGAAAATCCTGATCTAAAAACATGATGAGTACATAAACATCTAACGGGCTAATATTTCACTATTTTAATAAAAATGACTCGACTTTGTAAATATAAAGCTTTAAGAACAAATACTGAAAAGCAGAATAGAGCAACTATGACGCAAACATGGTGCACTGCTAATATCAGCTGGCAACGAAGGGTCTCACGCCCCCTAGACTTACGCCAGACGCTACATACCACCCACCCCGCCTGGACGTCGTAACGCCAGGACAGAGTGCACCCCTTCGCTAAGAGCGCTATCCGCCCGTCCAACACGTTGCATCCAACGGTGTCAGATTGACGGACGCCCATAGTATAGACAAAAGGACTACAGTTTAGAATATGGTAACATATTTTCATATATTCCGTATTCTAAAGCTGCGCCTGCAAAGGCCTAGTAATGCATGGGTATATCTCCCAGAGATGGTGTTCACGGTCTTATGCCGCGGAATCCTTGTAACTAATTTGATTAATTAAATAATAAAAATGATTGAGTTTAAAAACCAAAAGGATTCCCACCGAATACTAGTCAGTGCATCGTCATATTTACTCTCGCGCTGGAAATTTTTCGCAACACTAATTTAAGAAATGCAAAATTTTAATAAAAAAGAATTTAATGTCTTTAATTAAGAATTCTTTGCAATGAAACAAGAATTTGTTGTGAAAATTAATAAAACATCCTCGGGTGACTCCCTCCTCAGAGTAAATTTTCAAGAATACGCAAAATGTGTTGAAATAGATCACTCTGAGTTGGAAATCTACCCGTCACGAATTGTCTTCTTGCACATAAATTGTTCATTTTTTCATGAACGTGTAAATAAGTTAAACTTCGTTATTGAATGAATGAAATTTTAAAAAATTCTCAAATCATATTTGAATTTATAGTGTACAAAATGTAATTAAATCAATGTAACAGCATCATTAATATGTATATCCAGTATACAGATTACACAATACTATTAATATTATATTGTTTTGAACCATCGTAATAATTAAGTCAGATAGTATTTGACTTCTCTATTACAGACAAACTAAATAAAATTGTTTCGGTATTAAAATATTCTAATTCCACAGTTAAGAATATTTAAGAGCATTCATATATTTCAAAAATATCTATTAGAATATGTGGAATTGAAATGATATTAAAACGCGGAGTACAAGAAGACCTATCCTAACTAAATGAAATGAAACAATAAACATGTTACTACTCATGGGTATGTATAATCATACCCATGGTCACTATGCTTGCCAAGCACGTATACAACTAGTAGCCCGTGTCGATTCGGACCATTCGTCCTACGACATGATTGGGCTACCAGAGGAACCATAAAACATGCGACTCACCGTTCGCAGATATACTCTTCTTCAGGTAGGAGGCTGCCTTGTAGGAGAATACTGAAGTCGTGAAGAAATTCATCTGTAACAAAAAAAGAAGAATTACGGTTAATTTTGAAAATTATAAATTTTTATTCTAATAAAATTATATATGAAATTGAATTTTATAAAATATTAGCAATTAAAAAGAAATCTCAATTATCAAGGGTTGAAATTGTAAATTATTCTATTATAATAAAAAGCAATTAAGTGACGTACCAAGACGGAAGTCGTGAAGAAAGCCATCATCAGGATATCCAGGAACTCGGCAATAAAAAAATTCATCTGTAACAAAACAAAAAAGAATTACGATTAATTTTGCAAATTATCAATTTTTATTTTAATAAAATTATATATGAAATTGAATTTTATAAAATATTAGCAATAGCAATTAAGAACTTTCAATTATCAAATATTGAAATTGTAAATTATTCTATTTCAATTAAAATTAATTAAATAAAGTAATAAGATACTTACACTCTTTCCTTATGGAGCAACGCCCAAAACTCCTCTTCAGTGGTACTTTGACTCTAATCCCGAATATATCGAGCAATTACAAAAAAAATTAAAAATAAAAATAGTAACGCGACCGTGAATAATTTCCGGCGAACAATTGTAAAGACTCTACTTTCACGATAGAAAAAGAAAAATCAGAGCCGCGATGCTCTAGAAAATGTTTTATTATACGCAGCAAACACTGACTCTACTTTCGCGTGATTCCTAACTGTACAAGCGCAACTCTATTCAGGGCCAGTTCACCCTTGAAAAAATCAAAACATTGGAAATATGTACGTACAAACACTGACTCTACCGACCGCATTGCGCGCGGCCACAACAATTCCTGAAAGAAAAACTTAGTGAACAGGGATGGGCTGGGTGGAAATATACAAAACAACATTCTTCTTATTGAACATTCGTAACGGAAATACTGTTATTAATGACTTGTAAATGAAAATATCTATGTTCGTGAAATATATTCGACGAGCACAAATATTGTTAAAGCTGAATATTGATTCTAGATTGAAATGAAATGTTTTGAATAAATGTTCATAATTATTTCAATGAATATTACATCGATAGAAAATCATTTTGTAATAAAGATAATAGACAATTGTATTAAAACAGAGGATTTTTGTTGTTAAGATTGTAAGCATACTACAAATTATTGGAAATTCTATTATGGCATGATTTATAAATTATCTAATTCTTTTCAATAAGCAAAGTCCAATAATTAACCATGCTTAAACAGCATGTGATTTTATAACGTGATTCTGTTTTAATTTAATCTTGCATCAAAAGCTGTATATTATAATATAATTACTATGATTTAATAAAAACAAATTGTTTAAAATAATGAAAATATAATTAAATAATTGTTGAAGAAAAGCAATCATCTGCAGTAGAATACACGTTGTTTCAATTTTGTTCTAATTTAAAACACACGTATTAAATTATTAGTTGAAATTATTTAATAAAATGAAAAATTAATTATTCTTTTTCTATTAACTGATCAAAAGAAAATTTCTTTAATCTTTTTTTCCTTGACCTCGATACCAATTAATTATCAAACATGCTTACACTTAACAACGATTCAAAAAAAGCATTAATAATTGATTATAATAAATTAAAACGTTACTAATTATATTATATACCCTTTACAAAATTATATTTCGAACCAATATCAATGGCGTTGTATCCCATGGTGCCTTTTTGAAATCAAATAAATATCTGTAACAAATAAAAAATAAAAATTTATGCAAATTAAATTTAACCAACAAATAAACAAACGATCGAAGTCGATAATTTATGCAAATTATTTAAATAAATAGACTATGCGTACTTTTGCAATAGCTTATGCGGGAGCACGACCTAAACACGTCTTCTCACTTCGACGCTCGAGAGAGCAATGGGGAGACCTTCCTTCCCATCGTAGACCGGTCGGCACTTCGGCAACACTCGGCAATGTTCGGTATATTCTGCTATAGGCCGATCCCTAAGCAAGTACACGACACGAACACGTCTAAACAGGAACAATATTACGATGCTCAAGAAAAGATGTTATTAAATTAAAAACAGCAAATTGTGTGAAACAATATGAAAAACATTCGATAATGTTTAGGAACTTAACGATATAAAAGAGAAAATAATTCAGATTCTGCAATTCCACTCTTATTGTACATTCCCGGCGAGAGCAAAAATTTTCAACTCATGTATTTGTGAAGAAAACGCCGAATTAATGTCAAAGATCAAGAATTCAGACTTCTCTTCGATGTTTCTTTCTGTTTTTTGTACTTTTAACACCCGATCGGCAATTTAATTTAGTATTTAAAGATAATTTAATCTTACCTGTTGCAGACACGTGCTAAACAGACGCAGCTTCGAAGACGACTGTTGCACGCCACCACACTCCGCCCGTTGCACCCTACAACGATAAACCTGATTGGTCGAAATGGTAAGACGCAATAATAGACGACCAATCACAGCCATTGATAGAAGTTTCATATTGCTTCGAAACTTTAATACTAATCGTAAGGGAAAGGTTCGTTAAAAACTATCGACGCCATATTGAAATAAAGTCAAGATTATTTTTCTCAGGTTAAAACATGAAAATATAGGAAACAAAGTAGAAAAAATATAAGATATCGACGGGATTTAAGAAATTATTGATATAAAAGCAAAATAAATGAAGGAAATGTTATTTTAATTCGTATTTATATCGCTATAATAGTAAAAAACGAGAAAATCAAGTATCACGATTTATAACAATAAATTATGAGAAATATGTATTGAAAACGTGAAAAAATGCAATAATGTTAAAGAAATTATTGATATAAAGGGAAAATAATTCAGATTCTGTTCTTCCAACTTCATTGTCAATTCACGGCAAGAGCAAAAAATTTCAACTCACGTATTTTTAAAGATAACCTCGAATTAATGTCAAAAAACAAAGAGCTAGACTTCTCTTCGGCTATTCTTTCTCTTTTTTGTATTTTCAACACCCGAAAGACAATTTAATTTAATATTTGAAGATAATTTAATCTTACCTGTTGCAGACACGTGCTAAACAGACGCAGCTTCGAAGACGACTGTTGCACGCCACCACACTCCGCTCATTGCACCCTACAACGATAAACCTGATTGGTCGAAATGGTAAGACGCAATAATAGACGACCAATCACAGCCATTGATAGAAGTTTCGTATTGCTTCGAAACTTTAATACTAATCGTAAGGGAAAGGTTCGTTAAAAACTATAGACGCCATATTGAAATAAAGTCAAGATTATTTTTCTCAGGTTAAAACATGAAAATATAGGAAACAAAGTAGAAAAAATATAAGATATTGACGGGATTTAAGAAATTATTGATATAAAAGCAAAATAAATGAAGGATATGTTATTTTAATTCGTATTTATATCGCTATAATAGTAAAAAACGAGAAAATCAAGTATCACGATTTATAACAATAAATTATGAGAAATATGTATTGAAAACGTGAAAAAATGCAATAATGTTAAAGAAATTATTGATATAAAGGGAAAATAATTCAGATTCTGTTCTTCCAACTTCATTGTCAATTCACGGCAAGAGCAAAAAATTTCAACTCACGTATTTTTAAAGATAACCTCGAATTAATGTCAAAAAACAAAGAGCTAGACTTCTCTTCGGCTATTCTTTCTCTTTTTTGTATTTTCAACACCCGAAAGACAATTTAATTTAATATTTGAAGATAATTTAATCTTACCTGTTGCAGACACGTGCAAGACGGACGAAGCTTCGAAGAGGAATGCTGTACTGTGTCACAAATCCACGCACTCGTTCTCACAACAACGTGTCTGATTGGTCGAAATAAGAGGACGCCATAATGGATGACCAATCACAGGCATTGGCAGAAACTTCGAATTGCTTTGAAACTTTAACATTAAAAGAATGAAAAGATTCGTTGAAAATTATCAACGCCATATTGAAATATGATCAAAATTACTTTTTTCACTTTAAAGCACCGAAATATAAGAAAAAAAGGTAGAAAAATACATAAGATATTGATGGCATTTAATAAATTATCACCATAAAAGCAGAATAAATGAAAAATATGTTACTTTAATTCATATCTGTATCGACAAAATAGAGTATAAATTTTCAGCTTACGCATTTCTGAACACAATATGGAAATGATGTCAGAAGTCACGACCCCGGTCTTTTCTTCAACTTTGTCTTCTGTTTTTTGTATTTTTTATACCTAATACACAATTTAATATAATATTTTAATACTATTTAACGCGATGCAAGCGTCGAGGCCGCTTCACATACACGAGCTGCGAATGATTACGCGATCGAACATACTAAACGAATGAACTGCGCCCTACAGAAAAAATGAGGAACTAAATTTGTAGTCTGTTTTACCTTTTCAACGTCTTTTGCGAATGAATAATGAATGAACTTTAATAATTGCTGTGATTAACTGTAGTTAATAACCTATAATATGGCTACCTGGATCACAGTAACACCGCGGTAGTATTTAAATTTTGTAAAAGTTATTAATAAGACTTCTTAGAATTCCTCATATTTGATGAGTGTTTGAAGCATGAAATTGCTTTGGAGCATCAAATGTCTAGAATGTGATATAATTTGTATATTTTAAATAATAGGCATTGATTGTTTTAGGCTTGAACAAGGTCTGAGAATAGCAAATCAAATAGACAGCAGTAAATTTCGATTGCTCATCAATCGTATTTGCCAAACACTGCAGTCTGATGCAAAGGCAAGAACATTTAGCGAGGAAGAGGAAGAAAAATTATTAGTCTCTCTAGTTTTGAATAAAGATGAATTAGCTTGCCTTCTAGATGCATTAATCTTGTTTTATAAACAAGCTGCATGTAATATCATAAAAGTGCAGTCTATGGAAAGTACTTTGAAAGATACTTTTAAAACAGATGACGATAAGGTTCAAATATATTTAAATGCATGGATTGCATATGGTAAAGGAATCATTGATAATTTTAGACAGATATCCATATTCCCTGTTCAGGTATATTATAATGATAAACATTAATATTTGCATTATGAAATATGAGCATATTTGGTATTACTTTATTTTATTTCAGGTCAAAGACATTGACTGGTGTTTGAATATTCAAGCTGCATCATCTACTATCAAAAAAGACGTACGTCCAACTGCATTAATGCAGTTAAACTTGACAAGAGAGGAGCAATCAAAATTAACAGTTGAATTTGATAAACAAAAGCTGATAGATTTGTATCAAAATTTAGAGAAGATACAATCACAATTGGATGCTCTTAAATGATCCTTAATTAGCCATTGTTTTTAATTTAAGATATATATTTTATATTACGAATTATTAAGTATAACGAAATAAATATTTATCATTGTATTTTTATACAGTTTTTAATAATAATTTCAATCCTTTCAAATCTTATTTACGCGTTTCTGAACTGACTACAAAAGCAATGTCTCCAGTAAACAATTTGCGTGCAGATTGGCAGCAGATCTAATACTGTTTCCGCATTTGGCTTGGTTTCTGCAAACAGAACCTGCTGACAGAATCATATAGCAGATTTTGTTATATTTCTGCCGTCAATCTGCTACAATTGCTGAATTTAACACATTCTGCATCAAATCTGTCGCCATTGTTTACAAAACCTAACAGCAATTCGACAGAATTTGCTATGCGCAGGATTGACTGATTGGGTCTATGAACAGTCCTTAAAAAGTTCATCCACTTCAAATTCAGATACATTAAATTTATTCAAACTTCAATTTCCATAATAATCTTAATGTTCCAAGCTTATGTTCTTATAATTTACATTAAGATTAAATGATATTCATTTATGATTCACAATAGTGAATAATGATGCCTGTAGGTGTCATCAATGAAACAAATGGCGACAAGTGCAAAGTTGAAATGAATCATTTGAACGAATAAACCGTAAATTTCAAGGATTTGTTTCGGATAGCTATTAGTCCTACGACGTCTGTTTGTTATCAAGTAAAATCATACATATTTTATACTCCCCGACGAATGTAAGAGCAGTTTCCTACGGGTTTCTTCTAGAGATCGATAAATTCGGGTCAAACGTCGAACCTTGCGCGCAGGTTCGCCTGTAGTGTGTATTATTTCTCCCGTCGAAGATCTTCGACGTCAAAAGATGTCCACGTCGGTGACAGCGAAACTTCAAGATGACATGAACAGTATACCATTGGCAGATGATGATCCTCAGGGTAAGGGAATTTATATATTACATCTCTGACCCAGTTCTCTTGATTTCGTTAGCGCACCTTGCTCTGTTATAACCTGCCTGCTGTTCTATCCCTAATCAAAATATTTAAATATCTAATAAAAATTACCAAAAATTATCGAAACTCTGGTAAATTTGGAGCATTGGAGGATGTAGATTGATATAGGAAACTTTATATAGAGATACAAGATAATTAAGTTAAATGTTTTTATGTATAGTGATTATTCCTGAGGAAGAAGTTTTGGATAATAGCTGCCACATATCTGATGCATTGGGCAGAGGACGCAGCATGGATTCCATTCCATCTACATTCACAAATGGCAGCTGTAGCCCTAACAGTAAGTTCTAAACTGTCATGGTTTTATAATGATATATATTGCTAAATAATCAATATGATTTAATTGCAGGTTTAGATCCTGATATCAGTCCTGATGAACAAGAAGAGAAGGCAAGATTGATAGCTCAAGTGCTTGAACTTCAAAATACATTAGATGGTAAATAATTTGTGCCTTATAAACATCTTATCTAATTGTATGAAATAATCTTAAATGTATATTCTTGTTCTACAGATCTATCACAGAGAGTAGACAGTGTAAAGGAAGAGAACCTAAAATTGAGAAGTGAAAACCAAGTACTGAGCCAGTACATTGAGAACCTGATGTCAGCATCCAGTGTTTTTCAATCTACAAGCCCCAACACCAAGAAAAAGTGAATTCACGTTGTTAAAGTAGATAAAGAAATATGTTCGAGAAACAGGGATCTTAAACTAATGTGATCTGTAATCTTCTATGAAAAGCATGTACTCATATCTATAATCATGACTGCCTTCTTTTACTCGAGAAAAAACAAAATTATTGTTGATGCGAGAATTTCCAAGATATCGTCTTTATTTCATCTGTATGTGTTCTATCGGTGGGTACATACTTTTCATGGGAGCGAAGTTTATGAGCGAAGATTACTTTAAAACATTCGTTCGTATTTATCATTCGAATTTGAGCATTGCAATTTTTTCTTCATTCACTGCATATGCTTCTTGCTTGTAGAACAACGCGCTTATGATTATTATCACCAAAGAATTTCATTTTGCATTTATGTAAAAGTATCTTATCAGCCATGACATTTAATTTATAAAAACAAAAAAAAATCCAAATATTGCTTGTTGAGACGTGTGATTGAATATTTCTAATCGAATATTATTTTTTTAACATTATTCGTTGATACATTCTTTTCATTTTTCCTACAAAAGAAATTATATTTATGTTAACCATTGGCGTTGTATTTGATATTTACAAATAAGAAGCGAGGGTAATAAATGTTTGTAGTTATCGTATTTAATCAAACACCAACGTTTTTTAATTGAAGCTTTCGCTTAAGGGTTTCGATATATGCAATGTATGTAGGTGTACAAAAGAGATAAGAAATAGTTATATATACAAGGTGTCCCATGAAACTGGCCCAAGGTATATTCCTGAAATGGTACAAGACAGAAAAAAATGTCATTAGATAAAATTAAATAGTGTCGTATGGATCATCGCGTAATGCATGTGTCGGCTCCATTCGATGCCATTTAATTTTGTCTTGGCCCAGTTACATTGGACACTCGGTATACAATTATTTATAAATATAAATATATGATTATAATATATTATGATATAAATTAGCGTTCATACGAATGCTGCGAGCACAGTGTAATTTTTCATGCATTTCTTGTAACGACTGATTTCAAAAATTCGATCGACACTCTGCCTGCAGCATAGTCGATCAACGATTAATATGATTAATAAAAAGAAAGAGAGAAAAAAAAAAGAAAGAAATATGTACTGCAATATAAAACTGCAACTTGCGAGAAAGTTTCAGTTGAAGGGCACAAGCAGAATGCACAATCTCAAATTATTCCATTGTTGAGTAACACAGTGTTATAATAAACATTATATTCTATTGGAAAGTAACGAAGTTATTTATTTATTGTAGAAAGCTCCTTCATCTTTCATCCTCTCCAACGAATATATTTATTTACTAGGGCAACTTTCTTTATAATATAAAGAGCCCAAAAGAGGAATAGGATAATAAATAGTTAGGGAGCGTGAGTCTTGGCCCATAAAGAAGGATAAAATAATTAATAACTGAAAGGGGTGGCCTTGGCCTATAAAGAGGGATAAAATTATAATAAATAACTGGAAAAAGTGAAATAAAAGGGGCCTCGGACGAGGCCCAGAAGAGGGATGCAATCATAAATGTTATTCTCCTTCGATGAGTTTATTTGATAAGCAAAGAAAATAAATAAATTAAATTAAATAAACTTCGGAAAAAAATTAATTATTATACTGGTTGCACCTTCTACGTACGGGCCTGATATCACCCTGGGGTGTCAAGGACCCCGAGGCATCGGTGGTGCCCTCTGCATATAGCCCTGGATATCATCATGGGGTTTCAGGGACCCCGGCGACTCTATCCGCGCACCGACAAAATATTGTCTTGGGGTTTCAGGGACCCCGGCGACACTTTCTGCGCCCGACAAAATATTGTCTTGGGGTTTCAGGGACCCCGGTGACTCTTTCTGCGCGCCGATAAAATATTGTCTTGGGGTTTCAAGGACCCCGATGACTCTCCGCGCACCGACAAAATATTGCCTTGGGGTTTCAGGGACCCCGGTGACTCTTTCTGCGCGCCGACAAAATATTGTCTTGGGGTTTCAGGGACCCCGGCGACTCTATCCGCGCACTGACAAAATATTGTCTTGGGGTTTCAGGGACCCCGGCGACACTTTCTGCGCACCGACAAAATATTGCCTTGGGGTTTCAGGGACCCCGATGACTCTCCGCGCACCGACAAAATATTGACTTGGGGTTTCAGGGACCCCGGTGACTCTTTCTGCGCGCCGACAAAATATTGTCTTGGGGTTTCAGGGACCCCGATGATTCTCCGCGTACCGACAAAATATTGTCTTGGGGTTTCAGGGACCCCGATGACTCTCCGCGCACCGACAAAATATTGACTTGGGGTTTCAGGGACCCCGGTGACTCTTTCTGCGCGCCGACAAAATATTGTCTTGGGGTTTCAGGGACCCCGGTGACTCTTTCTGCGCACCGACAAAATATTGTCTTGGGGTTTCAGGGACCCCGGTGACTCTTTCTGCGCGCCGACAAAATATTGTCTTGGGGTTTCAGGGACCCCGATGATTCTCCGCGTACCGACAAATTGTGGTCTTGGGGTTTCAGGGACCCCGGTGACTCTTCCTGCGCACCGACATAATATTGTCTTGGGGTTTCAGGGACCCCGATGACTCTCCGCACACCGACAAAATATTGTCTTGGGGTTTCAAGGACCCCTAGCTTTATACATATATGTATATATATATAAGATTTGAAATTTAATTTTCGATTTTATCAAATACATTACATAAATTCTTTATAAAATCTGTAATGTTTTATGTTTTTTTTATAATAAAATTTTTGATTTGTTGTATCGATTGTTGCTTTAGAAAGATCCTGTTTCTGTAATCTATCTGTTAATTTGATTCAATGATTAATTATAAACAGAGCATATAAAACATAATTCATACGAATTATTCTTGTCGTATTGCTAAAAATTGTATCGCTTTCTGTCCCCATCGTGTTCTTGATCCTGGTTTTGCTCGCCCATTCTTCTTTATCCCTATCCACCATCCATAATTAGCGTACTTTTTCGAGCGAAAAGCATCATAGGAACCAATGTTCCATTGTTCCCATTCTGTGGTCTCCTTATTTGCATTTGGCTGAAAGTTAATTAAATATCTCTGTTAGCAAAAATTTAATAAGGGATATCTAACATACTCCAACTGCTGAGGGTATTTTTTTCTAGAATGCACCAAAATTAAAGAGTAAAATAAATGATTTTTTTTATTAAAAATTCATGGTCTTACTTCCCCGTATAAGCGTCCTTTCTTGTTGAAAGCCAGATACAGACTAGTCTTGATACTTTGTATTCGAATCACGCCGAAAGCAACCGGTATGATATGAAGCAAACCTAGAACATCACGTAGCAAAATCCATAAAAAGATTGTTAATTTTGCATGATCCCAAATTTCTATCGGGTCATTCCATCAAATCTTTGACGATTAAAGAAAAGTCATTATAATCTCCATTATAATTACCGTGTGGTTCGTTTGTAGCACTCAACCCTCTAACACGACCCGATTCCGAAACTCCAAGATGATAACCAGTTCGGCAAAACAGTTTAATTACCAAACAATTGTACACCGGATTCTGAGCTGGTTTCCTGGGATCCCATATTACGCAAGGAGGAGGTTTAACCGATTCGTTGGTGATGTAACGTGACTTTCTGTAAAGAAAGAATCGAATTGCAAACACGTACTTGAACTCCCTGGAAATGTGAATTCGAAGTCTGTAAATATACTCTCAACTTTGACACGAATTTCAGATAGACGAGCCTTTGAGAACGTTTCAAGGAAATGTATTTCAAGTTTCTAGCTTTCTCTTAATCATATTTCAGCATCGAGAAACGCGATTGCGCTTTTACAATTCGCTGGCTTTCCCTTTTAGCGTATTAAATTTTTTACGACAGAATATTTTTATTAATCGATGACGCTTCATCGGAGGTACATAATGTTTGCGGTCATTGAAAGAAATAGGACGAGAGGAAGGGTGCAGCGCATTGTTAAATCTAACGCGAGGTGACACATAGGGGGTGCGCTCTATTTATAACATATCATTACGTTTGGAAAAACGGGCCGATCGACTTTTCAGGTCAGCAGGCTTCGTGAATGAAGCTTCGCTTCATTGCATCCTACACGTTTTCCAACCCCATTAATTTTAAACGCACGCTCCAGGGGAAGAAACGCAATGCCGATACACACTTCATCCAAGAAGCGCAACATCAACTGATAACAATCATGTTAATGGTACCGATCAAGAGACTGGAATACATTATTATAATTGAAATTAAAATTGCTTAAATAAATTGACAAAAAAAAGAACATATTTTGGGACGAAGGTTACTATGGAAGCAGAAATTATTCTTCTCGTTTAAAAGTCGTTATTCTACTCGTCTTAACGTTGCGTAAGGACGCCTCCGTTAATTACACGTGGAACGTGCCGGCGATCTATTTGTTGTAACTCGAGTATGCGATCATGAACGTCGATCCTAATTTTGCGTTACGTGTCGCGCGTGCACTTTAATGCAATTCTCGCGAAATTGCAGGTCTGGTCGGTTTCCACGGTGCTCGAATGCCGGTAATAATATAACACGAGCCGGTACCTACTACTACACACACCTAGTGACCCTGCAACAATATAGAGGAGAAAATTAATCGAGTCAAGTGATCAATGAATGCATATCGGAGGACAGCTACGCGTTCAAGAGCAATGTGATCAAGGTGTATCTGCATCAGAGATGGATCCAAGTACGAAAGTTTCTAAATTTCACAAGAAATTCCATTTACCCGAAACGCGCAAATGTAAAGTTTTCTCTTCCTTATCTATCCATCCGACAGAAAATGTTCTAACCGAAAGTCACGTACAGTGAAATCGAGGACGTGTATGTAATGTTGTTAAATATTTTCCTGAATCGTCGGAAGGCAGCATTAATATTTTATGAAGCAATCTCCGCACAGCTTACGTGAAAGTATTTCAACTAATATCATCGAGTTCACGGTTAGAAACGCGTCGTCGTTTAATTAACAATCCGGTTAATTCGCTTCCGAGAGCGCGTTTAAAGTGGCACACCGTGAAGATTGATAAATTTGCATCATAAAAGGTGGCGCGAAGGATTAAATAAATTTCGTTCGGTTGATCGATGAACTCGTTACGGTTAACCGTGCAAAAGCAACTGCTTTTGTTTACCAATAATAATCGTCTTCGTTCCTCGCTTCACTCGTTCGCTTTGCCTCCCTGTTTACTGACCTCTTTCACTTCGGAATAATCAATTAATTTCGCTCCGCGATTCCACGGCTAAAAACATTCAAGAGATCGTTGAACGACGGAGAAGGAGCCCGTGAAATAATAGGATATTTTAAACTGTTAACTTAACTGCGTATACGAGAGAGAGAGTTAATCGATTCAAGTGATTAATGAACGCTCGTTGTACGGCACGTTAGAGGGAAATTACGTTCACGGACTTATTGTTGGTATGATCGAGGGAAAATCGCTTGAAACTATACATCAGTCTTTCGTCGGTGTCAGAACGTTCATGCATCATTGCATAAATCATTGCGTTAATGTCGATCAAATAAGATCTCCGGGCATGATGGATCGATCCTCCTACTCTTAATTTGTCAACTAAATTTACATACTCGAGTTAGTTTTCTTTTCTAGATCAAAGAAATAAATTTCTAATATTAACGAGCCTACTTTCATTTCTCTAGAATTACCTAATCAATAGACTTTCAATCTGTTAAACAAAGCATTCAAACGAACCCCATCTCGATTACTCATTGAAACATCACAAAGATTCGATCTCGTCAATTACTGATAGTTTCTAATTATTGGCAAATACCCATTCTCGTCGAACTTCATTGTAGCCGTCGAGTGTCGTCTGCTTTCCTTTTTCCATCTGCGATCCCCATTGATCTCTTTCTCGTTTCCTGTTCCTTTCTCCTCGCCGATCGATAGATCGGAATCATAGCTGTCGTCGCTGCAACTATCATCGATGTCGCTGCATTCTTCGTCGCATGTCGGTGCTTCTAAGTTTTCGTGAATCCAACGAAGACTCATCCTCTTATGATAATTTTCTTTCTTTTGATACCTTGATTAACAAACAAGAATTCTGTCAGAAACACTTTCATTCGATTCTATAATTGTTCATCTTCACCGGTGTACTTTTGTGGAAAAGTGGAATTCCGAGAAAGTGTCAGTGTCAGATTTGGAGCAAAGGTAACGGAGAATGGTACGGTCCAGGATTAGCGGTATTTTCGGTCTGATTAAACAAAAGATTACCTGAAAGAAACCAGTTTTTTTCTATTTTCATTTATATTATTATAACACTTTGATTTGATAATTTTTTAAATTTCCATCACTTCTATTATATTCCATCAAATTTTAATAAATTAAACTGACAGCTCACCTGAAAACACCTTGGTACCAATTTCTTCGGTGTTTAAGACGCGACTTCCGAGTTTTTAATTTCGCACAGATCCGAATAAAAACACGGTAGTGAAACGACACTGGATTGTTTCGCAACACTTTATTGAGCTGGTCGTGTTCCGTTTCGCGGGGTCCACGGGCACATTGTTCACCAGCGTGTCGGATGGATGTGTGGACGCACCTACCTAGGTGCTCCACGTTTATCACACGACTGAGCCGGCTCCGCGTAGCTAGGTTGGATAATACTGGATATGACGCCGGTCTCTTGGTAGACGGCGTAGTCAGCAGTGGTCAGCAATTCGAGGTAGACTAAATTAAAAATGGGACACGAGGCGAAATGCGAACCAAGTGAAAGATTCTTTGCGATTCTCGTCTATACGGGATTCATAAAAACGTCACCGGATACCTATTCGCTCGGCTATTAGTGTCAACGCGACGAATGTTGACGACTTGTTTCTAATTTAGCTTCCGCGACTTGTTGCCATTTAATCGAACCTTTTAACGGTAGATATTTTTTTCCTCTTCTGGATTATTAAAATATACAATCCCAATAATTAAATTTTTAGAAGCTTTGTTATTTTTCTTAATCATTGCTCGATGAATGATGACTCTAATTGGTCTTAATTGATTTTGGGAACTCTATTCTTAAAGGTACCGAGTATTTACTAATTAATTTGCATTCTGTGCTTCCTGAACAGTAGATAATGTACTGATATCTATTACACGCTTTATGCTTAGTCAACGTGTTACCTTTACAATGTAACCGAGCCTAGCTTCCAGAGTCTCATTAACCGCTCTAGGATATGTGGTTCCTGGACAGGCAACAACGGTTGTGGTCAGATCAATGCATATAATGCATCAAACAACCACAGCATTTCTCTGTGCAACTTCTAACAGGATTATCGATAAGCAAAAGAATTTCAAAAGATCCATCCTGTTACCTAATTAAAATCATAAAATAAACAAGAAACTTATAAACATCGAGTATCGATAAACTTTTTAATTATACTTTAAGCATTTTCGCAATATAAAAATTCATTAACGGTACAAGTGTATTGGTATTCCATAAAAAAATAAGCTAACTACCTGCTTTATTAGATGATTCGACGTGTAGCCCATCAGAGCAGGTGTGTTAGTGTCTATTAATGGAAAGTACCAAAATTAACGATGCCGATAAAACGACTCGATAGGTCGTGTTTGCTGTTACGTCAATGCAAATGATTTGTCCTAGGTATATTTGAATGTAAGCTGAGCTAAGAAGAACTCGAGTTCAGATCAATAAGTCTTCCCCGATGATTTAAAAATCATTACAAAATTGCAGAATAATTTCTTTGCCAATTATTCTTCGTTCTATAATTCGAATCTCGCGTGTAGTTGTTCGTTGCGAAAGAAATAGTGAAGGATATTACAAATGGTACTTTTGAAGAAATTAAGAACGAACCGGGGGGGTTCCGTACGAATGTATGTATAACTCGAAATGACCTGAAAACAAAATTGCGTTCATGTGCAAGTATTCCATCCAATTGATTACCTATTCGACAGGTAAATAATTTTATGGTCGACAACGATCTAGGTGGTTGGAACGGCTACGCTCCAGTTCTACGTTCGTGTTCTTTGTGTTTAGTAAAGTGAGGATACGCGTGTTTCACGTGTGATCATGCTGTGTAACGGTTTCAAAGGATTGCGAAAATCCATTTCCTTTTTATTTACCGATAGAAATATAGAAAAATTTAAATTGGTAAAGGTTTCTGAACTCGAGATCTGCTTCCTCTAATTGAGATGTCTTTAGAAATTGTTGAGTTTGAAAGTCAAAATGATGACTTGACATCATGACAAGACTCGAAATCTGTAAACTATGAAGTTCATAGAAAAGTTATAAATAAATACCTATACACGTGTACTATGTTCAGAGGAAGGGAGTTATCCTATTAATAGAGGGACCACTGCTCAAATTACTGAAACTGATAAAGCGTATCGAGAGGTGACTGAGTAATTCAATTTCGCGTGACGAGCTGCGTCGTAGTCACAGTCACCGATTTCTATCTCTCTTCGATATTTTCCACGGTGATACGCAACTCGATCTAGAATTAATTGTTTCCAAGGAATGTGGAAGGGTACGGATGCTTTCAGCGACCGGGCATTACGTTTTATTTGCTTCAGATATTGTTTGAGAGTTTAAATAAAATTTGCGGTAAACAAATATTGGGGTATTTTATAATAAAAGTGTTTCGTGCCAGAAGAGTATCACAGGAAAATGTTTTTTTTTCTTCTATTCTTATGATCTAATCTTGCGATAAAAATACTTAACGTTAATGCTAAAAATACTAGGGCGTGCCAGATTAATTGAACCCATAATTCATCGGCTATCTTCGTTCGACGACCTTTAACATCCTTCTTGACGTCAGAAGATTTTTTTACCTACATAAAAAGATACCCTGCATCTTCATTTACACTGCTCAAAGCCGCTAAATATATCTTGCTGCTGTATCAGCAGAGATGTCCTCTTTGGGAAGAGATTCATCTATTTATTCGTATCCTGTTTCCTGTGCTATGATCAACAGCTCAAACTACCGTGTAATTAATTCGAGTTCATTATGCACTTACCGTTATGCAATCAATTTAATCAATCATAGCGCCAGAGGGTGAAAAGAAGATTTCAGAGGATCGAAGAACGGGTCGAACCACATCGCTATAATAAACATTTATTCTCGATAATATATAAAATTACATGTTGCAGTAACACGAGATACGTATCATACAATATTTCACAATAGCAAATTAGCATTACCAATGCGAACGATAGATACCCCCTTGGCCATCATCGTCCCATCGGTATCAGAAGAAAATAAAGAAAGAAAAAAAAAAAGAAATTAATACTCGAAATCGCATCTCGTTATGCAGCTTCTATGTGTTAACGATCAATTAAAAGATCCGAACGATCTTCATAAAAGGAATCAATCAATTTAACTGAAATTAAAAATCATCTACTGATTGTAAGCACTGAAAAAAAAAATTAATAAAAATAGAGAGAAAATATAGAAGTGTAAAGGATAGAGGGTTTGTTGTGTTATTATAGCCTTCATATATCCGGGATCTTTCATAAATACCACGGGGTAACTATATTACAAAAATATACAGTGAATGATTGCCGATATCGAGGCTAAACGGCGGACAACAGCTGCCTTTGTGATTTCTTCTCTCAATTCCCTATCTTTACGCTAATTACATAAATACACGTTTATTTACACGTTCTAACGGTTAGTCGATTGAAAAGAAATCTTGTTACCAGTTCAAAATAAAATTTACGAGAAAGGTGAACTTCTCGTGTTCATTGATCTGGTTTGCTTTTTTTTTGTCTGTCGGAGTGTTATGTACAGAAATATAAAAAGAAAATCTGTTGGCGTCACTCTCGCGTGTTACGGCTAGCTAAATGGTCAACTATAACTTATAAAATATAGCCGGACGATGCTATATTCAAGTTAGTCAGTGTGCACCCATTAGCCTGGTTCCGTTTCGTTTCACACGCAACTGAACTTGACACCTGCAACAAAATGAACGAGACAAGCGTTAGATGTAACATTAATTAAGTTATTCGTGAAATCAACTCGTAGACGTTATGCTCAGGGCTCGTCTCAAAGACATAAGCGAAGATAAATAATTTGTTGGAAATTTTCTAGATGGGAATAAATTAAACGTGGATACCGTCGTCACTGGAGTAGCAGTTATGGCAGTGAAGCTTGTGATTCCGAACACGCACGTCTGTTCCCATTAGTCCGTCACCGAGCCGCACATGACACACGCAGCACTTGAAACATTCCATGTGATAGAACAGTCGCAGGCTTTCGATGATCATTGCAGCACCTCGACCTGACGATCCAAAATTAGTTAAATCATCGATTCTTTGAAACGCCTTATCGTAAATCATTTGCTATTTCAAGAAGCAAATATCTGATCAATTTTGAAGAAGATCCGCAGATACCAGTACATCTGAGAAACTCTAAATTACTTTAATGATTAAGAAATTATTTTTATCGTCATTCGAAGTTACTACTTCAATTCTATTTCACTCTCTTCGTACCTAATTCATCTCCACAATGCGAACACTTCTTTTTACCACTGACGCTCAACATTTTCTCCTGATTTTCATTGTTGATCGGTGGTGGTTGTTGAGATTTTTGTTGCTGGAGCACATGTTGCTGCGGTTGGTGCAACGTAGACAGATGTTCCTGGCTGGAACTATGTTCCAATCTGAAAATAAAAGTAAAAAGAAACGTGAACACGTAGTTCGAATTTAAATTACTTTCACCAAATTCAATTTAAGACCTTCTTCTGGGTGGTAGAGGCTTCTCTTGCGCTCTGTTTTGCACCCTTTGTGTGAGGGTTTGTATAATAGAATCAGGTAATGGTTTACTGTCCGTCCTCGTTGGAGCGGTAGCATAAGGAACCGAGGTTCCTGTTACGTGCATCTGAGATTTCCGGCCTGGGGATCGCTGATTCTTTTCGCTAATTCTTCTCTGCTCCGCTTCCTGCGTATAATTTCATAACGTTAGCAAGGAACATAGAAAATATTTCTATAATATTTACTTGAATGAGCCAGTGCTGATAATTCAAATCGTGAGCACCCCTTGGCACGTCGCTCTTCCTTCGTTGCACCCACTGATCGCTCTGAACAATTCGTGGTCGAGGAACTGCACTAAGCGCCTGCAACGTCTGTCTGCTCATCTGTTGGCCTGCATGGCTCGAAAGTGTCGTGACCGATGCACTGTGTCTCAAGGATGCATCCACTTGTTGAGGAATCGAATCCGCCGATGGAATTCTGCTGTTTCTATTCATTTTACAAAACCATCACATATTTGTGAATAATAATTTTTTGTTCAAGCGTAATTCAGTGTAGAAGATTAAGAATGATCGAACTGCAGTCGAAGACTGACAGAACACGTCGTCCAGACCCAGAAAACGTTACATCAGACGCAACAAAGCGGAAAGTTTCAGCAGGAAATTAAACGACACGATTAATGACATTGTATTCCACCTCTAATTTGCATTTCCTGCTAGCTACCGTCGCTATAAAACGCTGACATAACAATATCCTGATGCAATTCGGCAGAGTGCATAGGATTACGTCTTTCCGAGTGCAACTTGCATTCTAATGAAATCTAGCTTATTTTTATTAGAAATTTTGTGAAAGTAAAAATTATTGAATTACCTAATAGTAACATCCCTTTGCCTTTGATCTACCAAACGCAACGGTTTAGCCGGAGGTATCGGAGGAGGTGGAGGTCTTCTTCTTTGCGCGTCTTGAAGCTGAAGATTCGGCATCGATGACCTATAATTCACCGGTGGCTGACTTTTGAATGGTTGAATGTTGTTCGCCGAGCTATGTGCAACATCTTGCAACGATTTCCATTGTTCCTGTAATTGTTCTGCCAGTTTAAGCTGCTTTTGTTCGCGGTATGCTAGATTGTTTCGTTGACGTTTCAATTCTTCCTGTTCTAACTGAAGCAATTCCCTTTCCACTCTGAGTACTTCCTGCTCGAAGGAGATAAGAAAGGGAAAAAATGATGATTAATTAATTAATTAGAAATTTTGTTTCCTAATTATTATGTAGTTTTAATTTAAATTCTGAACGATGCTTTGAAGTATTGTCCATAAATTTTTATCAAATATTATTTACAGTGTGTTTTGAATTTTGTAATTTCTCATATTTTACATAATAATTTGATCCTATTATAATTGCCTCGTCTCTGTTAGAAGCAAGCAGTGAAACAAAGTAGTGTTTGCCCTTACCCCAGAAGCAAATTCGTCTTCTTCGTCGTTCAAACCAGCACCACTCAATGTTGTGTTCTGCGAATAATTATCAACGATATTCCCGTTAGCGTTTGCAGTGCAATGTACTTAATTTACAGCATGCAGTTACCTCGAAACTAAAGTTAGGATACTTATATTTATAATTTCTTACAATTGTCATTATTCTCTTTTCTCATTTTTCTCTTCTCTTTATTTCAACAAATAAGTAACTCAAATTTCTTCAATTTCATGAATTTTCGAAAAGCTTACGCGGAATTTCACATTCCGCATAAATGTGTCCAAAGCAACCACAACCAAACAAATTATCATAATTTTTACCTCTTGCTCGCGAATTTGATTTTCCATAGCCCTGATGCGTTTCTCTTCGATTCTACGAGCATCAGCGATTCTCCTTTCTTCCTCAATTTCATTCTGAATCCTCAATTGTTCCGCCTGCACCCTGAGTTCCTCCTCTTTCTGCCTCATCTCTTCAGCGCGTTTCGCTTCAGCCTCGGCACGTGCCGCTTCTTGTTGTCTAGCGGTTTCCTCTTGTTGTTTGCGCAACGTTTCCTCCTGTTTGCGCATGTTGTCCTCGTTCTTTCGTAGAGTCTCTTCCTGTCGGCGAAGGGCCGTTTCCTGGGCGCGTTCCCGCTCCAGTTGCATCTTCTCCTCTTCGAGCTCGCGCAGCTTGTGCGCCAATTTCTCGCCCAAGTCACTGTTTCGTTAGGAATTTTTTGTTGTTGCGATTATTTCATTTGAGTGGTTTGTCACATTTATTTTTACCATATATTTATTTATTTAATTTGATACACAGTAGAATACTATTAGATTGTTGCATTTTGAAATGTAACTTTTTTATTTATGAGAGAAAATCATGAGAATGGATATGCAACGATCTAATATTATAATAAGAGAAAGAGGAATATAATATACAGCAATAGAAATGTAGCGACAGGAAAGGATTACCAGATTAAGGTAAAAGTGTTTATTTTATTTATAACCGTTTGTACATCGATCCCGGTATACAAGTTTATCATAATTTTGTATTTACATACAAGATATCAGCTTAGAGATGGTATCAGATCAATCAATAGATTCGTGCATATTTTATTTATCATGGTATAAAGAAGAAATCTTTTTATAAGGATCTGAACGAATGTATGGATTGAACTAATAGATCTACTATTAGCTATCGTCGAAGGTGGCAATTCGAGCTTAGAAAAATAAAGAAAAATGTATTCCTTTAATGCTGGGATATATTACAATAAATTATATGTGTTAATAATAAATTATCAACTACCCTTGTGTGTTTCTTCTAAAGAATTATAAATAATTAATAACCCATATTATAGTATTTCTACTGTGACGATCAACGTGCTAATTTGGCATAAACAGAATTCAAGCAACAATTAATAATTGATTGCAATTAAAAAAATAATAAAGAAGCTTCAAGATATCAGAATCGGCACCTTCGATTTCATTGGCATGCATTCGAATTAAACAATATTACAATAAGAATCTTCATCCACTTAGCAGAGCAAGTTAAAGAAACCTCAAGCATGTTTAACCCTTTCACTATTAAACTTAAGAATAGGAGGCATGCAATAAAAATTAAGAAGTAACAATTAGAAATAGAAAATACCTACGATGATAGATAGTGGATGCCACCGTAAGATGACACGTTCTACACAGCAAAGTTCAGAAATGTTAACTTTGAAAAAAATTTAATAAACAAACATACGAAGGTGTTTTCCATCAAAGACAGCCATAGCGAAAGGGTTAAGGAAACATCTACATAAATAAAAACTAAAAAGCCGACGAAATTTATAGACGAAGAATTGACACTGAAACCCGAAGAAAATTCACATCCGTCGAAATAGAAGCATCATCGAACCTTACAGTTAACCCTTTCCGTCTAGGAAATTGCCTCGAAGAATTCCTACCTGTTCAATTCACGATTGTTCCCGTACCGCCACTGTTCCTCCTTCTCAAGCACCTCGATGATTTCCCTTTCTTTCTTCGTGATTTCGTCTTCCTCCGAGGAAGTGACACTCGCACCAAACGGTTCGCTACTTTGCCTGCTATGTTGGGACATATCAGGGCTGACCGGTTGTTTCGTCCAGTCTTCGGCATGGCCTAATTCAACCCCAGAATCTCTTTCGTGGCTGGAGTCTTGCTCATAGTTGCTGTCTGTGTCGTAGGAACGACGATGAAGTTGCTCGATGCGTCTCTCTTCGGCGAGAATCGCTGCCATGTCTGGTGGTTTCGTCAGGGTAAGCTCGCGTTCCAACTCGTCATCGTTTACCTGGAAAATAAGAACGACGCTTTTGGAGGATACAGTGGGTGTAGAAAATATGTTAATCCGTTCCCTCGCACATTTAATAATATTTAGAATATTAGATGAAACTCGGTATCTTTTTTTATTTCACAATATCAGTCATCAAAAGACCCCATCATTCGTCAAGTGGGACAAATCTCCATAATTGCGTTCGTGCGTTACGTAAATCCATTCACGTGCTTCAATTAATACTATTAAACGATGTTACGCCAATGATACTATCTTTCGCAACGCTAAACGCGACTGTGCCACCAGCCATGGAACACATTAACTTCCGGAAACAAGTGAAAGCCACCGGAGGAGGTGGAAAATCGTGAGAAGAAACGAAAGTAACAATGAAAAAGTGTCGAGTTTTATGGCGAAGAAAAAAAAAGTAGAACGTTAAATAAATTTAGAAGGAGAAATTGCATTTGATAATTAACGATCATACCCCTTCGATTCCAAGAAAATCAGAGCGTCTGGTACGAAGTTCCTTTTTTATTCTACGGGTAGAATTCAATCTCTTCAAGGGTTCTATTGGAAGATTTTCTTCATCGCTGACATCTACTGGTGGTGGGGGTGGTTTTTCTTTCGGAGGTTCCACACTGGTTGGTGGTCCCAGAGGAAACGATAGTCCTGTGACTATTTCCTCATCACTGGACAAATTCAGTGGCAGAATCTGTTGAATTTGAAATTCCGTATAATTAATATTTCATTGGACCACCCGAAATTAATTACGCTATCGATGTGCCAGTTTTCATTTTTGGAAAGAGGGTGATTAGGATCCCTTACCTGTTTCGAGATGGGCGATACCGGGCTGAGTAGATTCATCGTGTCCATCATCGGGATTTCCGGTTTGCCGAGGGTCAAGGTCGTCGGTCTTTCAGCAGCAGGGACGTTCGCCACCTCCTTCTCAGGTGCATCGTGTGCATCGATCGACTCTTCGATCGACTTTCGCGGTGGTTCAAAAGTCTCGATCATCGCAGTTTCCTTTCCCTCGTGCTCTTCGTGGACGACTGGTGAGCTCGTCTGGCAGATCGTCGATGCTTCCTCTTCGTCCGCTTTCTCGGTAACGATCGGTTCCTGAAGAGACGCACCTCGTTATTGCTTCTGCAGTAGTACGGAAGGAACTGGGCCCACGGCCTAGCACCGCCACGAATTTTGCAACGCCACATTCTATGCAAATCGACATCGCCGTGCTTCCACGACGCTGTGCTCGAATGGACAGGGTTTCTCAAACTTTACCGAGCTCGATCGCCTTTAAAATTTAACCCTTCGATGCACTCTTGGCATTTGGCAACATACCTAGATTTTTTAACGCGGACGTAACTACGGTTAATTATCCTTCTTTGGTAAAATAATACTTGGTTTATTTCGAAATTTACAAAATTATGAATGACAGCCAAGAAGCTTTCGTGTTAAACGAGGTAAGTGTTTATCGAAGCTTGAGAAACACTGGATTTCGAGCAACAGCTTGAGATGCAACATTATTTTGAATTCATTTAAGGTGCATAATAAAATGCATCAGGAGTTCATGCTCGACTATCATAAGTGTTTTTTTTAAATTTGTGCAAAAATGAACATACGAATAAAATTGTGTTAATTTACAAGAATTGAGAGGTGCAAATGAATAGTTAAAAGAAAGAAGATATTACTGCTCTAATCATAAATCGTGCGTCTGATTAAAAACACTTTGTATCACTGAATTAATTCATGCACCACGAAAAAGTAATTCTTATTCACCATGTAGCTCACTGTTTCGTAAGTTTTCGAACAAATATGATGTCACGTGCTATTACAATCAGCTGACAAAGTGCGAACAAACAATGATAACACCCTTCTTCAGCAATAGTGATAAAACGTTTATCTAAATCCAATAGGTAAAGAAGGCGACTGAATTCTCACCGACTGCTCCAGATTAGATATGTTATTTGAAATATCACACAATGATTTCAATAATCATCGAATTCTCACGTTTGAAACGTGAAAGTTATCCTGATATCAAGTTTCTTGCGAAGTTTCGTTTTAATTAAGCACGTGAGAACGGAAAACAATCCTCAAACTTTCGACCAACTCCTTTTGTACAATTCAGAATTTTTCCAAGGAGATGTTCAATCTTCTCAACTGAGAAATTCTATGAAAAATCTAGTCTCCTGTAAAATTTCCTTCATAACTTTCAGTAATTTCTTGAGAATTATATTTTTCCAGAAAATACGCGATAAAATTTTGTCGAAAAATAAAAACATTCATTCGAATCAGGATGTAAATATTTTTAAAAATAACTTTACGAGGTTTCTCTGAAAATTTTAATGATAAATGGAAAGTGTGTTTCGATATCGGTGCAATAAATCATCTCACCGAGAACAGTCATGATAAGATCCGAAAACAAACACGATCGTAAACCGCCTATGATCGATTATGTTAATTCCATTGGTCTTCACTTGCGAAACAAGAGAAATAAGAAGAAGATTAGATGTGTCGACCTAAAAACGATTATAATTGATTTTTGCAATTATCCAAAGGTTATTCAGATTAAAAATCGTGTTTGGTTCATTCTGATTGAAGTTTTATCAATGAAGAACATGAATTTAAATTTAAATTTATTTTCATCTGGAACGTAATGGCAAATTATACAGTGATATGATTTTTGACGATTCATTCAGAATAATTTCATTGAATAAAACACTGAAAACGATTGAAAATAAACAGACAATTACATTCCATGAAAAACTCAAAACTTAGAAGAAACAATACGTACCTACATTATTTAAAAAAATTGTAAAAACGAAAGAAAAATGTGAGTGGACACGAAGATTACCACTAAACTAGGGAGGTGATAAAAAGCTGGAGCCATGCATCAATTGATCAGGGATAAGCAATTATTAAAAATCAGCGACAAGCGGATAACTATTATAAATCAACGAATCAATCGTGGGGGAAAAACAACAAAGTTTTCGAAAGCTTCCTCTTACCTCTTCACAGTAGCAGAATTTTCAGATTTAGGATGATTGTTGACGAAGAATGAACTAGTAAAAATTCAAAAGCCACGTCTCGACGATGGCACGATCTCGACGTAGGACGAGAAACGATAAGTTATTCCCCGGAAATATCTCAGAAATGAAAATTTAAGTGATCATCATGGCAATCAACGTGTTAACGAGCTTTCTAGTTAATCACTAGGAAATTATGTGGATATCAAACCAATCGGGGACACTCCGATCGACAACAGAAAAATTCTGGATGATCACAGGATTGATTCTTACCTCTATGAAAGCACTGATCACTATGTCAAATTGATCGAGCACTGCAAACGAGAGCACTCGTGACAGTCGACCGATTAATCGTAACAATTCAGGACACTTTTATCGTGACTTCTTTCGTAATAATTAAATGTACGACCTCCGATCTGCTCGGGTCACGAGGACGACACTTCGGACGTCGGATTACAAATGCACGTCGGAGTTCGACTGGTTTGTTTAATGATAACGATTCCGTGAAAACGATAACACGATTTTTGATGACGGTTACGAAACGATCGTTGAAATTTCATTTTTCGCTACAACCCGCGATCGTGACGGATAAAGTAAATAGAAGAAAACCGATGAAAATTTATTGTTTCCCCTTTATTTGCCATTCAGCAGAATTTCCAGCTTTCGTTTCGAACAATTCGAAGTGGCACAGACAATAAGGATGATCGATAAGTTAAGGGTTTTAATTCGTTTCGATATTCGGCAGTGTATTTCGTGTGGGTGAAAGGCGTTTGATAAGATTCGACGAGGTGAAATCGGGATTTTCGGAAGCAATAGAGAGGCTACTTTCCAATTTTTCAATTTTCCTATTCGTTTGTGTTTCAAAAAATCCCATTTTCCAGGAAAATTTCGATGCTAGTCCACCATGGAAACACGAGGGGTGTATTTTATAATTTATATGTTCTTCTCGAATACTACAATCGATCGTTACCAATCGTATTAAAATCGATTATGAATCTATCAAAAATTTAAATTTTAGAAAATGGTAGTATAGTCTTTCCTAAATATCAGCTTAAGAGTATCTATAGAAATAAGCAATTTTAGATTTAAAAGATCGAATATTATTATTAAAAATCGATCGATTGATATAGGCATATTTAGGTCAAAAACATGTTCCCTGATAGATTAGGCCACTATTTCATATGAGTCACCGTAATATTAATTATAAGTCATTGTTCAACAAATTGCAATTATTCGTTCAAACCTGCAATATTCAATAGAATTTTCTTATCAATTTTTCTTGCAAATTTTTCACCAGCTCCTGTAAATTTTGGAAAAATTTAATTAAGAAATCCTTATTGAAAATTATAAATCGAAACACTCGTTGAACAATGCTTTCAATCTTCTTACTCGAACTGTTACATCGTTTACCTCCGGCTAGTACGTGTTTCCGGTTACCTGATCTAATTCTACTCAATACTGGGGTAAAGGAGGAGGGGTTTGGGAGATGAGGTTATTATATACGTTTTGCTCCTGCGTCGTCTATTTACATCGTTAGCTATGGTCTCACGCCTTCGTTTCCAGCCGAGATTCGTGCGTAATAACGGATAATAAATACGTGTGGAAGCGATAGGCGAGGACGGGTTACATTTAACCGGTAGTCCTAAGTGGCAGGATTTAGTTTCCTCGTTTGGACCGATTCGAGACGCGGAAATGATCTTCCGGGATTATCTTGGATCGTGTTTGCCAGGCGGTCTCTTTCAGCTTGGAACGAAGACGATCGGCATGGATCGCGTACCACCGCTAACGGAATCGTTCATGAGAAAACAATCTCTTGGGACATCGTTGAAAACCGTTCCAGATGATTTCGTATCCCGCCACTTGGACGACCCACTCCGACTCTTATGTACAAGATCTAATCGGAAGTTAGACGAATAGCTAGGTCTAACTAGGTTGCCCTGAGAGACAACGGCGCTACTCAACGATAGCCATGTTTAACGACGAACGGATATCCATGTTAGGACTTTCTCAAAGGGCTGCTAGATGATTGCTGATCGATCCTAACCTCGGTCGTTGAGCTCTGCTTCTCACCGACGCGATCCACCGTGATGAATGGCGTCACTGGAGGGCTAGTGGGTGTCTTGCCACGTGGTACCACCACCTTCTCGCAAATCTCCACCACCGTTCGCCGTCTCTCCGCAGCTAGTGTCTCTTCGCCCACCGTCACCTGGTGTTTGGGACTGGGAACGTGTTTCGAGGACTGTTCCGAAGTGGACGAGGGAGAAACAGGTACGGGTATTTCTGAGGCTTTCGAGAACTGAGGAGATGGCGACGATTGATTAGTTGGACTCTTAATGCTTCTTACCTTTATGGATGGTGTTTTGGGAGAGGATGGTGAGATGGGTGGGCTTAGGGAAGACGTGGAACTCGTCGGGGATGATTTAGCGCCTATTGTCTTTCGAGGAAGCGGGGTAGGAATCTTGGAGAGTGCGCGTGGAGAGGTGACTGGGGTGGTTTTTGGAACTTCTTTGGATGAGGTAGTGTTTGGGTCTAGTTGAAGGTTCGTCGGGACGATCGCCGTCCTGACAGGCGACAGAGGACAACTGTCTACTATGGCTGAGTCGGGTGATGGCGAAGAGGTCGTAGTTTTGGATGAGTCCTCTTTCGAGGGACTCTGATTCGTTTCATCGACGCTACGTTTGGAATCTTGCTCTTCGGAGCAAAACTTGGCAGACTCTTTAGCAGACTGGGAGTCTGCTTTGCTTTCGACTTGATCTTTGAAGATGGGTAACTTTGGTTTGGGAAGAGTTTCGGGAGGTGTTCTTCGCGGAGGTACTTTGGGACTTTGATAAACGATCGGGCGACTCGTAGCAGGACAGGGACGAAGTGTACTAGAGTTAGTAACCTCTGTGTGTGCCTGCGATTGTGATTTGTTAGTCGACAGTTCCCCAGAAGTGTCAGCAGTACCCTAGAGAAGCAAAGAGTTATTCGGTACTACCTGGCCATCCCGTAGCCAAACAAGATTAGGTTATTTAAGTGCCAATTGTTAAATATTGCGATCCAGGTGCAGTCGTGAAGTAACTAGATTCAATAGATTTTTATCCAAACCCCAGATTATAGCCAAATGAATTTGTTAAATAGACAGAAGAAGCGACAGAAAAGTATATGGGAGAGATGCCTAAATCAGCTGATAATTGTGAGATAGAATTAGAAATAAGGAAAGAAGAATTTTGTTTCAACATTTTCAAAATGCATCAAGCAGACGTTACTTGACGACCGACCTTGCAAATGAAACTGTCCCGAACACATAATGATCTGATCATTCAAAAAGAAAAAATACTTTCAACGAATTTAAAGCAATTCAATTTTGTATCCCATTCCAAAGATTCTCCTCTAAAATACGTCACATAAACAGTTACGAGTATACTCTTACCCGATAAAAAACCTAGCATGCAGTATCATCATTACACGTTACCTTCTTTGTTACTACTGCTTCCGGCTGGCTGGCAGAAGTCGAAATGTCGTTCACGGATCCCGCGGTGCACTGTTCAGAGACAGTATCGTCAACTGTCTCGACGTCACGAGGTTCTTCCGGTGTCTCTTGGATCACTTCCTGTTGTCTCTCAATAATCGTGCTGGTATGCACGATATCCTCATCCACCGGTTCGTCAGCTTGGCTAACAGAGCAGCTCACGTCTGCTGTATGAATCCCTGAATCCTCTCGATCGGTATCGTTCAACAATTCAGCTGACGACGAGGATGCCGGGTAACGTCTGCCATAATCGAGTTCCTCCAGGCTTTGTACACGCTCGAAGGTGTCGGGACCACTGGAGGCATCAGCGTCCAGAGAGTCCAGGCTTCGGTGGAAGGCTGCCCTGGGCACTCGGTACTCCGAATCGGGTGACGAGCTTCTTTCGCTGGGAGTCGAAGTGTCGATTCTATTTTCCTGGTCCCGGAAGCACAGCGAGTGCTTGACTACGGAGGATCTCTTCTCGGCTTCCTTGCTCCTAGCAGCGTCCAGGGCGTTCAAGCGATCCTTGATCGTCCTGGCTGACAACTCGCCATTGTGTCTGGACTCGTGAGCTGTACCCGGTGCGGATGACTCGTCGCTGCTGCTATACTTTTCTAGAGTGGACAATCTCTCTCTAAGAGGTCTGACTGTCTCCAATTCCTCGGTACTCAGCTTACGATGCGCCGAATTTTTGTTTTCCCTCTCGGAGGCCTGTTTCTCCAGGTGTGATAATCTCTCACGTATTGAGCTCATGTCACCGGACAGTCTGCTCAACGCCTTTCCAGTTTTGTCATTGCTCTCTGCGTCGTGCTTCTGCTTCTCCAAGTTGGACAGCCTTTCCTTGATCGATTTCGTGTTGGTGAAATCGCCGGAGAGCCTGTTGTTCGCTTTACTCTCGCTGTTCTTCTGCGATGCTTTCTCGAAGATCTCTCGCCTCTTCAGGATGTCCACCTTCACTACCGGCACAGCGGACTTTGTGTCGTCGTTTAAGCTCGTCTTAGAGCCGTTCGTCGATGACTTCGAGCTTTCCAATTTAGCATCCAAACTGGCTAAGGATCGCCTCGGTATGTTTTGCGATACTCGAGACACGTAACCACGGATCGCACCTTCGTACGTGTACTCTTCCGGTTCCGGAGAGCTGGTCGTCGCTGTGGTCGCCGAATCGTACTCTTGGTTGTTGTGATTATGGTTGCTGTGGAAGCCGTTCCCGAACGGTTTCTTCGTCGTCGTAGTCGTTGCTGTCGTGGTCGTCGATGATGTCGTGTTGTCGCTGCCTATCATGCTCTCGCTCGCCACGTTGTCCACGTCCGAGTGATTCTTCTCGATTTCGCTGTCTCTGTCGCTCTGGAACATCCAAAGATCATTTTAATAAAATGATAACGAAATATAAAAATAAAAATGCATCTCACTAATGCAGTGGTGGTGGAGATTTATGTAAAAGAGAATACTGATCCGGTTTTTGATTTTTCCATGAAAGTAATACGAAGAGAGATGTTAATCTTACCAAGACACTGTGTGTGTCATCATGTGTGTCGCCGCTAACCGAGCTCTTTCCGCTGCTGGTTCCTATACCAAGGTCGCTCAGGTCGTTGGCATCTTCTTCGTGGTACATGGCCAAGCTGATGCTCAGTTTGCGACCCCTATTGCCCCTCTCTTCCATCATTTCTGAGAAAGTCTTGCTTCGACGACGCTGCCGATCATGTTCCTCCAGCTCGAGTTTCTTCACCTCGACCACCCGCTCGATTATGTGCTCTTGACGCTTCCTTCGACTGCTTTTCCAGTTGTCCAAATTCTATAAACATCATTGAAAATGATGATCATCGGATGATTGAAGCAATTTTTTAATTTGCTATAGTTTATAAAGATCTTACCGATTGCCAATCTTCAGGATCATCGCGAACCTCCTGTTTGATCTTCTTCACTTCCTGAACCTTTTGCAACTGCTCTTGAGCGGTACGATACAACGAGCACGGTCCAACTTTGACGAATTGAAGGGGATTGGTCGCTTGTTTAGGAGGCGTTTTCAGGGTTGTCTTTAATTTTGGCGGCTCGTGTGTCATCTAAAACAGAATAATGTCGTTCCTATTTACAAAAGCAACGTTTCAACTTTTGAGAACGGTGTTTTAAAATGACTCATCGATCAGCAAAATGAAAAGAGAATTAAAAAAGTCTGAAGTTATAATATTTTTAGATGCTAATGAATTCCAACAACGAGTTTCCTTTTCCTCATGGAAACTAATTATTAAATATAAAAAACAGCGACGATGAATGTGTATCACAAGAAATACTAATCGGCTTCTCATTTAATGTTAATAACTGTTTAAATCGGTTACGGCATCGTCGGTTAACCGGAAGCGGAATCACGCTTCTACGCCGTTAAGGCTTTTCAAAAGCGACTATCGTCGCGAATCGCTGCGCGGCAGTTAGAGTCGATTATCAATCGAGTTCACGGAAAATCGTGTTCCTTTGTCCTCTTAACCCTTTCATGCGCTACCAATTTGACAGAAAACTATGCTGACGATATCATTTTAATTACAAGCAATTTGAAGATTGGATAATAATTTCAATATTTTTATTTTTAATTGGAGAAGTGATAGATACTCACCATCCTCTCGTTTCGCCGCTCTGTGGCGGCGGATTGCGAGGCAGGCATCCTTCGTTCCTTCCTCCTTTTCTCTCTTTTTCAGGGGAGCACCTCCTCTTCAGTGTAGCACGACTCCTCGCACGGTCGGGCCCATCCTACGCCTCGTCCCTGGAATCGATCAACAGGAAGTCTCATTAAACGATCATCTAACGGACACCTCGATAGTATTTCTGTCAATATTGCAGGAAAATCTGATAAGATACCACTATGGATATAGTATAATAATTGTATATTGTTATTCCGGACATTGTTTCCAAGTTTCTTTTCAAAATCATTCCCTCTATATAGAAGAATTTTGGAAATATAGAATTTTATTCAGGTACTAGACTACACAACTGAAAGGATCTGAATGGAAAGAAGAGAATAAATTTCTTGAAAGGGGATGCGACAAAAGGAGCAATTAGACTTGAAAGAGCTTAGCAATTTTTGGCCGGCAACAAAACTCGAAAGAGGGAAACAATAGAAATTGAAAGAAGACACTGAACAATAGACAAAAGATTTCGCTTGAAAACGTTCCATCCATTGAATTACAGCGTAAAAGTAGATAACGAAGAATTCTCACAGAGAGATCTAAATATATCATGAAAATTGACGATGAATTGTTTGTCTTCGAGTTTCTAATTAAAATTTCGTAATCGTTACGATAAGAAAATTTCCACGATAGATCATTCTTTTTATGACCCTCCGGCTTCCTCAGCTTCTCTCGCACATATCGTTCGACGAGCAAATATTATTACAGAGCCGCTATGTTTGCGCGATGCATCCGTTGCGGACGTTCTATTTCCACCAGTAACCTCAGCTTTCGCGATCAGCTGAAAGCATTTCAAGGCTGTTGATTTTTGAACCGGGGGGAAAAGAAAGAGCATCGAAGCTCTGAGCACGCGTAAAGTGCATAAGAAGAACAAAAAAGCGGGTGAAAGAGAAAAATTGCCTGTCTCGTTGTACATCTTGGTCTCTTATTCGATGAATTAGCAAATGGAAATTTTTCACGGAGCAAGTAAAATGAAATGAAATGAAAATTTCAGAATTAACGATGCAAGCCCATATTTCATTTAAAGTTTACTCTAATTTACGGTATCGAGGCAGGTGCAAAACAGCCGGTTACGCTCATCGCGACACTTTTACGGACCCTAGATAGATATACAGTTGCATTGACCCGACGTCGGTCTCCGTACGATCGTCGGTTACACGCGAAAATGTCGCAAGAACGATGACAGTTAGACGGGGACGACGGGGATCGCTTTTCCGTGACTCGTTTACGAGCACGTTGGCTGTATGTACCTGACATTCCGGCCGTGTGCTCGCGGAAGAACGTGTTCTCGGACGAGTCACTCGTCTGGAATCTCTTCGAGGCAAGTAAAACCGGCCTTGGACCTCCTTGAGGCCTTCCCTCGTGTCAATATGCTACGCCTGCAACCCTCTCCCTTTTTTGACATGCAGATCAGTACTGCCAGAGGAAACGAACGTGCCTGGCTTTCACGAACTGCCAGTTCCACTCGCGATACGAGCCGACGTTTCAATGCTCGCTGATAGTGACGGGATTCAGCCAATGGTATACTTGTTAACCCTTTCAGTGCTAGGTATCAGCGCCTCAAGGTGTTCTAGAAATTCGTCCTTATTCTTTCACAGACATCGAATTAATTTTATTTATCGTACAATAATTTTGCTTGAAAATTTCCTCAAAATCTGCTCAACTGAATAAGCAGTCGCAATATTTTGATTCTGATTAATATTTTATAATACAAAACTTTGAGCTAATTCCAGAAGGAGAAATAAGGAGGGATAAAAGGACAGGATTTAAAGGATTCAGGGTCGGTAAACATAGTTTCAGAGGATTCGTTGGAAGGCAACGAGGTGTTAATGCCGTTTTCAGCAACTCCACTGGCGGACTAAGAAGATTACGCAGATTTGCGTTCACCGTTTTGAAATTAATGGCATCCATGCGATATCACACGGACGGATAGAAGAAGCACAGCTTTGAGAAGATGAAAGGGTAGAGGAGAAGAATCTTAACTCACGCCTAAACATGAAAGCCACCGAGTCGACTTAGCGCGAGTTATATCGTTTCGCGTGTATTTTGCATCGGGTCGCTTTAAATCGCGGTTCAACGCACGCGATACCACCTTGAATTACGATCTATTCTGGCACCGTGTTCGAGAAAAATCGGCGATTTTTCAGGCAGAAGATCAGATTTGGTATTCTCTGTATTCGTTTCCAAAAAACAAAATAAAGACGATTTTAACACTACCTTTCTTTCATTTCATTTTCCCTAATAACAATAATGATAATTCCTGAAATTTCGTGAAAATAACAGTATTATTGTAAGATAAGGTAACCCCAGGTGGTTCTTTTAACGGTAGTCGAGCTATCGTTCCACCGTCTTTCGATCTCGAGCGTTCGGTATCGTTCCGCGTTCCTAATCGCAAGAATCTCGATACCCGGCTATTCATTTAATTCCTGTGGGAATCTTTTTGCATGATGAATTCATCACACTGCCCCTGGCAGATTAAACGGCATGATAAACGATTATAAAACGTGCCGCGGATATCTCGTTCGAATTCGCGGCATTGAATTGGAAGTGATTGAAACATTATTACATCCACGGGACAGGAAATTGAAAATTCAGGAAACTTCACTGTGAAACGGCGTAGAAAATAGGAAACTGTAAATGGAACGAGCGAAGCGTTTCAACGTGAAACCTTACCGAACATAATGATACTTTTTTCTTGGATATAAAAAAAAAGAACGATTTAGAAGATTGTGATGTTTTCGAGGAAGATACACGATTTCAAATTGTTTATTAGTCGATGGTTTCGTAATTACATCCAGAATGATGAATATACTGTCCGGAGAGGATAGCAAAAAATATAAATTATATTACTATTATTATTAAGCTTCTGTTGATTGATTGGAAAAAATAATTTACAGACAATAAACTGAATATTTATGATCTTCCTTTGAAAATTTATAACTCCACCGGCGATCGTACGTGCTTTATAGCGAGATCGATCACGATTGAAAGGGATTTGTGATCGTTACCAAAGGCGATACGAACGGAACAAACACTCTCTCAAGTTGCAATTAAGGTACATCGTACGAACGACGTACAGAGATGGCGGCGAGGGTGTAATAAAAACGCAGGAATGAAGATAAAGGAATTTCTGGCGATTGGGTCGTGACCCTTTGAGCCCCACGATGAACCCTCGATATACGGGCCGACACTGCCATATTGCACACGTACTGTGCATTAAGATACGTCGTGAATCTAAGAGGAACAAAGGTGAAGGAGAAGGTAGAAACCCCAGAAGGATTCGTAGATATAGTGTAAAAACAAAGGATTTGTAGCGTCAAGAATTTCTTCTATTTCTTATATGAAAAAATATTATGCTATGCTACAAAGCTACATCCTAAAAATTTTGTATTTGAATTCAAAAAAGAGCAAAACTTTAATTGGAATAATTACAAACATCAGTTCAAATGATTCCATCTAAAGCTGGAAACTCTGGAAAAATTGAAAGGGGGTTCACAGACGGTCGAATACGAGGTCGCAGACACGAGACGAACGAGTTCTGAAAATATCGAGGCAATTGCAGCTGGGGGGACGAAAAAGCATGCGAGTCGCACGATAAATTCGCTAATTCGCCACAACAGCCTCGTATTTCCAAGGTCTTACGACCATGTTCTAACCATGTTGCTTCTTCACCCTTTTTCTTTGGACTTGCTGCCTCCCACGTTTTTATTTCGCGACACCCTAACCTCGTTCCCCTAATACTGAAACGTCTTTTTGTCCTTCGATGCTGTAAACTGTATTTTATAACAGTTATGTCGTCTGCGAAAATAGTAGGTTAATTTGTACCCTGGATAAGTCCAAGAGATATTTGAAGAATGAGGATCATTAGGGTAATTAGGTAGAGAACACGGTGGTTTTAGTTGCTTTTTTTAATTTTAATAAAATCATAGAATTGAATATTTTGTTAATAATTCAAGATACTGGAGTAGGATGTAGCTCGACTATCTAACACGATCTATGTTAAGAGTAAGCCAGCGACCGTGTTCCCCTTTCCTTCGTTTTTCTTATTTTAACCCTTTTTTCCACGAGACAGGCGTGCAAACACGCCCCTCGAGAAGAAGTGCCGTAACATTTTATGGTACATAAAACGGTGACTTTATGCCGGCACGATTCATGGTCTCAAGTGGATCTTTTATTAATCTACGTCACGGTGTTTTACGGTCATCGAGCGCTGACCTAGAGCTCGTCGAATTTCAGTTCAAACGGCAGCCAACCAGTTAAGTCATTTCGAATATCACGAAAATTAATTTCCATTTGATAATCCACTTCGTAACCCCTGCACCGGACCAATTTTATTACCACTTGTGTTACCTTTATTACCCCTTTAACCACCCTCTTCAATTTTATTGCACAGCCATTACGGTCTGGATTTAACATAGCAATAAAATTATGTATCTTCTTTGAGAGCTTGTTAAATCGTGGTCGTAAAAATTGTATAAATAATCTGCATATGTATTCGAATAAGTAAATTTTCTTTGCATATATTCATTATGTATGTATTTCGATATCAGAATTAAGTTAATTTCTTGGGGAGTTTGATAGTTATTTTTGGTATTTAATTAGATTAATTAAACCTTAAATTTGATTAAAACAATACCCTCTATGTGAAGATTAAACAGACTGTAACTACGGTATGAATTGACACGAATAAATAATAAGTGCAATCAGTCCATTCGGTGATTACAACCTTGTAATCCAGTTAGCACGTGGCGAAAGTGGATAGTTACTCTTGATACGGCCTCGAGACCTGGAATATCGCGCAAGTATTAATAGTTATGACGTCGATTTGTAGTAGAGGGTTTATTATTTTTCCACTGTATTGCATTCGCTGCGTGTGCATACCGAGTATGAATTATATCGGCTGCAAGCACCAGGAGGCAATTCGCATCTCTACTGATTTTTCTGTTACCAATTGATGCTACCAGAGGCACGGACTTCGGAAATTATTAACACCTACAGACGGCTTAAATTATGGAAAACTATCTGTTCCTTTTCAAAATCTAACAGAATTTCTAAAAAAATTGCAACGCGATTCTAT